CGTCCCGGCTGTTTAGCTCTTGAGAACTACTCTGCTATCAACGTGGATATTCATTCATCATCAGAGCACAAATACTTTAACTTTTGGGGAAAACACTCTGGAGAGGTACAGCTGGGTCAAATGCATTTCTAGCTCAGTTTTCTGAGGACGCTCCACACTGCGCCCCCTGGCAGACGTGCTGGTCTGACTCCTGCGGCAGGGCAGGGGGGAAGGCTTCTCCCTGCTGCCCGCCAGCCAGCATGGCTGTTTATGTGTTCTTGGCGGCTCCATTTCGCACTGCAGTGGCATCGCAGAGCGCTCTGATTTGCGTTCCCTGCTGAAGACAGGTACTGAGCATTTCTTCATGCACTTACTGGCCATTTGTATTGCTCCTCTCAAATATGATTTGCTTCAATTGCCCATTTTTAAATTGGGTCATTTCTTTTGAAGGGTTCTAATTTTTTTTTTTAGTTCTTTATACATTCAGGTATTAGTCCTCCAAGGAGTGGCTGGCAAAATGCTTCTCCCGCTGTGTGGGTGGTCTCTCACTGTCGAATGCTTCCTTTGCTATGCATGGGCTTAATTTAATGCACTCTCACTGTTGATTCTTGGTATTTCTTGTGCTATTAAGCTCTGTTCAGGAACTGGCTTATGACTACATCTTTAAGTGTTGTCCTGTTTATATTCTAGCAGTTCCAGTGTGTCTGCTTTTACAGCCAGGTCTTAGATCCATTTTGAGTTGAAGTTAGTGCAGGGCAAGAGCTTTGGGTGTAGACTTGCTCTTCTGCACATGGGCAGCCAGTTTGCCCATCGTCATCTGCTAGAGAGGTGGCCTTCCTCCAGCATAGCTGAGCTTTGAGGGAGGGGCTGGAGATCCTCATTTTCAGCCGTTGAGATTCTGGAGCTGTTTGTGCACCATGACTATCGCGGAGTCCCCGTGCAGCTGACTGCACCTGGTGTCCCAGGCCTCCTTCTGTCTTTGATTCCATATCAAATTAATTCCAACCACCTTTTCTTGCAGAGTCATTATTTTAATTATTTGCGGCTGAGGGGCTTTGGCAAACCTTGCAACAGGAATGAGTTTCTGTTTCTCATGGTGATGTGGGCTCTGATGCCTGGCTCATCTGTCCCACGAGGAGGATTGGAAGGCCCCTCGTGGCTGGGCTGGGCTGTCCCAGGTGGTGTCTAGCATCCTTGGAGGCTTCAGAGGCCTCTCATCCCTCAGTGGCTGGCCCAGGCTTCTGAGGGGCACCAGGAGGGTTGAGTGCTGCTCCGCCTCTGCTCCCTGCCTCGCTGGCCACGGCCAGTCCTGCGGCCAGGCCTGGAGTTAGCCTGGGTCAGCGTTGGCAAAGGATGAACCTTAGAAAGCCAGGTTCTTTTGGGAATGTCCAGATAATGCCTCCTGAACTGTTAATTCAATAAGAACAATAAATATCCACAGCCTTAAAAGTGTCTTCAGCTCGTTTTATTTCATGAGAGCCCACAAAGAGAAGCACCATGCATATTTTACCAAGAAAGAGGCCGGAGCTCAGAGCTCTGCAGCCCTAAAGTCACACAGCTGGGAAACTGAGGAAGGGAATGGAACCCAGGTCTGATGACTGGGAAACCCCGTGTTTGATTTTTTTTTTTTTAACTTTGTCCAGCACAACCTGTGCTATGTACAAGTAGCTATGGTTTCTGCATTTGATCTTTCCAGGTTTTGAAAATTTGTTGACAAGTAAGAAAACTATCCATTTGAAATCACCTTATGTGTTTTCTAACTTGAGGGTGGGGAGAGGTGCCTAATTCTCAGAGACTTTGATCACTCAGCTGAGCTACAAGCATTGCCTGCTAATTGTAAAGCAAGTTCCAACTGAGCCAGAAGGGCTTTGGGGGATGCACACTCCATGGGAGACCCCAAAAGCAGGTTTATGCTTTGCACATTTTCTTTGGAGGAACACAGTGTCTTACAGCTGCTGAGCCCCATGATAAAGGATGACGGATCCTCACCTCCCCCGGCATTCCGAAAGGCACCTGCTGCGGAGACGTCCACACTAACTGGGGAGCCATCACTGAGGGAGTTAGGAGCTTGCAAAGATTTGATTGAGAAAGCACCCAAAGTTACTCTCTTTGCTGCCTGCAGTTTCTAGGTGGCTGGGTCGAGGTCCCTGGATTAGGGTCAGATTTGGCCCACAGGTGCCTTCCTGGGTGTGGGGCTGTGGTGACAGGAGCGGAGATGCAGACCTCAGCCTCTACTGCCTTCATCCGTGGGCCTCCACCACAGTCATCCCTGGAGGAGGGGCTGCTGGAAGAAGCAGCCCCTACCGGTCTGGTGGGCTGGTCCCTGCCTCTCAGCCCCTACCTTCCAGGTGACCCTTTTCACTGGCAGCTGTCTGGGCCTGTGTCAGCTCCCTCCTGGGGGAGAAGTTTAGCTGCCTGGCCAGACCCCTGGGAGCCCCTTACCGGAGACAGGCTGCAGAAGGGGATTCTCCTTTGCTTCCCACCACAGCAGACTCCATGGAGTGGACAAACGCCAAGGGCCGTGGGTAAAATGAGTCAGAGTGAGCCCAGGTGCCCAGCATGCCACAGTGCTGGGATAGTGGGAGGGAAGGTGCTTCCTCCTCAGCTGGAGCTGGAGGGGCCACCCTTCTCTTGGCACCCTGGGTGTCCCAAAAGTCACCTGTCTTCTGCAGTCCAGCGTCCTCAGCATGCACAGATTCTGGGCTGAGTGAGAGAGACCCAAGAACACAGCAAATCTTCTGCCAAGCAGCTCCCCAGCTGCAAGAAAGAACAAGCACTCAGTGAATGATCTTCAGTGACAAAAGCTTAGCCATTGGTCCTGGGCACTCAGCTCGCCGGGGACACTGGTCACCGACCTCCACTCTGGTTTAAGCAGAGACTCAGGTTGTCTGGCCCTCAGACATTCTTACATGCAAAGGAAATCAATCACGCCGCCAGCTTCCTTGCGGCCTGTTGTACACACACCCTCCAGATGGTATGCGGCCGGGACTGGCAGACCATAACCCTGTGTGCGTGGCTGAGCACAATGGTCCAGTGTGGACAGGGACTGGCAGACCATAACCCCGTGTGCACAGCACCCACGTGAAACCTTCCCTCCTCGAGGACACTTTCCCAGCAGGAGGGAAGCAGCCTGAGGCTGGCCCTGTGGTGTAGATGTGGGAATCTGGTTTCCTGCAGATCTTCTGGAAGTGCTTCCTTCTGAAACCACTGCTCTTCTGGCCCTGCTTCCTGTCACGGGGCTTTCTGGGCCCTCTGCCCCACACCCTGCGCTTGCTCATGAAAGTGCATTAAACAAAAATTCTAAGCTGGGCATGGTAGTGTGTGGCTGTAATCCCAGCACTAGGGAGGCTGAGGCTGGAGGATTGCTGTGAGTTTGAGGTCAGCCTGGGGTACATAGGGAGACCCTGTCTCAAAAGGAAAAAAGATTCTAGTTCTTTTATTTGCCATAGTACCTAGTATGTATACAGAAGAAAAGTTTCTAAAATGTTAGAATCTTAGTAAGCTTCCTGTTTAGGGCCCACTAGGGCCCTGGGTTCCCATCTACCCCGAGGCTCTGCATAGAGACCACAGCCCTGACTGCATCGGGAAGCCTGGCCGGGGTCCTCCTTTTTCTAAGAGATGCAGCCTTGCTGTGTTGCCCAGGCTGACCCTGAACTCTAGACTCAAGCAACCCACCTGCCTCAGCCTCCTGCAGAGGAAGTCCCTGCTGTCTGAAGTTAAAGCCCGGTGTGCCTGGCACTGCAGCCTCAGTTTCCCTCTGGGCTCTCCAGCCCACACTGAGTACGGCTTCTTCGACTTGACTTCACCTAGTCCAGGAAACCTGGACTTCGCTCGCTCCCTCCCTCCACTCGGTGCTCCCTGGACTGCACACTCCTCCTCCTGCCACGGCACCATCCGCCCAGAGAGAGGACTCACTGGCCCCAACAGAATCCGAGTCGGGATCGGGAGCTCTGGCCTGCCCAGCCCTCCCAGCCAGCCTGTGTGCATTCCGCCTGCTGCCTTCAATGCAGACTTCCTGACTGTCCTGGTCCCTACAGCTCTGCAGCATCTCCATGGCACCATCTGGCCCACCTGCCTGCTTGCCTTCCTCCCTGGATGTTGTGACCAGGGATTACAGTCTAAGTAGGCACCTTTACTATTTCTGCACTGCTGAGGACTGAACCCAAGGCCGTCAACCTGAGCTGCACCCCCAGCCCTGTTAATTTTGAGAAAAGGTCTTGCCAAGTCTCTTAAGTTGCCCAGGTGAGGCTTGAGCTTGAGAGCCTTGGCCTCAGCCTCCCAGCACGCTGGGATCACAGCTTACCGGTCTACATTGTCCATTCTCACTGGTCTGTGTGTCCCAGGGCACAGCACAGTGCTGGGTACGGAGCAGGTACCGGAAATGCGGTCGTTTCCAGTTTCTAAGAACTGCATTTTCACACTGGCTCTGTTCTTACCCATCCTGGACAGTGCTTTGAGTGGGCCACAAGGAGATGTCACAAGGACTCCCTGGGTGATCTACATTGAGCTAACTGGCTTATTCGGCTCCCTCATCGGAAGGTCTGGATACCCTGGTGGCCCAGGCAGCCAGGCCTTGGGGTAAGGCCACCACCAGGGCACCACCCTGGGCATACTGACAGCCATAGTTGGATCCCAAGTTGCATGTGCTACAGGAGAAGGGCCATGAGAAACAGGCGTCTACCACTGCTGTGTGACAGCACTCTGTGAGGATGGCGAGCGGCACAGGAATCAGCCTGACACAGGTGTACAATGACCCAAGCCCATGCTGCTGTTCACAGCCACGCGTGTTAATGGAGCCAGGACGTAAAATTCTTTGTTGGCACTGGAACCGAGCTGGGGAGAGCTCACCACACAGTGGTGCTCGTCCCAGCGGCTCCCAAGCCCTTCCCTGAGGTTAGAAAGGGAAAGTTGCCCGCAAACATAGATGCTTGCCAGGCCTTGGGGTGGGAAGAACACAGCCTGGATCCGCAGGTGCTTAGTAACTGCAAACACCTTCTCGGAAACAAAGACCTCAATGAGAGTGTAAGGAAAACGGCTTTTATTTTCATAAATAAAAAGGGAACTCGGCAGTAGTAGTACATGAGCATCACCGCCTGCCACAAACAGTTGCAGCGTTGGCACCGGCCGTTCCAGCTCTCGGGCTGTCCTGTGACTCCCCAAACTCTCAGTCCCATTTAGAAAGGTGTGAGGCGCGATGGGGCATCCTGGCTGTACACTGTCACCTCAGCTGAGTCCAGAGATGCCCGCTGTTAGCGTCTGCTGGTCAGAGCTGCTGCCAGCTTCAGCGCAGCATCTCCCAAGTTTACACCCCTGGGTGCAGTTTCCACTCCACAGAGCGGAACGGCTGAGTGACCGGGTGTGCACGTGCAAGTGCCGGGGGGAACAACCTGAGGGCGGCATCCAGCGCGCTTTCCATGCTGCCACCCACTAGCACAGGCAGCGGGTGACTGCAGTAACGACCACACAAAGCACAGCGACACCTAGCATTCTATCGTCGGCAGAGCAAAACTAAGCATGTTATTATTCCAAACATCCTGGAAACTGCAATTTCAAGTACTAAGCGTTATTAGCATTTCTACACATTTCTAAAAAGGTGTGAGTCTATGCAGTGTTTTGTGGCAAGCAAGAGCTTGCTGTGTGACTGAAGCCATCGTCTATCTGACACCGTCTGGACTCAGGCAGTCAGTGCCCCGTTTGGACCACAGACCTTGCTGAAAGCTCCCATGTTGGGAGATGGCTGAGGCTGGATCCTGGTGCCTGGGCCTGGCCAGGGCAACACTGTGGTGCAGAGGACAGTGGGGGAGGCGTGGCCACTTGGGCGAGTACCCTGGAGAGGCTTCCCGGCTCCTCCTCTGCCTCAGAGCAGCTGTCCTCCTCCACTCACCTTTCCACCACAATGTCCCAGTGACCATGGACTGAAACCTCTGAAACTGTGAGCCAAAGCAAATCTTTTCTCCAGGTGTGTCACCAGGTATTCTGGCCCAGTGACAAAACACTAAGACATTACACTACTCTGTGTTTATTTGTGATACAGGGAGGTACATTCTTCTTTCAGTGCTCTTTGCAGATTTTACACTGTTTTCACAGAGTGCTGGGTGAATTCTGTGACTTGCCCATGTAAGTGCTCAGCACAGCCTGGGCGTGCAGAAAGCTCTCCTAGCACCTGACCATGAGTACTATGAAGTGAACCGATCTGTCTTGCATGATAGGAAAATTACCTAACAGCCCAGCATAGTCTTCGGCAGGAAGTAAACCTACAGAGTGTTGGTTTGGTTGAAGTTTTATGCATCCACTACTTCTCCAGTAAGTGCATACACTGAACTGTGCAAACAGTACAGTCCATTTTTAGTGTCATACTGTATGTGTATGTTCTTAAGATTTTGCTATGACTTTTGGCCTAAAGAAATACAATTCCAGTGATATATATATATATGAAAGAAAATCATATAAAAGCAATATACAGTGAAATCAGGCAACAAAGGCATTTTACTAAGACTTTTTAAAGAAAGGCGTAGTTACCAGTGTAATTCAGGACAACCTAAGTTTTTTTCTTTATATCATGCAATGTTTGATTTCTTCAAAAAAACATTACCCATCCTTACTATCCTCCCTGACATAGATAGAAACAGTAGGTGTTGTTACGAAGTTTTAATCTATGTAAAAAACACATTAGAAAAGGGATTTGCAGAAATCATTGCAGGGCCACTAAGAATGAACTAACATGGGGCTATAAAACAAGTACAAGTCTTTAAAGGTCTCAATACAGAAATGCTGATTTTCAAGTAAATTATAGACCCTAATACATGTTAAGGGATCTGCTATGAAAGTTTTTGGGGAGCACTGTGACTTTTTTTTTTCCACAGAAAAGACAAATAAATCAGAACATAAATCTATTCTACAATGAACACGACGGAGAGGGGTACACCTGTCTCCAAAACTGATTCTTGTCATTCTTTTGGTATCAAATAAGAAGGAAAATAAAGGTTTCTGTGTAGAAAACCCTGCCCTAAACGTATCACTCAGGCCTAGAATACGCTAAGCTGAAAATCAGAATCCAGTGTTCAAAAGACCCCCCTCAAATGGTGCATCTGGCACTGAACCTTCCCACACTTGAGCCGAAGGGAGCTGGGAATGGAGTAGGAAGCTTCTCGCTACCGGGAAATCAAGCCCAAGCAACTGGGGGCAGATTCTCTCTGAATGCAGGAGGACTCCACACGCTGTAGAGCGGGCACTTGAAGCAGCAGGAAATGAAGCCCCACGGTTTCTCCTACCCTCTCAAGAGAAAATCAGGTACACATAGCCTTTTAGGAGATGCGGCACCCGGTGTCCTTCTGGGGCTTGATATCTGGCTCCGTCACAGCTTTTACTTCTTCTTCTGGCTTGGGTTTGGCCTAGGGGAAAGAGAGTGTAAGTCAGGATTCAAACACAATCACGCGTCCTCTTTGGTGTTAGACTTTGAAAAGGTGCCACAGTAAGTGACAAAGTGCCAAGACCAACCAAGCTATTCCACAAACTACATATCGATTAGTTTCAAGACAGCCAGCAGGCAACAGTTCAGTGACAATAAAACATAGACTGGTGGCCAGAGTCAGCTCAGGGACCCCATGACCCTCAGGAGGAAGCCTAAGCAGGAATCTGTGCATGTGGCCTCACAGGCAGGGAAGAAACTCAGGACAAGGATCGGCCACCTCTTAGCAGTTTGTTTCAAAGCTGAGCAGGACACAGAGATGGCTATTTTAAGGAATAACACTTTTAATATGTAAAGGAAATTGTATAATTTCAATTTCAAGGGTGGGGTCATACTTGCAAAATAATGTACTTTCCTTTTGTTACAGATCCCTGGTCTGTTTGGTAGCTAAATCTCAAAATTTCCACATAAACTACTGCTCGGCTCAATACCAAATGTCCTTGGATTGTTAAGGAATAAAGCAGTTTGCTCCTGGATGACTCAGGTTGTTGAAGCTGGAGCAAATCTTCAAACACCCTGCAATGATGCTGAATCAAAAGAGCAGTGCCACAGCCACAGAGGCACGGTGACCTTCCTCCCTAGCTCTTCCGGAAGGGGACACAGGCACACTAGGAAAAGCAGAAGTCACATGCCTGGAAACAACGTCATGTTGGAAACCAGGCTTTCTCAGTGTCCTGGCAGGGCGGTTTAGCTGGCTTACCACTCAGACACGCAACGTACCGAACCAGAGAACAGCTATCAAAATGCTAACTTTATTCCCTTTCCAAACTCACAAACAGAGGAACCCATCACGTACACCGTCGTCCTTGGGCCTCTTGGTGAGGTCAAATGCAGCCAGCGTTTCTGGTGTCCACTGAACGCCCATGGGAGGAAACTCGAAAGGCACAGGCTCCACCAGCCCGTAATTTGCTTTGAGTTCCAATTGTGGGGCTTCCGCTGGAATTTTTTGAAAGTAACTACAAGAAAGCAATTTAAGTAGTGGGTCATTCATTTGTTCCTTCATTCAGCGGCTGAGTCCCTAACACGCTCAAGATCTGACTGAATGGTAAGCAAGTCTCTACTTCCTGCAGCTCAGAGCAACAGCCGAGAACAGCAATGAGAATGGGCTGCCCTTGGAGCTGTTAAGGTCACAAACTGCCCGAAGACAAAGATCTAGGGGCTCAGGGACAAACGCAGAGCTGGGTCCCTTTGAGGCAGGGAGGCGTTCAGCCCAGCCAGATGCAGAAGACACAGGCAGGGGTGGGGCTGACTCTCCACCCACAGAAGGGCGACCTGTGGTTTGAACCCTGATTTAAGAGTGGAAAATGGTTGGAAAGGACCAGGGCAATCTTCTGCTTTACAGGTAGCGAGACGCACATCCAAAGAAACAGGTAGGTTAAATGGGGAAACGGTTAAGAAAACCCCAGGCCATCACAGGAGCATCCCGATGCAACGAGCTCCGTGGCAGTGATGCGCGTGTGCTCACATGAAACCGTTCTCCCTCTGACACTTGTCCAGTGTAGTCTTCACAAGGCTCCCCAGCTTCCGGAAGAACAGGTGCCCCGAGGGCTTGGCTGAGGGTCCAGGCCCCTTGGTCTCGCCATACTCTTTGCAGAGTGCTTCAGCCTTGGCATACACTGTGCAAGAGAGACGGTCACCTGACACCAGTCCCAGTGAGAAGGTGCTGCGTGAAGTGGGCAGTCCCCATGGGCTCTAGGCTGACCAGCTGCTCTGCCCCCCAGCCACCTCATGGAACCCGCTCCCCCTGGGAACCTGGCCCGGTCTCTCCAGCTGCCTGTTCACTCTGTCTGAGGGAAAGCCATGACTATTCACAAAGCCAGCCGTGAAGAGTCAGACAGGAGCACTCACACTTCTCTGCTTCCTGAAGGGACCTGATGGCCTCACCGCACTTGTCTCCAGCCAGCAGGGTCTGGCCATGGTAGCAGTATGCCTGGGGAGAGACCCATTAGCACTCATGCCCTGTCCCCACTGAGACCGAGGTGTGCAGTAGTGAGACGACACCACTGCACTGGCCCGAGGCATTCGCACCACCCCCTGCACCTCTTTCCTTGGGTCAGCTCCTCCCTTTCCATTCCTATAAATGGGGGAAATCACATGAGCAAAAACAGCCTCCTAACCGCATCCCACGAGGAAGGCACTTGTGGAAATCTACTTTTAAAATTAGGCCAGCGTTAGCTTAGTGTGGTGGTGCATGCCTACAATCCTAGCACCTGCGAGGCTGAGGCAGGAGGACTGTGCGCTCGAGGCCAGCCTGGGCCGCACAGCGAGTCCAAGGCCAGCCTGAACTCAACAGGGAGTTCAGGTTTTCAAAGACAAACGAACAAACAAAGGAGGGCGGGGCAGTCAGAGGAGGAAAGTGCCGTGCTGCCTCGGTGGCATGAAGTTCCCGTTTTAATAGTTTGCATCACTGCAGGGGCTGCAAGGGGCCGGAGATGCTCGCCTTGAGCCAGACTGTGAGGCACGAGTAGGGAAATATTTACCTGGACCTGAGAAAGGGTGCAACCATGTCTCTGACAATACAAATCAGTAAACAGCTACTCTGGTAGCAATAACAGTATCCTAAACTGCTAAGCAATGTCTCAAAGGGCTGGCTGACAGTTCTCTGCCAACTGATGTGACCCACTGCACATGACACCCTTGGGGGGACCTGGTCTGATCCTTGGTGTGCAGCCTGACGCAACTGAGAGTCCTCACAGTGTGCGGAGGGGCGGCTGCTCGCTGGAGGGTGTCCCCATCCTGGGACCCAGAGCCAGCCCCCACGTCCCCATGGCTGCCTGGTGGCAAGTGGTTATGGTGTCACGTGCCCCCAGCACGCGTCTGGGAGATATGCCCTGGGAGTCTGTGTAGGTCTTAGGGTTCTTTGTACTCACATAAGCTGTGTAGAAACACATCTTCAAGTGAAGGTATTTTCTCCATTTAGCAGAATACGCAGGCTCCAAACTGGATAAAGTATGATCTAAAGTTACATTTTAAAAAGCAAAATATAATTTCACCCTGATTCACTAGAAGACTTTTATTTAATGTGTTCTGGTACTAAAAGCAGAATGCCATACAAATCTAAGATTCAAGTATTTATACCAAATCTGTTAACTATTTAACAGTTAATGTCACGGCACCTCTCTGATTTGATGGTTACTGATTTTAACTAATGTGAGTAGGCACTGTTTACCACTTTTCCTGGCTCAGGGTTTACATAACCAGCAGCATGAGCAGTCATGCAGTTACCCAAGGTGGGACAGGGTGGGCACACCTGTCTCCTTCACTCCCGTCCTGTGGGATCTTGTGTCAAACACACACCACGGCAGGGCACACCCGCACCCACTCCGCCTGGGTCTCTTCCCTCCTCTCTGCCTCTTCAATGTCCTCACCAGTGCCAAGACACCACGGCCCCCAGCCTGCCCAGTGCAAACCTGAGAGTGGGCTCACTCCGAGTCTTGGGGCAGGTCCTGGCTCTCTACAGAACCCGGCAGGATGCTCTAGATGGGCTCATGGCCTTTCTGGCCCCCACGTCCATCCCAGTGTCCCTGTCCTTCCTCCACCTGGGTCCTGGCCATGAGTGGCTGCTGCAGGTCCCAAAGTGCTCAGTCCTTTCTTGCCCCATGCACTGTACTCAGTCTACTCTCACGCGCAGCTTCCTGAGAAACTCAGAACTGCACTCCGTACTCCAAGGAGAAGCTGGAGGGTGGCTTCCTCTGGAAAGCCCTCCCTGGTGCACCCTAGCGGTTCAGCTTACTTCACTGTTACAGTGTCGCGTGGCAGGGACCGAATACTGTGCTGAGTGTCTGCTCTGTCCTGAGGCAGCTTAGCTCTTAGCTCTACTCAGCAGTTAAAAAACAGTAATTATTTCTTAAGTGGAAATACATGCATATTCCTTTTTTTAAAAAAGGGTTTTGAATTTCCTTTCTTGTATTAAAAAAGAAAAGAATTATTTCAGGTTCTTGGGCATCTCAATGATTTTTTTCCCCAAATGCCTTTAAAAAAAAAAGAAAAAAAGAGAACAAAGATAGGGAAGAGAGGTGAAAGAAAGAGGGGGAAAACAGAAGCGAGAAGAATGGAGGAAGAGAAAGGGAGGCAGGGAAGGGGACATGCATGTTTCTTAAATAACTGACTGCAAAGAATAACCAGAGGTTCTTTAAATAAAATTTTAAAAAGAGAGAATAACCAGAGGGACTGAATTCTAGTTCCCCCCACGACCTGCTACAAGGGAGAAGTGAGGTCACCCTCACTGGGAACTTCAGCCTCTCCGCTAAATAAGAGTACTGTGGTCATCGTAAAGATTTTTGAAAACCAAATCCAATGTCAAAAGCCAGTAGCTGTGTGGGTAGCTGGATAGGACTGCTTATGAGGTACAGCCCTGTCCTTTCCAGAAGCAGCTATGCAGCCTATGAACACTGAGGGGCTCTAGTTCTTCAAAACAAGACCGATAGAATGGTGAAGCTATTCCGTTTTGCAGACAGTTGAAAAATCTGAGAAACCTTTTATCTTGAACCCCTACTCAGCCTAGAGGAAACAAATCTGAAAAGCCAAAGACCAGAAGTGCAATACCAGCGTTCGCGGACTCACCAGCTCTCTGGTAGAAATTGGCTGTTTCATATGCCAGCGCAGCAATCAGCCCGGGAGCGTGTTTGAGTTCAATTGCTCGGGCAATTGTCACTGTAGGCAAAACACAAGAGAAGGGTCTGGGAGCTATAAGTTCAGTGAGAACAGCAAAAGACAGCCTGACACCATTCTAGATTTTTGTAAAGTTCAAGTTTAACAGAAAAGTTCTAGAAAATTGAAACACAAGTGAAAACACTGAGGTTGGTGGTTCTACACCATTTCCTTAAGTGAATCACAAGCCAATTACTTAGCTAATCTCAGAGAATTACTATATCAGCTTGACATAGTAAGAGTGGTCATTTCAGAGGACTAGAGTCTGAAATAAAGAAAGAAAAAACAAAGCCCATGACATTTCCTTGATATCACGTGAGTCCCACTATGTGGAATGGTACAGAACTAAAATTTTGTTTTATTTTTTTTTTGGTACTGGGGGATCAAACTCATGACCTTGTACTTGCCAGGCAGGCACGTGTGCCACTGAGCTAAATCTCCCCCTTTTTTTGAGACGGGGTCTTGCTCTGTTGTCTAGGTTGGCCTTAAACTTGTGATCCTCCTGCCTCAGCCTCTTAAATAGCTGGGACTGGAGGTACAAAACACAACCGATTTTATCCAAAATCCTCAAGAGCCATTAAGCTGAAAGGCCTGTTCCTTTATGAAGGCAGATGTTAAAGGCAAAGTTACTCTTCCTACAAATTTCTCAAAACCAGAAACTCATTACAGCTATGCAGCTATTTCTGATTTAAAAGGAAAGGTCATTAAGTGCCAATATTCGTTTTCTTGAAAACCAATGGGAAAACACACAGGCTACCTTCTTGAGCCTCAGCCTGACACTGGAGAATATAGGCTTCCACCAACCGGGGCTCCAAGTCTCTTCCCTTCTCTGCAGGTGTGATCAGCTTCGGGATGTGACTCTCCTGACAGAGAGAAAATGAAGATGCCAACACTGATTTAACCCAGCTATTACAGATGAGGAAAATGGGAGGTTTTGAGACAATTTGGAGACTTACTAGAAATTAAGAACACAAACAAAAATTGTGTAAAAAGCAGCTTACACATAATATAAACTGCTATAAAGCACCATATCACAACTTGACTCTTCCAACTGTGAGAGTGCCTGGGAAGTTCCACACTAAATGGAGACACCAGGACTTGGACACAGCTGCCTTCATGACTCAAGTAATTCAGACTGGAGCCAGAAGATGAACAGCTGGCCCTGGGTCATGGTTTATGTCGGTGGCCCCCAAGCCTCTTGCCCTTGCATTATGCATTTGTGATTGTTTCATTGTCTAGCACTTGGACTGGGGGTGTGAGTGTTACACCGGCCTAGGGGTGGAGACAGCATACAATGTAATGGCAGGAAGAAGATATGTCTCTCTCTGTTGTTGGTTTCCACCTTGCTGTTTTCAGCAAGGAGCTTGGGGACTGGGGCCCTGCCATGCCACCCTACCTTGCAGCCAACTGAGTATGGACTGAAACCTTCAAAAACTGTAAGAAATAAACCTTTTCTTTCCCAACTTTGGACATCAGGTATTTTGTCTCAGCAACAAGTATAAACTAAGACAGAATTTGGTACTGAGAGTAGGGTCCTTGCTGTGACTATATCTGATTACGTTTTTCGAGAGACTTTGGAAATGGCTTGTGGGCAGAGTTTGGAAAGGTTCGGACATGTCGCTTGGATGCATAGAGCTGGAGCAGCTTAGGCTGTTCTGTAAAGGAGATTCTGGTCAGAAGACCAGAAGGCTGATAGAAAGACTGATGTTAAAGACCAGGCTTGGGAGGTTTCTGCTGGGAAGAAAGACTGCATTGGTTGTTGGACTCCCCATGATGTGTGCTATGGCTTGGCAGAAAGTTTGTCTGCATTTTGCTCCTGCCCAGAGACTTTGCCTGAGACTGAGACAAAGGGCAATGGACTGATTAATCTGGCAAAGGAAATTTCAAGGCAGTCAAATGTTGAGGCTGTGGCTTGGTTATTGTTGAGAGCTTTTAGCCAGCTTTATGTTGCAAATCAAGAGCAAAGGGCCCAGCAGGATAATTTAAAACACTGTGAGTTTGACTAGAAGGAAAACTCCAGTAAAGCTGTGGATTGTAAAGATAGAGCTGAGACTTTGGTTGCTGAGAAGGAACAAAGAAATCAGAAAGATGGCCAGGGGCATCCCAGGAAGCAATGGGTCTCCATCCTTTGCAGCCTTTAAACTGTAAAAGTGAAAGAATTTGCTCAGAGAAAACTTCAGAGCACAATGCGTCAAAATGGCGACAGAAGCCACACAAGGTTCCAGAATGGTGGCAGCCACATGAGGTTCCAGAATAGCGGCAACATAGAGAAGCTTTTCCTCACAATCAGGTAAACAGAGCCTAGAAATCCAGGCACTGGACCCCTACAGAGAGAGAGAAAAGCCTGGCTACTGCTCCCCTGGTAGCAAACATTGGTGGCATTCACAAGGTGTTGATTTTAGATGCAAAGAAACTGCACAAATTCTGAGAATAAGACAGCTTCCACTTCGATTGCAAAGGGCCTGGGAGGCCAAGCAGTATGCTTCCAAGAGGGCAATTTGTAAAGATGTAAGGGTGAAGCCAAAGGTGCAGTGGAGACCACAGAAGTTTGAAAAAGCCAGGAACATGGATTATCCAAGGAAAGCTGCAAAAAGTGAGCAGATAGGGTTTAAGAGAGAAGTTGAGGGAGCTAAAATCCCTGGAAGTGCTGTGGGGATGGAATCATCCAAGCCTTTTGGAACTTGCAACGAGATTGCTTCAAATGCTAAGCATGTAACTCTAGGACTTAATGTTCACCCTACTAGATATATTCCCCTATTTGTAACTTTTGGAATGGTATTGCTTATCTTGTGCCCTTGCATTTCAGAACTGTTTAACCTTGTTTCATTTGTACAGAGGGTTACAGTTAAAGAGTTTGCCATAGATATAGGAGGAGACCTGGGACTTGGACTTCCCTGCAATGCTGAAGATGTTAGGACTTTGGCAACTCTTAGAGATGGACTGTCTTTTGTATAAAAGATATACATGAGTCCTGGGGGCCAAGGGTGGAATGTCACGGTTTATGCTGGTGGCCAAGCCTCATGCTTTTGCACTGTGCATTTGTGATTGTTTCACTGTGTAGCACTTAGATTGGGGGTGTGAGTGCTATACCAGCCTAGGGGTGGAGCCAGGATGTGATATAATTGCAGGAAAAAGGTGTGTCTTGCTCTCTTGCCAATTTCTGCTTTGCTGTTTGTGGCTGCAATGAACTGGGGCTCTGCCATGCCACACTGCCTTGGAGCCAACCTTAGTTCTTAAATGGACTGAAACCTCCAAAAACTGTAAGAAATAAACCTTCCCTTTCCCAACTTTGGGAATCAGGTATTTTGTCTCAGCGATGAGTAAAAAGTAACTAAGACACCCTGTGTCATCTGAGGGCTCCACATCTGCAGACACCCCCTCCCCCATATTTACAACATTTGAGTAAAATGTGGCATCTGTGCTGGGTCATCCTTCCTCAGCACCATGGCACAACTTACACAGTATTTTCTTTGCAGTAGTTATTGCGGAGGACTTAAGACGTGTAAGGGAGAAGGTATGTGGGTGACATGGAAACATTATGCCATTTTACACAAGGGGCCTTGAGTATCCAGCGCTGTGGCACCCTGGGAAAATGGAAAATGGGTGTCCTGTCCTAGTGCAGATTCCCCACTGAGTCTGGAAGTGCTGTCTTTACAGAATGAAAGCATTTCACCCCCTTACCAAAAGAAAAACACAAAAACTATCCAAGAGTTAAAGCATTAGAAATACATACAATTTAAAACATTTCTTTACCTTCAAATGTTTAAAAATCCCAGCTGCAGTTTTCAGGCTTCGGTGGACCTCTTTTGCTTCGTCTTCTGTTATGCTTGAAGACAGTGGCTAAGTTAGTTACAGGACAGATCTAGTTTGGACTACTAAAACAAACAACTAGTATACTATGACACTGAACAAAATTTACCACCACTAGTTTTCTTCCTCAAAGACACCTAATTTTGACACTGAAGAAACACATGAGGAAAGTCTGTTAGGACTGGCACCAAGATGTCCCTCAATGCCTCATGTGCTCACAGGTGGGCCTTTGGAAATGACTGGGTCAGGGTGTAACACTCAGGTAGCTGACAGGTTTAAGCACAGTTCTGGGTGTGGGTGATGGATTTACTGAAAAGTGGAGACCCACTGTCTCAGTTACTTTTCTCTCATTATTGAGACAAAACACCTGACTACCCAAAATCAGAGAAGGAAAGGTTTATTTAGCTTACAGTTATTGGAAATTTCAGTCCATACTCAGCTGGCTTCCAGGAAAGGTGGTTGGCTAAGGGGCAGCCATTTATGATAGCCACAAACAACAAGCACAAAAAGGACAAAGAGCTGTTAAGCCTACCTCCTTCCCTCCCCTGGGCGGGTGCAGCACTCACACTGCCAATCCCAGCACCAGACAATGAACCAATCACAAATACTGCACTCAGGCACCTCCATGACTGCATGAGGCTTTGAGGAGACACTTAAACAAACCACAGCACCCACTAACCAACAGGCTTGTTCCCTGGATGAAATAAAAAGGGAAAGAGGGAAATCTCGTGGAGTTTGCCTGCCCTGCCACGAACTGTTCCTCCCCTGGGATTCCCTTCTACCATGTCGCCCTGCCTTCAAACTGTGAGCTGACATAAGCCTCCCCTCCTTTAACTTAAGAGAATTGGGTATTTTTTCTCAGCAATAGTAAAGTAGGACAGTATCCAAAGAGAACATACAACAGATGAAAACACCAGAGATCCTGCCTACAGACAAACTCTGGGCAAAGTTGTCTTTTTTCCCCTTCCAGACTCTTCTGTTATAAATAAGTGCCAATACTAAACACTCAGTAGATGCACAATAGTATCCAAACTCATTGCTCTGCCTATTTTAATTGCTACAGTACAGAGATGATTCATATCAGCACACAGAATTCAGCTTCATTTGAAAGTGGCCGCATATTACGCACGCCTATGTAAGGATAGATCGTAACTTGCAGTTTCCAAATGCTAAGTCCACATTAGCTATTATAAAAACTGTAAACCATCTTATTTTGCTGATCTTTAGTACTTCAAAACATTTTTTCATATACTTCTAAGCCTTTTATTTTTCTATGAACTATCTGTATATTCTTTGTTTTCCTTTTTGATTTGTAAAAGCATGTATTATAAAAATAAATTATGTGCATTGCAATGCTTTTGACCAATTGTGAAATTTGTTAATAAACTTTGTTGATAATACTTTTATGCATTTATTCAATCTTTTCCTTTAAGTCTTCATGGTTTAGAGACTTTTATCCAGTGTGTTTGTGTTTCCAGTACCAAGAATCAAACTCAGAACCTCGCACTTGCCAGCTAGCCAGGCAATGTGCCACTGAGCTAAACCCTCAGCCCCTAGTCTTTTATTCAGAAAGATCTTCCACATGACAAGGTTATTAAAAAACTTTTTCCATTTAATGCTAGGCTTCTTAATTCTAATCTAGTACTTAAAATAGGAGGCAATCTTTCACTTACCTGAAGCAGCACTTTTTAATCAATGGTCAAGAATTTTTAAAAATGAAACATGTTTTTGAAACATAACATATAACTGCACATGCATTTTTCTTTTTAACTTACTTTTCTTTTCCAGCCAGTCTTGAAGCATACTTGGTATACCATAAAGCTACATTAAATCCCATGGAAATTAATTCAAAAACAGCATCCTGTTGGGCACTGGAATTAAAAACACATTCAGTGGGTTCTACAGAAACACAACTGAAGTGTTCTGAATACCAAGCCAATCAGTATTCTGAGAAGTAAAAGGTGTAGAAAGCAAGTATATTTTGTCCCTTGTTTCTATCATAGTCTATCATGAATTAGGCCATAAACAAGACTATAAGAATGTATTAAGCAAATCAGATATTAAAACTACATGTACAATAGCAAAACTATCTCATTATTTAAAGGTAGTATATATTCACTGTCATTCCAACAGCCTGAATATTCCTATACATTGTCTCAAGTGATAAAGCAGAATAAGCTTATTTGCTACATAAAATACTAAGATACAAAAAAGTTACCCAAAGGAAAGAAGAAACCAAAACTTTAACTATTTTGTACTTTTTTTATTGTGAAAGGCATAAGACATGTTGACATTTTAGACCAGAAAAAATTCTGGTCTGACGTGCAGCTCAGAGGCAAAGCACTGTCTGACATGCACAAGACCTTGGGTCAACTGCTATTACCATGCCAAAAAAGTTAGAAAACCTACTGTAATTAAGAACAGTTTATAAACTCCTCCTTAGTGCACCTATAATATGCAAAGATGTTATGAAAAAACTTCTTAAAATGGTTTTACTTCTTAAAATGTTTCCTAGCGTGTTCATCTCCTCATGAAGAGCCTCTGAGTCAGAGGACCTGCAGGTCCAGTGGCTCTGTCTGCCTAGAACTTTACCACCTTCTTGTTTTGGCGCTGGAATTGCATGTCTGACCTCCTTCTTGCCAGGGAGGCGCCAGGGGACCAAGCTGTATCCCTGGTCCCAGAACTTTACCTTTAAATAATGAGACAGTTTCGCTAATGTACATGAAGACTCGAATAGCTTTCTCCCTTTTCATTAATTTCTACCTATCTTGCTCCAAAACACCCCACTTCTGTGGCACAGCCCCAAATAGCAGGTAGAGCATGCACAGCTAAAGAAGCGCTTTTCAGAACACGGCAATTTCAACTGAGAAGGGGAAATCACACTCTGTATGAACCGAATTTTCAGTATCACTTAAAAGTCTTCACCATGTAAGCCCTCCCTGTCACATAAAATGACGAAACAACAATGAACAGCAGTTTGCTGTGACATGGAATAAAAACTTAGCACACGAGCAGTGTGCTACACCAAATTTATGTAATCCAAAACATTTTACAATCTATTAAAGTCTGTAAAGCACTAATGATAATAAGAGTTGCTCCTTTAAAGATAGTCTTAAATTTTTAAAAATTCCTTAATTTTGGCTGAAGGAAGGATCACAAAGAAAAGCAGGAAATAAAGTCCTAGAAAGTACCCCAGAATACTAATGCTGGCAAGGATACATAGTCCCTACTTCAGACCCAATTTATGAATTCTACACACAATATTCCCAATGAATGAAGAAAACTAATGTTTAATGACTATCTCTTTATATGCCTGCACTATACTCTAATTCACTTAACATGAATTTTCTTATTGTGTCTCTAGTCCTCTGACCCCATGGGAACAACAAACATCCACTCAGTAGAAGCCCAGGGTGTGCGTCCAGATGTGCGTGTGGGACTCCGACACCCACCCTCTCCTGCAAGCGCCAGCGCCCTGCTCTTGCAGCGGTCCCCAGGTCCTTCCTTTCTGCTTTTACGAAACAGTAATTCTATAGCAACACAAGAACCTTGACAACCCAGCTGTGTTTTTTAAAAAGCAGCTAAGGGGCCAGGGATTTACCTTAGCAGTTCAAGCATTTGCCTGGTAAGCACAAGGTCGAGTTTGATCCTGGTACAAAGAACCCCAAAAAATACCCAAAACAAAAAAAAAGCAGCTAAGGGAAGGTTAGCACCACTGTTACAATTAGGTATGAATTACTATGAAGTTTCAAGTGGTTGATGGAAAGTTCTCAAGGGAAGTTTCTAAAAAAAGCAGAAAAAGTACAGAGAAACAAGGAGAAAACAATGGTGAGATTCAAAGAGTATGCAGCTGAGGAAAAGACAGACTGATCAAGGACATCTGAACTATCCGTCCAAAAAAAGGGGAGAAGCTAAATTCTTCTTGGCTTAATGGTAGGCAAAGACTGATTGTCAGCTTGGGTTCTAAATTCTCTAAACCTTCTTTATGTGTTATTAAAAATAAGTCATGGCTGTTCTAGTTAATATTTGTATTATTTCAAAGATTGATCTGGTCTGTGAGAAATAAATTATTTTCATTTAAGATGAAATGAAAGCATTAAGGTCAAATGCTTTTAATTTTCCAGTAAGAAAAAGTAGATCAGACCTACACTTATCTTCTTCAAATACAGAGGCTGTGAGTTAACTGTTTACCTTGGAACCTGTCCTTGTAGTGTATCGGTCCACTTGAAATTCTGAATGTACCGTAACTTGCTTTCCTGTGTAGAGTCATCTGGTGAATTTATGAAACCTATATGAAGACAGACATTTTAGTGTTAGAAGAAACATCACACACATTCTTTTAAAAGATTTTTCAGATAATTACTTTTCCAGATGCCTGAATGAAACTTCTGGCCCTTTTCTCCAACTACATCTCACACTGTCTCTGGAGGTTACATAGTATGAAGTACCCGTACATTTAATTTCTTAAGTGTTAGAACACATACTGCCATTACAAGCTTACATTTCTGAAATCCAGGCACATCATGACCCATAACACTAATGTATCCAAATAAGAAGTCTAAGAAGTAATGTGAACTTCTTCAGAGTTGTTTTTTTTAAACTTAGAAGTAAACGCCAACAACCAACCTTGCAAAAGTGAGAAATACAAATCTGCTGCATTCTTCATCATTTCTGGGTTACAGCTAAGCTCAGTGAACAGCTCGAGGAGTCGTGCCCTGGACGATCTCAGGTCACTTACAAGACACGGGGGAGGTAAAGAGACAGAGGCTGCGTTAAAATACTCCATGGAAACGCGGCTAAAAAAAAAGCTTTAACACACACTATGCCTACCCTACTTCCTTGAAGGTATTACCAAGCACATGAGAACAAATCAAAATCAATTGTTTAAAAATCGTAACAATTGCTTAGAAAAGGGTAACTGTACTAAAATCAACCCAGTCCAAACAAGAGGCAAATCGTGAATACGATTATGTAATAAATGTACATAGCAACTAAGTTTTAATTAGAAAATCAAACAAATGCTGCATTTCAAATTGAGGGGAGGGATTAAGAATGCACAACTTCAGCGAGTTCATAGTTTTTATTCCAGAACTCAGGCGCACGGAGAAATTATTAGTAGAACTATTTTCTCATCTCCACTCTTCTTTACTTCTCTGCAACAAAGATTTGCCTTTTCCACTTTAAATTTCTTTTTTCCCATAATACTAGGTTTCCCAGGTGCGTCTCTCATCTCTGCAAGTTCCTTCTTACTTTCTCTACATCTTCTTGTCTCTACCTAAAAATCTCCATCTTTGGCTTTCAGGTTTTCCTTTCTGGGATCTCATCTTTCACTAAATCCATTTCTGGATCTAAACTGTCAGCTCTAACTTGTTCTGTTCACTTTCATATGTTATCCAGAAGGCAACTAAAGGCTCACTGAAGGTTCCCAGAAATCACACTGCATAGATAAGGCTGCAGACCCCTGAAAAGTGTGCAAATGAGCAGAGAAAGACTAACTGTAAGGCACCCAGAGAGTAGGGCTGCAGACTTGCGATTTAGGAGGTGGCTAGGATAAAGCACACACTCAAAATGTTTAAGTGTGAGAACATCAGATTTCAAACCTTTTCTTTTGATTTAGAAGGACTGTAATGTAGCTGTCATGTTTAGAGGAAAGGACAGACTTCATCCTGATAGAGTGCTTATGTATCGTTACTGACTCCATGGAGTCTTACTTAGCTCAATAAAGTATGTATCAATTACATACTGCTGACCAGAACTGAGCAGGTTTATGAATGTGTCACTGCTTGAGGTACTACCTAGAAGCTGAAAGGGTGATTCCTAAACTAGGAAGAAATTTGAATTTTTTAAAAACATTTTTAAAGCCTAAAGGCTTATGCATTATGTGCCAGAAATTTCCATGTTAGGTGCTCAACTGTCACCTATAGTCCAACTTGTACAAAGCTAAACTCAACTTAAAATTATCGAATTTGAGAAAAATGAACTTTAGAAATATGTAATTTATGCCGTATATCTAACACACCAGGAATCAAGTCTAAAAAAGTTAGGAGACTCGCCCACTGCTACAGATAAACAGCTATGTGGCGGCCAGTGTCCGGGAGGCTAGATGCAAACTGCACATCCGGCCACAGGTTGTTTTCATCGGTCCGTAAACTAAGAAGGCGCTTACATTTACAAAGGCTGCAGAACAAAGAGGAAAGTGATTGCATGTGGCCCACAAAACATAAAGCACTTACTATTTAGTGATTTTCAAAATAAACATTGCAGGATATTGGTCTAGAGACCCGGTGATTTCTCTGATTTTCCTTTCCTGGCCTAGCCATTGTCTCAACTACCCAGACTTTACATCTCAGAGACTGCACGCTTTCCAATCTTCCAGAGCCTGCCGGTCAGTCGGGTTACCCACTCAGCTGGCTCCTGGGAAGTGTCTGTCAAAGCTCCTGTTTGCTGCAGCCAATCCACTCTGCCCCCCGTCCCTAGCGCACGGTTCTGCCGACGGCGGTGACCTCCTTCTTTCCCCTCCACCTCATCGGGAACTGTCCTGAAACACTTTCTGCACAGGGGCACAGAATAAACGACTTAGGCTCCGTGGGTCACAAGATCTCTGTCAGGAGGCAGCCACGGCAGAATGCAAACAAATGCGGGTCTGGCTGTGTTCCCATAAAACTGTTTCTAAAAACAAACAGTAGCTGAACCTGTGGGACAGTTTACCGACTCCTGAACCAAAAGACGCAATTTAAACGCAGCTCTGGTTCTCCTATGTGACTTCTCTGATGGCTATTCCAAGTCACAGGGACCTTGCTCTGTTCTCAACTCAGTGAACTTACTCATCAGCCAATCAATAATGTCCATCTCCTAGTTTCTGGCATCTCTCATGCTATGGCGAAACAAGTTTAGCTTAGGGACAATGTGCTACATATTCCTACGTTGCCCATGAAACCTAAAAAGATATCTTGTATCCAAGAGTGACCACCTCATACTTGTTGACAATAACTAAAACTTACTTGCAAATTTTTGAAGCAGGAAGGCCAGTGGTCACACCATAGTAGTTAAAAGAGACAGGAGCAGTAGCCTTAAGTGGGTTCCTATGAAACCAATGGGTCATTTTCTCTGGATGTCTTCTGCACATAAGAAATATATCAAGTTAGACATATTATAAACATAACAGTATAAAATAGTAACAAAAATAATTTTTCAGTGAAGAGTTTACTAGAGAATATGAAATGGACCATCGTGGGGACAGTTGTAGGACAGAAGGGTGGAAAGGTGAAACAAACCCTGAGAACAGCTAATCTATCACCCTCCACCACAGGGCATTTTTCAGCACACCCATCATAAGATCCTGAGAAAACCACCGAAGTACAGTGTTGGCATGAACTGAGACACTGCTACTAAGGGCCACGGAGGGGTGTGGTAAATAAGCACTTCTGGTTCCCTGGCTTTTAAGTCAATTTATAAAGGTTAAACAACTGAGCCTCCATTATTAGGTTCCCACTAGCTTTGCTGTACTTAAGATCGTTGACTTTTGGGGTGTGGTTAACAGTTGCCTGGGTTACTTCCCAGGTACCTGAGTCTGCTTCTGCTGAGAACAGGGATTCTTTAAGGCTTACAGAAATCTGACCCGGTGACTACAGTGGGATAAAAGACTGGTGTTTCCGACTTCACACTGCATCTGTCCCTTCCACTATCTTAACCCTTGAAACAGACTCTGCTCACCTCTTTCTGTGGACAGGTTCACCATTTAAAAATTTTGCCCGAGACAGTGATGCAGACTTAATTTAGTACCACTGATGCTTGTGTGCGTTTCTTCTATTTTAACTTGTACTTTTCAGAAGATCAAGCACTAATGTCTTGCAGCCCTTCCCTAAGGCCAGGATGTTTATGCAGGATGAGGACATCCACTGAGTAACTTGGCAGTTTCTGCCAAGTCTGCCGAGTGCCAGGTCAAGATATCTTGTGTGGGGGCTGGGGATTTAGCTCAGCAGACTGCAAGCAGGCAGTCGTGAGTTCGATCCCTGGTACCGATAAAAATGAAAAAGAAAAAAAAAAAAAAAAGATATCTTATATGGGGAAAAGACATCAGGTATTCAAACATTTAAGCAGGTCAAGGATGAGCTCAGTGTGACTACCTGGTGGTCCAAGTCTGCCACTAAACACCAAAACAAAAATCTTTAGGAACCACTGAGTATGACTGGGTTTTAACCCACACCTGCAAATCAACAAAACCCCGCTGCTCTCTGTTCTGTGAGCAGTGGCTTAGTCATTCAACCAAGTCACAAGGACCTCTGCCGGCTCTCAACTCAGTAACACCCATCTCCTACTTGATGGTGTCTCCCACGCTGCACTAAGACAACTCTTTCACTGTTACCGCTTTAGTCTCCAGGGACTAACGCCCCCTCCCCCAGTTCAACCTCTCATTTCTTCCCCCATAAAGCCTGCTGGCGCTGAGTGTGTGTACTAATCCACTGTCCTGCAGCATAGATTTTATTTGTAAATTATTATATATATAAAACAATACGCTAATAAAATATTTTACCTTCACAAGTCAGTTTTAAGGGATGTCTATGGTTTTATGGTAGTCTGTATCAGGATTCTAGATCAGGATGAAAAAAATGGCATTTGCAAAGCTGTCCAGAGTAGCTCTGATGTTAAAATACAGTATTAAAGTGTATTTTAATGCTACTCTAGCAACATTTACTATATGTGCACAAAAATCACCTGAGAGTGAGGCGATCTTGCTAACAGGAAAGTTCTAGTTCACTGTGTGTGGGAGGAATTCAGATGCTGGCGTGGTTTTCAGTAAGGAAGACTTTGGCTGACAGCTACCAGTGAGAGGGACACTGGGCCACTAACGAAAAATTCCCATAAGAGACTGAAATGGTTACCCTCATTTACTGTTAAAGCTACCCAAATAAATAGGCTTTCAGTTAATTATATTTCCCCCATTCTGTGGACATCAATGGATTGGTTCTAGCACTACTCTATAATAAAGGTACTTTCCATAAAACAGCAGGTAAAATCAAGTGTATTACAAAAAGTACACTTGATTAATAACTTCTGCCCTAAATATTAAAACATTTCAAAAACTAAGTGAAATGCTGACTAAAAAAAGAAGCAAAAGGGCTGTGTCTCCTGCCCACAGGTCGCTGCCCACTCAGTGGGTACTGGACGCAGCATCCAGGAAAGTCAGGCCGGACGAAATACCGCAATCAGACTCCCGGAAGTCACAGAACGGATTCCGCCATGGTTTCTCAACAGGAAGCCGCTGCAGAAGGCAGAAGGCCGCCAGCGGCCTTCCCGGAAAGATGTGCGCTGCAGCGAGGGCTGCACGGTGGGCACCTTTCTAACGGGGCTCGCGCACTGCTACTCACTGGTTTTGAGGAGCAACACGTAGTGAACAGAAAAACAACCGTGTCCTCTATTGAACCTGGGAGGTGCGTTTACGACTCAGTCTTACAAGGTCCTTCCGAGGACCCTCTCCGAACACCTTCCAAATAAACCCGCTTTCCGGGAAAGCCTCGGCGAAACGGCATCGCCGAGTTGTCCCAGGGCAGCCCCGCAGTCCCGCTCCATTTCGTGGAGCAAGTTTTCCGCTCCTGCGTCCGCCGGGCGCCACCTCTCGGTCCGGCCAGCGAACGGCGCCGGCCCCTCGCGCTGGAGCGAAGTTCGTGGGGCTACCTGCAAGCCCACCGCGAGGCCCGCCGGACCTACCTGAGGTGGCAGCGAGCCCAGCGCCCACTTCCTGTTTACGGCGTACCTCCAGGGCAGACGTCGTGCGCCGTCTGCGCACGCGCCAACACTCGGCCGAGCAAGGCAGGGGAAAGCCAATGCTATCGACCGGGGAGGAGCGAGCAGACGACGGCCGAACGCAGCCCCATTGAGTTTAGGTTATCGGAACTGCGGCAGCTAGCACAAAGGGGAACAAGGGCGCTCGGCAAATCTAACTATCAGTATTATTGACTTGTGGCACCAACACAGTTTGCTTCAGGGCATCAGAAGCCGACTTGTTTAGAGCAGCATCCAGGGGTCTATGGAAGTTGAAAAGGTGGGGAGAGGCTGCTGCTTAGGACTTAGGGATCAATAGGAGGGAGCGCACTGGGAAAGGCACATCCTCTGATATACTTACCGAACCCCTCACAGTCAGCGTGGCACTTCTCTTGGTGGGAAAAGGGCAAAGTCGCGGTCCACCAGGGACAAAAAGGAGTCGACCAGCCGAGAATACTCAACTAGCTGACCGGAAGCCAGTGCCGAGCCGGAAAGCACGTGACCGGTGGCCATGACAGTTACCGAGGCAACGGGAAGCCAGGCAGGCGCAGGGCGGGGTGTCACGTCTTTGGCGCCATGACAGCTAGCGAGGCGGTAGAACGTCAAGCAGGCGCCGGGGTTCGCTCACGTGACTGCCGCCATGCTAGCTGTCGAGGCGACAGTGAGCGCCGAAGGGTCGGCGCCCCTCAGAGTGCTCTGTTCAGCTGTCTTTTGTCGCATCTGCTCCCCGACCCTCCCACCTGAGCTTCGGTGGCGTCCCCAAAGAGGCTAGGCCTGGGTGCCCGAGCGCCGCTCACAGGGAGGCCGCGCAGTAGCATGGCGGCGGGGCGGGGCGAGGCGGCCTCGCCCTAGGCGGGGCGGGGCCTAGGGGCGGCTGCTCCGCAGCCTCAAAGTTTGGCTGTGGCGGCAAATGGGCTTGGGCGGCTCCTCGGCGGGCGGCGGCGGCATCCGTGGCGGTTGCTTCTGGCCCCATTAATGTCGGGGCCCGGCCCAGGGAGGATGGCGCCCTAGAGCTCGTGCTCGCTGGGGCTGGGGCGGGCGGCACGGGGCGGGCGCCAGCCATGTCGGAGGGGACCCGCAGTCTGCTGCAGCGCTGGGGCGCCAGCTTCAGGAGAGGCGCCGACTTCGACTCTTGGGGCCAGCTGGTGGAGGCGATAGACGAGTATCAGATGTGAGTGACATCCTGGCCGCCCGCCCTCCCTTGCTCCGTGGTGTCTCGTAGGGGTGGCCGGGGATGCTGGGCGGCAGGGCAGGACTGGGGAGGTCCATTCAACAGGTGGCCCCTCTGCAGAGCCTGCGCGAAGGCTCGGAGTGCCCGCTCCGCAGTCAGCCCTCTTCTCTGCTGCCCTCCGCCTCTGCCGAGGTGCCACCCCTTGTTCTCAGGCTCTGCGGAATACTCGTGTGTTCCCCACCCACGCCCCAGGGACCGGGGCTTCACGCTGCGTCTTCCCCTGTGTACAGGAGGGGGGAGCTGGGTGCAGTTCAGGGGAGGGGGCTTCCCCGGAGGCAGCGAAGGCCAGGCATGCGTGGCCTGCCAAGAGAAGGCCACCCTCTCGTCCTCCTCCTCCACCCTTTCTGGTTTTCACAATTCCTCCTCGATTTCGTTTCGGTTTCTGGGACTGTTATTTGCTAGGCTGGTCCCACCCACCCCCTCGGTCGGCTGCTCTGGGTGGAGTTCGCGCAGGATGTGAACTGAGGAGAGCAAACTGTGAATTAATAGAGCTCACACAGAAGCCGCCACTCCCTCCCAGGGTTCCGTCTTCTTTTCCTGTGTACTGTGTGTAGCCTCAGGGTGCGTGTGAGTACCAGTTTCCTTTATCAACCTAAGTCTGATTTCTTTCTCAGGCTTCCCCTCAGAAACTTTAGGATTGCTTTTAAAATTAAAAGACAAGGTTTATATGCATATAAAGTTGGCTGGTTTCTTGCACATTTCTCGTGAACTGCCTGGGAAAACGCTATTGTTTGGAGACTGTTGCCATTAATTACTTCTTGGTTTAAAGCAAAATACTGTTTGAGGCTTCTCTCTCAGTTTGAAACCATGTGTGGGTAAAGTCTGCCTTCCACTTCGTGACTTCTGAAAAGAACACAATTGGTATTTGGAAAATCAAAACTCCTATCACCTCCTCACAGTAGTGATACTTCTAAAGAAAAAAAGAATAATAACAGTGATACAGAATTTCAAAACAAAACAGAATAACACTGGTTAATATATTGTGTAGTCTTATCTTCAAAGTAGTGCAGATTACAAGATACAGGCATGAGAAAAACCTATTTGACCATTGATTTAGATGTGTGGGTGTTCTTTACCCTATTGTGCTGACTTTGAATTGCCAGTATTTTTTAAAAAAAAGTTTGAGAACAACTGTGCTCTGGGTCATGTGCCTAACAGCTACTGCCAATTATTTTGCACTTACACATAATTTCATTTGAGAATATGATTATTCTTATTTTCCAAAACGAGGACACTGAAACCCATGTTAAACATGATACTCAGGGTCACAAAATGATACCACTGAAATCTGGGATCTATTTTCCCTCCAAATCCTGTTGTTGCTCTAATACATAAGTGTTGAAGATGTTTTGTTGGACAAAGTATCAATAGGATACTTCTGTAAAGAAAGCAACAAATTTCAAGATTCCTTCACTGCAGAAGAACATACCCTACATACACAGCTAGACAGCCCTGTATCCTCATTGCGTGTGTTAATGAAAACCGCCTGAAATACAAACCTGCCTCTTGCCATGGTGTGGGACCCAGCAGCTGTCGGCACTGGGCAGCAGACCTCCTAGTGGAAAGTGAAGAATACCATGTCTAATTGAAATTACAAAGGCAAGTAGAGTGTGCAAGCTGTTTAGTTGGAATTTCTGGAAACATCTGAATGAGAATAAAGGCACCCAGATGAATCCATTGTTAGCTCTCAGTACTAACCTCTGAATTTCATGATTCAGAGTAGTTTCTCAATTATTGTTAAAAAAGTGTTAAATTTCAATAGAAGCACATGGTGATTAGTTTAACTTTTGTAAACATACAGGCAACACATAAAATGAAGTTGAGTATGAAACTTTCTAGTATTCTGAGAGTGAAGGCTGATTGCCATTCTGATTGAAAGAGTTATTTGGAGGAAAGGCTGCAGCCAAGACCAGCTGGAGATCCCTGTAATGATGTGAGCAGTTAGAGCAGTACTGACAAGCTTTTGGGTGTCTGCAGGGACTGGATGTGGAGAGTGAACAGGGAGGACCTTCTTAAGATGGAGATTTCTAACCCAGGGGGCCTAAGTGATGTGTTTATGCTCATGAAGGCTGGGATCTGTGTGCCAGAATGTAAGGGTAATGTAGCTTACACAGTTTCATCACTGAGCAAGTGAGGACTGGGCACAGAAGGTAACCTCATTTCTGCCCTCCAGGTGCTTGAGTATAATGGAACATTTTCAACTAGCAGCTACTGGGTACCTGAAGGCTGGAAGGTTATTGTTCCCTGCTCCTTGCTATTTCCTGAAGCATTCTTCTGCCTTAGGGCTTTTGTATTTTTCCTGAAACATTCTTCCCTTCATTATCTGCTTGGATCATTTGGTCACCTCCTTCTGGCCTGTGTCCAAATGTCTTTTTTTCAACGAGGCCCTCTGTGGCCAGACTGTTGAAAATTGCCAACCCTCCTGTTCCTCCCTGCTTCCTCTAGCTCAGTCTAGCACACCTGCTCCATGCTGCCTCATTTGTTTACCAGTGTCTGGCTATCTGAGACACACTCTGCAGCTCTCTCCCCTCTGCTGGAATGTAGCTCTTGGAGGGCAGTGTGGGGAGGCTCTGTTCTGTTCTCTGCTGTTCAGTGCCAGGCTGTCAGTACATGATTATTTCCTTAGGTGTTATGAAATTACTATATTCAGTTTTAATGAATGAATTCAGGGGTGTGCTGTGGAAGCATGAATGTTTTTGAAACATTTAAAGAGATTATGTCAAATTAAATCGTCATGTCAAAATTCACATGACCAATTGCAAAGTATCTCCATCTGGCAGGCCACCTCCTGCAGCTCCCCCACTTGTGCTGCTCCTGGATGTGGTAGAGTGGAATGGGAACTGTTGTTCCCAGTGAAGCATTTCACTGAATCAATCTTGACATATTTCTGTAGCACCTGGATGCTCAATAAATACCTATTAAACATACGTGACTCTGAAGCCTGGGCCCTGTGGCTGAGCTGTATGGCCTAGATTGGAGCTGGTGTGAAAGACATCAAGCCAAACATTTTGAAACATTGTGGCAACTTGACATCACCTGTTTTCTGAACTGTATCTTCACTGTGTTATCCTGGAACAGATTGGGAGGAAAACTTGTCCTTCACTACAGAGTTTGAGTAGTGGTAACTTTGGTGTTTGTGTAGGTTTCCAACAGAGACTTGCTGATGTGCTTAAAGTGTTGAAAATGCTCCCTTGCACTGCGCACCTTTGTAATCCTGGCACTCAGGAGGCTGAGGCAGAAGAATCCCCAACAAGTTCCAGTCAGCCTGGGCCACATAAAAAGCCAGCCTAAACTACATGCAAGACCTTGTCTTAGAACACCCCCCAAAAAAATCCTCCCCCTTGAGCACAGTCCCCCTTGCTTGCAGGCATCTTTGTAGGGTCTCCAGAAAAGAATATTTGACAGATGTCTCACCTTTTATTTACTTACCTGATATGGGTAAATTTTCCTTCAGTGAACATAATTGGGTCTCTGTGTTGAAATGGTACAGTCTTGGGCTGGGGATTTAGCTCAGTGGCATAAATGCCTGCCTTGCAAGTGCATGGTTGTGAGTTCGATCCCTGGTACTGATTAAAAAAAAAAGAAAGAAAGAAATGGTACCATCTTTTGTGGATTTATAAATTTTTTTCTTTTTGCCTAGGTGTAATGTTTTCTAGACAATTCTGTCAAGGTATAATTTCATATAATAACATTCATCCATTTTACATGTACAAAACGATTTTTTAAAAAAATTCACCTAGCTGTACAAGCGTCAGCACAATCAAGTTTCAGCACATTTCCATCAACTCTGTTTAAAGGCCAGCTGTGCCCATTTGTGGTCACTCCCTGTTCCCACTGTAGCCCCAGATAGCCACTAATCTACATTATATCCCTGTAGTTGTGACTTCTGGACATTCTGTAGAATTTGAGTTCCCTAGTACGTGATCTCTCACATCTGGCTTTTTCCAGTTAGTGTAATATTTTTAAGGTTTGTGTGTACCGGTGCTTTTTCCCTTTTCAATGTTGAGTACTATTATGAAGACAGCACATGTGTGTTCATTCATGTGGTTGGACCTGTGGAGTTCTGATTATGTCAGCGATACTGCCCTGCACTTCCACATACAGTTCTTTATGTGGACATGTTTTCATTCCTCGTGGTCGGCATTTGTTAAGTGGAACTACTGGAGCATGTATTACGTGGGTCATACATATGTTCAGTTTTTTTTTTTAAAGAAACTGTCCGTTGTCCAAATTGGATATGCCGTTCTGAATTTCTACCAGCCGTGTGTCAGGGTCCCTGTCTCTCCACGTGGCTGACATATGTTAGTGTCTTTTTGATTATGGGCATGCTAAGTAAGTTAAGTATGTGCCTCACTGTACTTTCAATTTACATTTCTCTAATGATTAATGACACAGTGTTGTTTCATATGTAGAGGGGACTCAAACTCTTGTTTGTGAAGTGTCTTTTCATATCTTTTGCCTGTTTTAATTGGATTATCTTTCACCTGTTGAGTTGTAAGGGCTCATCATGTGTCTGAGATCCTTTATTTTTGCAACCTCCCAGTCCACTACCTAATTTTTGAAAACAGGATCTGTTCAAATTTAGCATGCTTTCTATTGATTAGCATTTGCACAGGAGTAGAGCTGTGCATAGAGCTGCATTAGAGCTGTACTTTTTCTTCCAACATTAACTCTGTGTAGGTTGATAACCACTATCAACACATTACGTATAGAAAAAATGATGCATAGAAACTGTCATACTACAAATTCCCTTGAGTTCATGGATGTAGAGAGACGTTGCTAAATATGCAGGCTCCGGGTCCCAGGGGGGCATCCATCTAGGTAGAGCCCCGCAAGAGTTACAGAGGGAGTCCAGGACAAGGACGACAGCTGCATTTGTTCCTTAAATACAATTTATGAAAAGGGAATCTATGAAATTTTAGGAAAAAATATGAGGCTTTCAGCTTTAGGAGAAAAGATGCTAGTGGGTGGAAGCAATTTGATGTGTAACTTGATGATATGAGCCTGGTGAATGTGATGATTTTTTGGTAGTAGTTTCTTGCTTTATGATATGGGCTGCAGACATCCCATGAATTGGGTAGAAGTCATCAAGAGTAATGCCTGACCCTTGAGGATGTGCTTTCTGGAAACATCAGGAACTGCCCTCTTAAACCGCTGGTAGAAAGGGTCACACTTGCTCCCCTTCGTATTTTTGTTGTTATTGCCCACCCAGATAACACAATATACTTGAAATAAGAAATATCATATAACATAACACTCAGTTTTAAATAGGCAGTACAGTTCATTTTAGCAAATTCACACTGTGCACAACCATCACCACTTCTGACTCCCAAACATCCCATCGTCCCCAGAGGAAGCCCTATACCTGATGTCAGCCACCCCAGATTCCACCTTTGTGGGGAACCAACAGTGTGCTTTTATGTCAGGATCGAAGTATTCGGGACCCTTCATGTAAGATGATGTCATATGTAATCCCTTTCCCCTGGCTTATTTCATTTGGCATAATGTTCAAACTTTGAAGTTATTCTTGTAGCAGGTTGCCTGAATTTCTAATATTCCATTCAATGGGTATAACACATTTTATTTACCGTTCATCAAGTGGAGAGCATTTTAATCGTTTCCACTTTCTGGCTATTACAGATAATGCTGTTGTAAGCATATGTGTACACATCTTTTTGTATGAGTTTGTATTTTCAGTTCTGAGTTATATACTTAAGACTTTTATTCCATATTGGGTGGAATCAAAGCATTTTACATTTCCATGCAATGTATAAAGGTTCCAGTTTTTTTCATTCTTACCAACATCTATTTTCTCCCTCTCTCTGTATTGATTTTAAAATTATGTGCATCATGTGGGTACAAAGTGGTATCTCATAGTTTTGATATGCATTTCTCAAGTGATTAATGTTACCAGGGATTTAGCTCAGCGGCATAAGCACCTGCCTTGCAAGCGTGTAGTTGTAAGTTCAATCCCCGGTACCAAAAAAACACAAAAACAAAAAAACTAATATTGAAGTCAGGGTTTGCAAGGGAAACAGTTTAATACAGGACATCTAATTTATAAGATTATTTTATAATATTCACCCAAAGAGTCAAATGCAAAAGAGTGTGGAAGATTTATCCTTCACATTAGAGACCTCAGAAATCCAGCTGAGGGCCTGGATTGCTTGGCAATGTCCTACTTGAGTCCAGCAGAAGACCTAGAGCCCATGGCAATGTCTTCCCTGAGTTCCAGTGGAGGCCCAGAGCCCATGACAGTGTCTCACGCAAGTCTGTATCAAGGATCTGCACTGGGAAGGAAGGATCAAAGGTCAGTGCTGGAAGCTAGAAAGTCTAAATCAGCGGAATGAAGGATCTGTACCAGCAGGCTGAGGAATCTGCATGGGAGCCAGGAAGTGACACTCAAGGTTCAAGGTAAGGACCAGAACTCCCCAGAAGAGAACGGCAGCCATCCTCTGCAACAGTGAGGAGCAGACCCTCCCACAATGAGAACAGCCGAGTTCCTATCAGGAAAGCCAACGTGATAGGCTTCTCTGGAAGAATCAGTAGCACACCATCTTCCCTTCCTGCCAGGAGTCAATGCTCAAAGTAAGGACCAGTGTGCCCCATGAGAGAGAGCCATCCTCAGTAACAGTGAGGTCCCCAGCTCCTCCAATGGTAACAGCTGAGTTCAGGACAGTCAGTGTGACAGCAACAGCACACCTCCTCCAGTTCCCCTCTAGTTCTCCTTTTATGCTACCAGCCAAGTCCTCAGGTGGGCCTCCACACCCAGCTCCACGCTCACTGAGTTCAGCTAGGTACAAGTGGTATGAGTTGACCACCAGTTTTTAGTCCACCACAACTAAGGATATTGAGTATCTTCTCATGTGCTTATTGGATATTTTCATACATTTTTGGAGACAGTTATTCAAATTTTTGCCAAAATTGGCTATCTGTTGATCACCTGTAAGAGTCTTTGTATCAATTATTTGTAAGAGTCCTTTCATTTTTATTGTCTCAGACATAGCTTTGGACCCTCACCAATGGACTAACAGGTCGATGCTTTAAAACTCATCCTAGCTGGGCATGGTGGTATACACCTATAATTCTAGTATTTGAGGCAGGAGGATTACTGTAAGTTTGAGGCCAGCCTAAAAACTACATAGTGTGTTTAAGACCAGCACGAACTACAAAGGGAGACTGTCTTAAAAAAAAAAAAAAAAAAGAAAAGAAAAACGTAAAAAATTCATCCAAGGCTTACCTGTTGTTTTTAAGTGTGATAACTAGACAAAATATGTACTTATGTTTCTGATTAGTGAAGAATATTCTAATTCTCAGGGAAAAGTTTTCAGAAGTATATTTTGATAAGAAGATCATAGCTTTGTCATGGCTGTAATTTGGGTTAGAACTAATCAAAAAATTAACAGTAGGGGGGTAAAACTCTTGTGGTTGATACTGTTACTGGTGCTCACTGGAAGCATTAAGCAGAATCTGGACAACTTAATGGCTGGTTGTAGAAGAAACTGGTGCGTGCTGCAGGGAGTTGGAATAGATGCCCTTTGAGATTCCTTCCAGTGCGAGGGTTCTGTTTTTACTACCAAGAACCAAAATCTTTCCCAGTGAAATGGTATGGAAGGCATTGTATTTTATTTTCATCATGGTTGTATAAAGAATTTGATTCTAACTATAACACAGATAAGTACTTTGAAAACAGACCAAAGTAATCCTGTGCTTCACTGTCTTTAAAAGATTTAATTTTTTTTTACCTTGTTGCAGTTTTTGTTTGCTTTCTTTCTAAAGAGTGTTTTCTCCTTACAGATTAGCAAGACATCTACAAAAAGAGGCCCAAGCGCAACACAATAATTCTGAATTCACAGAAGAACAAAAGGTACCACAAAATAATCTCTACATATACCAATTCCAAGTGGAGAGGGTTCATCTGTTATGCAAAAATAAAAAGGAAACCTAAAAAGAAAAAATTACAAATAAATCAAAACAGAACATACAAAAACTAACCAACTAAGCACTTCTGCTTAGTTGAACAATAGTGACCAGGTGTTCTGGAAACACCTTGTAACTCATCACCTGATGAGTTTCTTTGCTGAGCCCCCAAGGCTTTGCTGACTTGGGTGGGACCATCTGCTCTGTGGAGGAGGGAGCCCAGGGCATAGGCTCCTGTAAGTTGGTTGGGAAAGCAGGACTGTGCATAACTGCATCCTCCTCAACTCTGAGTTGGTTACTTTTACTTTTTTGTTGTTGCTAGGACAAAACACCAGTCACCCAAAGTGAAGGAAGGAAAGGTTTATTTAGCTCACTGTTTGTAGAGGTTTCAGTCCATAATAAGCTGGCTCCAAGGCAAGGCAAAGGAGCAACACTTAAAGGCAGCAGCCAGAGCAAAAAAGGGAAGGAGAACAAGCCTCTTCCTCCCTTAAATTGTATACAGGTCAAAACACCTCCCCCCCAGGGCAGATGTAGCACTCTCAAATTCTCTGTGCCCTCCTCCAAATTCTCTGTGCCCTCCTCTTGCCCAAAATGAGGATATTTAGAAAGAACAGCCCTAGCTCCCTGCTGAGACTGTGAGTTAAACTTGTAAACTGTTCAAGTTGATACAATGTATAAACCACACCAGGGACTTTAGCTACTTACTGTCAAACAAACCAATAAAATCACTGAAAAAAAAGTTCAAGAATTTGGCATGCAAATCTGTCAGCAAAATCAGAACACAAAGTTGCAAAATGGCTAGGTGGTGTTTTCTCTTTGAATTAGACCTTTTGTGTGTCAGGTCCAGTGCCTGAACTGTTAAGAGACTGTGGAAAATGGGCTCCTTCAAAGAAGCCAAAGAGTGAGAAGTGGGAGGAAATAGCTCCCACCTTTTCCCCCGGGCTTGAGCCAGCTCCTGTTAAGCAAGCTTTCATCTGGTAGGTAGTAATAAAAAAAGTCTTAAGTCTCTTTACATTTTAAAATATTTAGGCTCTATTTCAATTTACATATATTTTGTATTTCTAAAAAAATCGTGTTGCTATTTTAACACCGTATTTTTCTTGTTCCCTTAATAATTGCTACTATCCACAACAGATTTAGGAGACTTGGAATTTTAGCACTGGAAAAATAATTATCATGGAGAAAGTAGCTGATTTGCTTAAGGAAGGGAACAGGCTGTACCAGTGATAGTGAACCTTTTAGAGACAGAGTGCCCAAACTTAAGGTGCCCACTTATTTATTTCAAAGTGCCAACACTGCTGGGCATGGTGGCACACACCTGTAATTCCTCCATTTGGGAGGCTGAGGCAGGAGGATTGCCACGAGTTGAGGCCAGTCTAAACTATGTGCAAGACTTTATTTCAAAAAGACCAAAAACAACAACAACAACAAAAACCATAAAGTGCCAACATTGCAATGAAACCTGAATATTGCGTGTTAGTTTAGAAAAACAACAGTTCCTAATGCTTGGCTGCCGAGTCCCTTGGCTGTGCGTCAGCACAGAGGCCTCTGAGCACTGTGGCACACGGGCCTTGGTTTGCCATTAGCAAGCATCACAGATTTGGGACTTAAAGTGCCTAAATTTTGATGAACAGAATCAAAGTAGATTAGTCGCTGATGAGTGTTATGAACATGGAAATTGAAAATAGGAATTTAAACAAAAGATAATGTCCCCCTATTTTATTTGCCTGTTTGCCTCGAGTTACCTCTGTGCTTTATTGCCGGTATCTCTTGCTTAGGAGTAAAGACTTGTGAGCCCAGGCCTCAAGTAGAAAGTGATTTGACCCCCCAAACATAATAAAATTGTATACACACAAATATCATCAAGAAGTGAGCCTTGCATTGTGATTAGACTGAGCCTTTTCTTAGTTGTTCTGAAAATGTTTGGTAGAGCTGCTTGTTCTTTAATCTGTGGCTGTCCCACAGTGGCCACCTGGTTGTTCTTTGTCTTTTTTTCAGCTTCTCATTGGTAGCAACACCAGCAGGGTGTGGTGGTGCACATCCATAATTCCAGCAATCGGTAGGCAGAGACAGGATGGTCGAGAGTTCAAGACCAGCCTGGGATACAGGATGAGTTCAAGGCCTGCTTGAGCTACATAGCAAGACCCCGAACTCAGAAACAAAGACAAAAACAAAAATTCTCGAGCCAGGAAGCAGTGCAACCTAGAGGAGCAAGCTGAGATTCGGAGTCAGTGCAATCTGCCCCTGCCTCTGGCTTAGGGCCTGAATTGTTTTGTGTGTGAAACTGGGGCTAGAGAACCGCAAGAGTGACCTTTACAAGAGTGACCTTTCAGGACCTTTACTGGGGTGTGGTCTACACCTCCTGTCTCTGTCTCAGCTGTGTAAGATTCCTGAGGCCCACCAGGCTGACTGGCTGAGCCTCCTGGTCTTAGAGGAGGCCTTCAGGCTGCTCTGTACTGCACCATGAGTAGAAGACAAGTTGGATTTAATGCATTTAGAAGTTGCATTAAAAAAAAAATACAATTGGAGCACCCACTGCTGACCAAAAACCCTTGCAGATTCATAGGCCTCACCTGAATGTGAGAGACAGAAAAAGAGGCCCCAAGTTAATAACTAATTAGGGAATAAAGATCTTCCAAGACACATTCTGGCCAATATTCTGGGGAATGTTGGTTCCAAACAATAGATGTTATTTGACCAGTTTGTGACTTGCCCTTTCTTTCACTATGCTAATGTGTACGTGGAAATTTTAAAGACTTTTGTTTTTGTTTTTGGCACTGGGGATCAGACTCAAAACCTTGTACTTGCCACGCAGACATTTATGCCGCTGAGCTAAATCCTCGGCAAATTTAAAGAGTTTGTGCAGTATTTTGAGGTTTGCTTTCGAATGTTCCCCTTTGCATAATGTCTCACTGTGTGTAGAATTCCACAGAACATGGTATGGGAGATTTTGATACAAACTGTTGGATCTGTAAAATTGATTACATGCTATGCCTGGTACAGGAGCTGGAGAAAAAACTCAATTGTATTTTTCTCAAAATAGGAAAATCAAGAATATTCCTTCCTTTTCTTAGCAAAACTGTTGTTTTTTTCTATTTTAAATTAGGTACTTTATAGTTTCACTATTATCAATATTTTGGTAGCAGCGACAGGTTTTCGAATTACACTAACCATTTAATGAATTGTGGGACCTTGCTAGATCTTTCTTCTAAAAAAGAAAAAACCAATCATATTTCTTTGTGCAGTATTTTTCTGTCTACCTCATTTTGAGGTCTCAAAAATATTTGATGAATAAATGATTTGTTGGATCTTAGATTAGTGATATTTATTCAAGATTATGTTAAGATAAATCCTAATTTTCAGAAGAATAACTTACATCGTTTTTAAATCTAAAGACCTATATGGTATAAGTGCTATTCTACATCAATTAACTGGTCTTGGACAGTGTAAAAACTGCAGATGTGTGTTTATTCTTCCTCTTCTCAAAAGGTTCCTGGTTTAAAATAAGACTGGGTTCTTATTTCACCCTCCCTCATGGTTAGCCCACTTAGCTTTTGTTTCAGTTCTCAGTAGCTTTGTCATTATGAAAACTGGGTTTAGTAGCCAAGGAAAAGCTGCCAAAGCTCTCCTTCCACTGAATTCCTGCTTTGGTGTAGTAGATTTTCTCATGTAAGTTTCTGGACAGAAAAGAACTTCTTGTCTCAGGATGCTTAGAAAATTTTCCCGTTTTGAGTCAGATATGATGGCCTGAGAACCCCAGCACTGCGTGTGTCTTTCATGTTTCTGGGGTCTCCCCCACCCTTCCTCGCCGGCCCCAGTGAGGCAGGATGACTGCTGCTTAACACAGAGCACCAAGCCCAGACTGAGTGAAGCTGTGCTGCTTTGTTGTTTCTAAATTGGTTTTTCCTTCTATTATTAGCAAAATGAAGTTGGTCTTTTAATTGTCCACGTGTAGCCATCTCTTCCTTAAGCTGCTTTTCTGTTTTTTTTTTTTTTTTTTTTTTTTTTTTGGTACTAGGAATCGAATTGGGACCCTGCACTTGCCAGGCAGGCACTGATGCCTCTGAGCTAAACCTCCCGCCCTTCTTTGAGCTTTCCTGAAGCCTTTCTTTCTAAAGTTAATTGTCATTTACTGTTGGTGCCTAGTGTTAGGGCACATTAGTTGTCAGTGCTCAGCTCTCCCACATGCAGCTGTGCTTCCTAACCATTTTCTGAGCTATCCTATGCAGGGCAGAACTGTCTCAGCCAGGCACTTGATTTGGGTCAGTCAGTTCCACATCTGTTAACAGCTTTTGCCGCAGCTGACATGATAGTGCTTCTCTTTTTTTAATACTGGGCTCGGGTATGGTGCCTTAAAATAGTTATGAATAATGCCTATTGGTGTCTTGCCATAGTTCAGTACATTTCTGTCAAAAGCTGTTGCTTCTACTTAATTTAGAGAAGTGTTTAAATTAGTTTCTCAGTGGTCTAATAGTGGTTAATCTGCAGCATTTTTATCTTAGACATTAAAAGGGTGAAGTCAAATGGGTTTTGTAGTAAAGAAGGAGAAAGAAGTTTATTATTTTTAAAGACAAACCCATTCATGTGTCTTGGTGCAGACGAGGTTCTTACTAAGAGAACAAGAGCAGGGACAGCTCGGGGCCGTGCTGTAAGGTGCTTGGCGCCGCATGGCAGGTGCCAGGGCAGGTGGCTCCCCTCTGTGCTGCAGTGTGCCGTCTGTGTGGGGGCCCCAGGGAAGACAAAGGGCGAAGGTCTGCGAATCACTTAGGAGAGCTGTGGTGCTGCACGCACTCGTAGTCACTCTGACTGGTGGTGTTTACGCTTAGGCTGTTGGCTAGCACGATCAGAACTGGGGTGGACTTGAGCACCACGACTGAAGGTGCTGGGTTATGTCTAGCAAAGGCTGCTGCTGCTGTAGCTAAAGTGGGTGAATACATGGATCCTTTGCAGTTACTGTGTATACACGTCATTTCCCAATGTAAATTTTCAGGACGAATGAGATGTTCCGCGTAAGCATTGACACGGGAACTGTAGGGTTGCGGAGGTGGTGAGCTTGGGCCGGCTCAGCAGTGGGCTTCTTGGGACTGGCATCCTGCTGGTGGTGCCCAGTGCTCACTTACCTGAGCCCTCAGGCAGGTGCTACTTCTCATTCCTCTTTGCTCCTCAGTCACCTTCCAAAGAAAGCCAGAGAAACTACCAGATCCCACTTACTGGGCGTTGTCAGGTCAACAGTGCGTTCAGAAAAACCTTCCCTTTTCAGAATATTACACTATGCAGGCCTTGCAAACATTGCATGCACTAGCTCGTCCCTGTAGGGCCTTCAGAAACACCTTTTTGAGAAGGACCTAGATGTCTTGATGGATGTAATTCAGCTGTCTTCTCTGAGGATTTCTTTTGTGAATCTCCTTTTCATTTTTCCCTCTCATGTGAACACTTGAAATAATCTGATTTTGCCTTTTTTTTTTCCTTTTATATTTCAACCTGTGAATGCTTTTTTGGGAGAAAGGCATACTAGGGATTGAACCTAAGGTGTTTGCACTGAGTTCCATCTCTGGCCTGTCTGTTATTTTTTATTTTGAGACAGGATCCTTTTAAGTTGCTGAGTTATACAGGTGAGGTTTGAACTTGGAATCCTCCTGCTTCAGCCTCCCCATTTGTTGGGATTGCAGTGTGGCCTGAACTGAAGAAGAGACCTTCCATGTCACTGGATGCCGCAGTAATCCCCGATTCCTCATTGAGGCGCTGGAGGCCATTCCTTTCAGTGTGCCTCAGATGCACCCCAAGCGCTGCTTTGCTTCCCACTCAGGACCGTGGATTGTGGGGCTGCGATGATTTTCTAACTCATTCTAGAACCCACTCGGTCTTAAGGTTTCTCAATGCAGATCTTGCTCTGCTTCTTTAGGTTACACCATGGCTCATGGTGAGCCTTACAGAACTGAGTGTCTGCCTCTGAATTTCAGTGATTCCGTGTTGTCTCATACAATAGAACTCGAGACACGAGAGCAGTGACCACGTCCTGTCAGTTACGGTCACTCACTGAACAGACCTGACTGCGAGCTGTGCCATGTGTTCCACCATAAGCACTACCTATTATTACCTACATATTCCAGCAGATCAGGGTTGATCATAAGTCAGAATTAAGTTGTACCATCATGCTGACTTTCAGATATTTTTACTTTTATGTCTTAGGGGGTTTCAGGTTTTATAGAGAAGAGAAGATGAAGCTTATGGGGAAAGGTTGCTAGGAAACCCTTTTCATTTCCTTTCTTTGAATTTTCTCTATTTTTAAAAATAATTTCTAACTGACATATAGAAATAATGGGGTGGCATGGTGTTTGGGCAATGCACACCTTATGTCATCTTGAAATCGAGTTGTGCACCCCTGCTCAAATGTTCTCATTTCTGTATGATAAAAACCTTCACAGCCCTTTCTATTGGCTGAGTCCAGTGCATGGTGCAGTGCATTATTATTGTCCGTAGCTGCCTCCCTCCTGCCTCAGCGGCCACCACTAAGCCCGCAGCCTTTACGAGTTCAGCCTTTTTGCGTTCTGCACGGCAAGATCGTGCAGTGTCTTCTATGTCTGGCTTAGTTCACGTGACCTCCAGTCTTTCCAGGTCGTGTCGGGTGACAAGCTTGCTTGCTTTCTGTGGCTGAGTGATGCTCCTTTGTGTATGCATACCTCAGTTTCTTTCCCCATCCACCTGTCGCTGGCTGCCTAGGTTGGTCCCACGTCTTGGCTGTCATGGTTCGTGCTGCACTGAACCGGGTACAGAGGTCCCTGGAACTCACCGATTCCATTGCCTGTACCACATGGGGTGTGGTAATAAGGGGAGTTCTGGTATTTCTATCCTTTGAAGAAACTCCATATCGTTTTTCATAACAGCTGTGTGCAGCACCCCTTAAATTATATCTACAGCTGTCAGTCACTAAGGCAGACTGGATTTAGGGTTAGTCGTGGCTTGTTACAGTAGGAGAGAGTATGTACTCACTTTCCTTCAGCTGAATCCTGTGCCTCCTCTTTTTCTTAAATCTGCAAGATGCTAGAAAGAAAGATAGTTTAACTTACTAAGAGAATTAGAGATCTCTCCCTCTATTTTTCTCTTTTTGTTGCTGGAGATTGAAGCTGGGGGCTCACACTTATTAGGCAAGCACTCTGAAACAGAACTGTGTTTTGGTTTTTGTTTGTTTGTTTTGAGATCCCCAGTTTCCAGGCTGGCCTCAAACTGAGCTCAAGTGATCCCCTTGTTGTCTCCTTCAAGGTAGCTGGGACCACAAAAATGTGCTACTGCTCTGCTGGCCGGATCTCTCATCAGTAAAATATTAATTGATTTTAACAACTGACAATTGTATTAGTTTATTTATAGTATTTTTTTTTCCTACAGAAAACCATCGGCAAAATTGCAACATGCTTGGAATTGCGGAGTGCAGCTTTACAGGTAAATAGAGATTTTTCCCTTCTTTCTAATACAAGGTCAAAAAATTATTCTGATAAGACCGTGGACATTAATGTTCAAAGCAATGTTGTCTCAGTAGTTTATAACAATAGAAATTTATCAGTTGAACTCAGAGTTAATGATTTAGTTCATATTTTGTGAACTGTAGGAATAAAAGATATGACTTAAAATTTTCTATTATTTTTGACCTGAATGTTCCAAGAATGTAAAAATAAAGAAAAACCAGTTTGGCCTTTTCATTTTGCTATTTAAAAGTATGAAGTAGATTCATTTTGACTACTTGATTCTTGCTACATAAAAAACATGTTGAAACCTTTGTAATCAAAGATGTAATATGCTGATTTTGATTTTAGTCCACACAGTCCCAAGAAGAATTTAAACTGGAGGACCTGAAGAAGCTAGAGCCAAGTAAGTTTTCTGACACTGATCAGCGGCTCCGTTTTAAGAGTACTTTACCTGTTACAGACACAGATTACAGACTACATAGCACAGAAGCTGCCCCGAACTACTGCCCGTAATGCTGAATCCCGCGTGACTTTTTCTGCCCTTTAGAAGTTCCACGGTGTTGCATGGATTTTATCCTCACTGTAGAATGTGCGAGGTTGTGCTTCACTTAGATATATTCAAGTCTCAGAAAGTCCTGACGGCTTTTCTGGGGCCGTCATTACTTGGGCGGACTTTGATGGTCAAGGCCAGAGGGGAGACTGACTCACTGACGCTGTCCAGCTAGGCGACATTGAAAGCTGCAGAGCTGCGGTCGGGCCGGGCTGTAAAATACTTCCTGGTATCTTCTTTTTTCTCCGTCTTTAAAACTTTTTGAAGTAAACAGTTTCTTCAAATGTTGTGGTGCCTAGGGTCCTGCCAAGTAAAGTCTACCTGCTGTTTCAAGTGAATGTCCTCTTAGGGAGGCCCGCAGTGGGCAGCGGTGAATAAAGGCAGAGTAAAAGGAGTCAGACTTTCCCTACACTGGGAGATTTTACTTACCCAATTTTAACTCAGCTTCCTAAGTAGGAAATCATAGACTCTTGGTGTCTTAGGTCAGAAGGAGTCATAGGTGTGAGTCTCATGCTGTCACTTGGTAGGTGAAGATCCAGTTCCTCTAGTACCCTTTTTAAGAATTAAAGAGACTTTTCTTAAAAACTGCACAAACTGCCAGTTTTTTTAGCAAGTCTCATAAAGATACCCATTCTGAGGTAACCGGAATGTGATTGTGATTGCAGGTCCAGGGCAAGAGAGGGGCTCTGAGGCTGTGCTGAAGGATTTTCCATTACTTGTGTTGGTGGACAGAAGTAACACACAAAACATGTAGCAGATTTGCTGGGATTTTGGTGACTTTTCCACAGTTGTTAGGTGATCATGTTTCATCTCTTCAGAATGCTGTCCTCCTGAATATGGCAAGAATTATGATGAACTATGTCATTTTAATAGTTTTGGTTACTTTATGTAATCCAGATTGTACTGAGTTTTTTTCTGTTGTTGTTTTCTCTTTTTTGTTTTTAGTTGTGGTGCTGGGGATTATATCCATGGCCTGCAGCATGCTATGCAAATATTGTACCACTGAACTTCTCTGGCTATAGATCATAATTTTTTTATTACAAGAAACATAGTTTTATATTCAGAAATGGTTTTAACCCATGTTAAAGTAATAGTGATGGCAATCAATGATGTAAAATTGTCACAAATTTTTATTTTTAACCGTATTTTCTTGTGTCCAAAATTTTTTGTATTTTTAAAAAAATCATCAACAGATACTTTGCTTCAGATTATTTTTGTGATCACTTTATCAGTGTGTAATTTACTTACCATACAATTCACCAATGTAAAGTGTACATTTCAGTGTTTCTCAGCGCCCTGACACTTGTGCACCCACCACCACCATCAATTTTAAGACATTTTCATCATATAAAAGAAACCCTGTGTCTACAGCAGTCATTCCTTTCTCCCCATCCCATCCCTGCCGTCCGTAGCCCTGGGCCATCCTTAATTTAATTCATCTATTCTGGCATCTCATGTAAGTGGAATCGTATAATTTATTGTCTTTGGTTACTAGCTGTGTTTAAGATTATTTTGAGGAAAGAAGCCATATTGATGCATTAAGTAAAAGATTACAACTCTAGTTAGGGTATCTGTTGTATCGTGGCTATAAAGAAAAGCATTACATTCTATTTTTAATGATAAAATAATTACAGTAGGATTTTGGCTTTTTAATTTAATTACTACTTTTCATTTGCTTTTGTTTCCAAGGAATATTTGGGAAGCTTAGCATTGCACAAGATGACCCTGAAGACTGAACTGCTTGCCCATTCTTATCTTTCCTTAAAAGCTTGCTCAGGGAGATGTTTTGCTGGGTGCTGTTTGTTCTTAGAGTAACCGCTCAGAGCATCCAGATAAGAAGTCCTCCCCCTGCAGCTGGCTGGCTGCGCAGGGTGTGCACCGAGCAGGAGTAGCCCTGGGCGCCGTGCTTCTCTGCTGGAGCTCCAGAGAGGTTATCAACCCATGTGTTAGTGGAAGATTAGAGTACAGTCTGCGGCGGTTTTGCATGTGTGCTAGAGTGTGTGCATGTGTGTGTGCACGCATGCGTGCATGAGTGTTGAATTCATCAGAGCTGAGTGCTTTTTCAGTTAATTACTTTATCAGGAATTAGACTGCTTCTAAAGCTAATACTTGATTAGGTTTCAGATGAAGAGTTCTTAGTACAGCTTGCCCATGGTCAAGCCTTTTCTAAGGAAAATGAATGAATGTAGCTTTCAATGTGTTAAACTTAGCTGGTTTACTTTGCAAATCTCTTGAAACTCCTGTTTGAAATTTATACTAAAACAGTGACTGGGAAAGCACTAGTCAGTGTTCTTGTTCCCACCCCCATGCTGTGAAATTCCCTTCTGCTAATTGATCCTTGAAGGCTGCACAGAAACCCTTCCCTCCCCTGCTTCCTCCAGCCTAATGTGTTGTGTCCCTTAGAGAAGCATTTTTACATCCAGATCAGATTCTGCCCTGTATGATTCTCATGTGTATTTGTTTCCCTTCGCAAAGAAATCAGGAATACTCTTGTATTTTCCCGCAGAGCCCATGCAGTCTGCACTAGGCAGGTTTATGCTGGGTTGCGCAGATGTGAATGTCTTGAGGGAATCTTCTCCCATAATTTGAAAAACAACCTTTGAGAGTGGAAGCATTGCCCAGTTTGCCTACCACAAAAATGAAGCACGTCAGCCACAAACGCAGAACACTTCTTGATGTTTGTGTGCGCGTCATCCCTGGAGTGTGAGTGTCAGGGTGGTGGCAGGCCACACTCGGCAGCGTCCCGCCTGTCCCCAGCAGAGGACCGCTTTGGCCCTGCCGTGAGTGGGTACAAGAGCTTGCTGTGGAGTCACAAACAGTGCTCTCCTCCTCTTTTCCACCTCTTCCTAAGACCTCAGTCCTGGATTGGTGGGAGGAAACCTTTTGGAAAATTTAAGGAAGAGCTCAGATTTAAAAGGACACCAGAGTCCATTATTCCATAGCCCGTGAAAATGGAAGCCTCTCCTAGTGTTAGAGGCAGTAAGAAAGGGTCTTTTTTTTCCTTCAAAAGCTATTGCTATAAATATTGGATATATCTAAGCAGCAAACATTTAATTTTCAAAGTATTGACACCTAACAGAATATTCCATTACTATGCAAATGCAATATAAGTGATATAGTTTCCAGTTTTTAAAAAATTGATGTTATTTTATATGTACTTTAAAGAATATTTTCGCATTGTATTATTATTAAAACATAATTCATCATATTATTATTAAGGCCTGACTGTTTCTGTTTGGTTTCTGATATCCATGACCCTGGTCTTTTTGGGCACCTTCTTCCCCTTGTTAGCATCGTGCAGTGCTCTGAAGTGGTTATTTGGTATTTTCTGAGCTGAATTAACAGCTTACTAATAATGACATGCAGTAAGGTTAGAAAGGATGTTCTTATACTCTAAAAATAACACTTGCTAGTGAGATACGGAATACTGGGGTTCAAGGCAGCTAGACAGGGAACCCATGGAGAGCATGAGTTTACTGTGGAACAGTGTAGGCGTCCACACGCTGTTTTAAATGTGTCCATGTGGTTTTGTGTCTGTTATCTCACTTGAATTCTCTTAGCAGTCTGAAGGCGTGGCATCCCCATTTCAGAACTGGGGAGCCTGAGGCTCAGAGCGGCTCTGCGAATGTTCTGGTCTCAGGCACCAGCAGAGGGGCCGATCTGCTCCGTCTGCCGCCTCTCCTCCGTGCTTGTCAGACCTCAGCCCCGCTGTGCATGCCAGGCCTCCAGCGGGCCCAGCTGTGGCTCTCTTCTTCACCTGGGGCTGCTCGGGTGATTCTTCTCATCTGCTAACAAGTTAGGTTTGAAGGATTCCCATGTCCTGCTTGGCTGCGTTACCCAGCACTCGCACTGCTGCATTGACATCCGATCTGGCCTGTACCCTTCATAACACTTCCGCATCTTACACTGCTTTGTTTGTTTGTGGGTATATGTACTGTCCGCTTTTCCTCAGCGGGGTCTAATGTTTGGACTTGAGTTCTCGATCACTCTAGTTTTCATTCAGACCTAACGCAATGTCTGGGGCATTTTGGCGCTCAGTCCGCATTTGTTAAGGGAGGAGCTGTGACAGAAGAGGGCGAGAGTGAAGACTGAGACTCTAGACACCAGTTTCTAGCTTCCTTTCACTGGATGGTTTAGTAGAGCACATAGAAAAGCCTGATAAAGCTGGATGTGACGCTCACACTTGCAATCTCTGCACTCTGGGAGGTGAGGCAGGAGGATCACAAATTGACCCCACCCTGGGGCAACTTAGCAAGATCCTATCTCAAAATAAAGAATAACAGAAAAGGACTGGAGATGTGCTCAGTGTAAAAGCCCTAGGCTCCTTCCTGGTACTGCTAGAAGGAAGAGACAGAGAGAGGGAGATAATTTTGATAAGCAAATGGAACTCCTGTTGGAATAAAAGGATGCCAACACTTGTTATACCTCTTAGTGCTAACTGCAAGACTCCCAAATTAAAGGCTGATTAAGTTGAGTACAAAATCATGGGAGTTGGGGTTGCCTAGTTAACGCAGTGAGTTCACTTTGATGTAACTGCAGATGGTTGCGAGAAATCCGTAAGACCAGAAAAGAAACTGCATTGCGTACTTGCAGTGCTTGTCCAGGTATCGGTAGGGTTTAAGACTGTCTCTCTGAGCCGGCGTTCCAGTGTGCAGTCACGGAGATGTCAGGCAGCCATAGCCAGGGCGCAGGATGTCCTGCCATATTGTCTGGAGACTTCTCTTGAGCAAAGTTCACTCTATGTGTTTGAGTGTACATATATGTTTATACGTGTATGATTATGAGAATTGGAACCTTTTAGCTACAAACCTTACCAGTTTATGGTGTTCAGAGGAAATCTGTTCAGTGCAGAGTAAGATGTGCCCCTGTATTTCACAAATTGGTCATTTTTGATACCAGCCTTTCATTAATTAGAGTACTGTAGGGAAGAGCTGCTCATTCTGTCTGTTACCCCATCTTTGTTAAGACCATTGTGAACAAATCCACAATGATTCTGGTTGATAATGAGGCGGGGAATTTAAAAATATGTGTATAGTGAAGATGATTAAAGATTAGATCCATTTAACATTAAAAAAATCTTGGATTTTATTTGCTGGAGAATTCATGTTTCTTTATCTTTTTATTCTAGTCCTAAAGAATATTCTTACATATAATAAAGAATTTCCATTTGATGTTCAGCCTGTCCCATTAAGGTAAAAATTTTAAAAACCATCCATATTTTACTCCTTGTTTTGCTAGTTTATGCCTGTGTTCAGACACTTGTTTTTGTGTGCCAGTGTTGGTGTCATTGGTGTGACTGGTATCACTGATAGCAATGATATCATTGATATCCACATGGGTATCAGTATATTGGCTTTTTAAAAAAATAATCACCATCGTGCCTTGAGAAATGATAATCTCTGACACTTCACGAGTACATTAAACTGGTTGCTCACTAATTTTCCTATCCTTTTTCCTGTAGAAAAATTTTAGCACCTGGTGAAGAAGAGAATTTAGAATTTGAAGAAGATGAGGAAGAGGGCGGCGCTGGAGCAGGGTCTCAGGATTCCTTTCCCCCTAGAGTCCCCGGTGGGTACTCATGTGAAGAATACGCTACTTAATCCAGGGGCAAGGTGGTTGGGATTTACCTTGGATTCTTGCTGGGGAATAACCCCACCAGAGCCCATGCCGGTCCTGTGTAGCTTTCCATGGGTTACAGTTTGCCGTAGCTGTGGTGTGAAAGTACCTTTCTGTCTTTGTCAAGGGAGCCTAAGCAATCCGCATGCTCAGAGATGCCTGAGGAGAAGTTGTAAATTGTAGTGAATGTTAAGAGCTCTTACAGAAAGAGCTCACAAGAACGCAATCAGCAAAGGAAAGGCACAGGGCTGGAGTCCAGAGGAAACCGGGAGTCCCTGGGGCGGACCAAACCTGGCACCTCTGGAGAGGGCAGCGCTGTCTCCTAGGCAGCTCCTTGTGCTTATGGGCTGTTGCCCTCATCTTGTCTGACAAGTGAAGAAACCTCTCTTACCTATGGAAGATCGCAGTGACCATTTCCCTCTCTGTAAGTGACTCAGGCAGGCATCTGGGTAAATGTTTTCTCTCTCCCAGTTACAGCTTCAGTGTGTTGTGTTTCTGTGTAGTGCCCAGTTTTTGTTGCTAGCAACCAGCTGCCTTTGGGAAATGCAGCTGTAAATCTGTGATGCACTTGAACCAACCTGTATTGCATGTTTCCGTGCGATGTGCATGTCATCCAGGTATTTTGATCCTGCAGGTAACAGTCCAGCATTTCCCCTACTCCTTGGGGAAGAGGTGCCTGGATGTAAGTGGCACGGGCATGGACAGACAGGTGGCTCGGTGTCTGGCCCCTAGCAGTCCAGATAGGGTGCTCACCTGTGTTCATTCATGAGGCTGGATGGGTGAAGAAGGTGTGGCATGACAAACCCCTGGGGGTGCTGCATGACAGTGACCACCTCCCAGACCACAGGAGGCACGTGGCCCAGGCAGTGGCCGTGCTCCTGCCTGTCAGGTCTCCTTGCCACAGGCCATTATTCCAGTCTGCTTTGGTCTATGAAGAGAAGTGCATTTTTCTTTAGTTCATCGTTATTTTAGGAAAGTTCAAGATTGCCAAGGCACAGAAATAAATAACTGGCATGCTTTCCTGACTCAGCGGTCTTTACTGCCTTTGCAGACTGTACCGCAGCACGTGCAGCTGCAGCTGTATAAACACCCACCTACCTGGCCATTTGCTTCCTTGCCGTAGCTCCATGGCAAACGCAGCCCTTAGAACAGCAGAGCTAAGTCATGAGACGCAGAGGTGTGCTCTGTATGTGGCTGGGGCTGCCGAGTTGAATTAAATCCACTGGCTGTATACAGTTAAATGCAAGTTCAGTTGAGATTTTTGTGCTCTGGTATGGTATTTGCTGTTTCATTTTAGAGATACAAGAAGCTCACTGAACCCTTTTAGTGTGCATTTTTCTCCTCTCAGAGTAAGAAAGAGAATGTGTCGTTTAATTGACTGTACTTGGTTCGGAACCATGCTGTCCTGGGCTGTGAGAGTTACTGGAAAAAACTTGTAAAATTCTAGTCATTGAAAGTGACATCAGGAGGGAAGGCAGGGAAGACTGAAGAGGAATCAGCTTGTTTGGTGTGTGCCAGCTCCCACGATCAGTGTACTGTGTACAGCACTGAAATATTCGTAAACACTGAAAAACAGAACAGAAGGGGCTGGAGGTTTAGCTCAGCCGCATAGGCACCTGCCTTGCAAGCAGGCAGTCGTGAGTTCGATCCCTGGTACCGATAAAAAGGAAAAAGACAAAAAAAGAAACAAAACAAAAAAACAGAAATGACATTGCACAGCAAGAGAACATGTAACCTTTAACTTAATCATATAGAGGAAAAGTTTGTTTGTTTCTCTGAGGGAGGACTCAGGGTTTCAGTGATGACTAAGCTGTGCCCACATTATTATGCAGTTTGGATCTAGGATAATGACTTTTTATTGCCTGTATTACCATGAGTTTGAGGCCAGCCTGGACTACACAGTGAGACCTTGTCTCAAAAAACAACAAAACGAAACAAAACTTGCTAATAATGTTTAAGACTTAATTGAAGACTCTTTTTGCATCTGTTGACAAGATTACAAACATTTTTCTCCTCGTCTGCTAATGTGAACTACCTTGATACATGTGCTAAGCTAACCACATGTTCTAGAAAGTAGTCCCTGGTTTGTGGAGATTTTTCTGATCCAGTCTGTAATGTTGCTGGCATCCCAATTTGCCCAGCCATCCGAAGATCTCAAACACGCAAACTGCCTTTGTGATGTCGTGTGACATTCTCTGTGGCAATGTGAGTTTCGTCTGACAGAACAGGACAAAGAGAAGACAAATGGACTGAAAAGGCCTAACTAAATATAACTGGTAAACTTCAAATGACGCTCTTTATCACAGCAACTAAAGGATGTGTTGATCTGACTGAATCTCTGAGACTGCAGGACAGCAAACTATTTAAAAAGCATCTTCCTGACCCTACCAAATGCTGAGATGTAAAGCCTGTCGCATGTCCACAGGTACAAGGACACCATAGCTATTCTGTGGTTATTTATAACTGGCTTCCTTGACCTACCGGAAGTAGGTAGTGGTAGCCTGACTTTTCCTTGATTGAACTTGAATTAATGTCTACTTTAGGGTGATGAGATGTGGAAATGTACGTCACTGTTGTGTACAAAATACATCTGTAAAGAGCAGCGTGCAGGAGGCTTGCAGGCCAGACTGCATTGTGCTTGCCTGGTTACGGGTTGAGAGCAGGTAGAATATTTCCATGTTTGCTGACAGTATTTACTGTGAAACTGTTGACAGAGCTGGCTTTTACTGGGGCTTCCTTGTTGCCAGGTACTTTATTACCACGGCTGCCCTCAGAGCCGGGCATGACACTGCTCACCATCAGAATCGAGAAGATTGGCCTGAAGGACGCCGGGCAGTGCATCGATCCTTACATTACAGTCAGCGTAAAGGGTAACGAGTTGGGTTTTCCCTCTCACATTACTCCTAACTTACCGCACTTTTTTGAGGCATGTGTTGAATCTATGACAACTCATTTTAATTCACTTCACAATGAGGCAGAATTTCTGCAAGAAATATCGCTCCATCACTAACCATTCTGACGCGTTTACTGAAAAGAGTTTCCTTTTCCATTTTTGTAACTGGCACCCTTGCTTTGGAGATTGTCTGTCTTTTGTTCTCTTCAGATTTACTGTGACAGCCTTTTCTTTGGCATGCACGCTTTCATGAGCCCTGTCTGCGGTATGCGGCAGCTCCCTTCCTTGCCAGGAGTTGGTCTGTGTTTGTGTGTGACAAGGCTCCATTCTCTCCCTGTCCCCCATCTCCCCGCCCCAGCCTCTAGCTTGTCTTGCTGTTCTTCTGACTCTGGGGTGCTGACCAGAACCACACAGTCTCCCTGCCAAGGGCTTCTGCCCTGTGAAGGTTGTCAAGCCCTTACCTCCTTGGCTGAGCCCTGTGCTCTGTCTTCCCAGCCTCCTGTTCCTGAGGCTTCTGACCCCAGGCCCATGGGAGCACCAGGCCTTCATTAGTGAGGACAGCTAAGCAGGTGCAGCCCAGCAGCATCTAGGCCACGTGGGCCCTGGGCACCACTGCCGTACTGAGGAGGTGACGGGCATCTGCTTGGTACTTGCCCTCACCCTCTCTGGTGCAGCAGTGCACTCATCCCAGAAGAGAGAGGCCAGCGCTTACACTCTTTTGTTGCTGCTGAACATATTTCTACATCACTGAAGTTTTTTTAAAAAATAGTTACTGGTTGCCAGGTCTGTAATCCCAACTGCTCAGGCAGCTAAAGCAGCAGGATTACTTGAGCCCAGGGGTTTGAGACTGGCCTAGGAAAGACAGTGAAACCTGAGCTAAAATTTAAAAACACAAAACAAGTCATTCCATTATCCAGAAATAACTGCGCAATGCAAATGTGTTACTTTATTCTGTATTTGGAGGCAAATCAGGAAACATCGCAGCTGAAGTTAACTGGAGAGAACTTTTTTCAGTCCTAGAAATAAGCGCAGACCCATAGGAGAAAAAGGTGTTCAGCCATAGAGCAAACGTGACTGCACTGTGCTGCGATGCTGACTTCTGGCATTGCCTCTTGGCTAAGACGACACTACAGGAGGTGCTCGGCTCCATGCTCTCTGCTGGCTGTTGGCAGAGCCCTGTAACCCAGTTGGAAATGTGTGCTATAGTACACAGGAGCACTTCATGGTGATGCAGTGCATGCTGAGCTGCTTTTGCCCAGCTGCTGAACTGGGCCATGCCTGGAAGGGCGGAAATAGGCCATTGGGCTAACTTAAGTGCCCTGAGACACCTCTGTAACGAACAGTATATGAACACCGAACGGTATATGAACACCGAGCAGTCTTGAAGGGAGACCGTATATTGATTAACTGGGATTCCTGATCCTGGACATTACAACCTACACGATGAGTTAGTGTCCTTCTTCTACCAGTTACATGGTAACTGTAACCAGAACTTCGGTGGTGTACGTGACTTTTTTTTTTGTCTTTTTTTTTTTTTTTTTTTTTGTCTTTTTGAGACAGGGTCTCTCTTTGCAGTTCAGGCTGGCCTTGAGCTCACTTTGTAGCCTAGACTGGTCTGGAACTCACAGCGATCCTCCTGCCTCAGCCTCCTGAGTGCTGGGATTACAGGCGTGAGCCACCACGCCTGGCCATGACATTTTACTTATTGATGAAAGATTCTGCTGGAGGTCTCATGTCCATTTTTGGTTCTTGACTTAAATATAACAAGGAAATTCTGAAAATGTTAATTTAAAGCTCTTTCCAAGTCATGCACGTGATCAATATTAGAAATTAGGGCCAGAGCTACATTTTCACAAATCATGTGCACTGCAGGTTTTTGTTGCACCAGAAGTGGGGGGCTGTCCTGCAGGGGCATCAGCTCTTAACCATGCAGACCGTGCTGTGTCTGCCTCCTGCTCTACACTCATCGGGCCAGCCAGGGTGTGCTCCCTACTCCAGAAGTCTCCTGCCCTGACCCATGCAGTTTCCTGCACACCAGCAGCAAGTTCTCCAGGAGCCCCTGCAGGCCTCTGTGGTTTCTTGACACTCCTCAGTGTGTGGCTGCAAGCGTCCCAACATAGAAACCTGTTTCTCTCTAGATCTGAATGGCATAGATTTGACGCCTGTGCAGGACACGCCTGTAGCTTCAAGAAAGGAGGACACATATGTCCATTTCAACATGGACATCGAGCTGCAGAAGCATGTGGAGAAGCTGACCAAAGGTATCTGTGGGATGTGGGGTTTTGATCAGCTAGCACACTCTGGTGTATGAGCACAGTGTGGAGCGGTGCGGCACAGGTCGTGCCTGACCCATCTGTGTCCCCTGGGTGTCAGGAGACACTGGCTTGAGAAAGTTGAATCTGTACTTTGTAAAAATGTAGGAACTAGGAATCATGTGATCCAATTGTACAGTCGCCCTGGAAATGCTCTTTGATATGAGATTTCATTGCCTTTTACAGCAAGTGGGAAGTCTCTTCACATTGACAGCGGGGCAGAGGGCACTTCTGCAGGTCCCCACGGCCTCACTGGCCTGTCCTGGGGCTGCTGGCCCTAGCAGGTCATTGTTGGGAAGCTGGGCGAAGACAGTACACGTTTCTGAAGCGCCCAGATTACGTTTCCGTGTTCAGTGTTCACTAGAGTGCAGTGCTGCTGCCGGCCACCCTCATGTTTACTTGGAAAAATTAGAACTGGATAAATAGTTCGAATCCCAGCCTCAAAAATACTGAATATGGAGATTTTTGTTGGAGGAGAAAGAGATGCTTCAGTGTAAGAAACTGTCTAATGCCTGTTGCTTGCAGTACACAGTGCTTTGGGCTCTGCTGAGCTGTGACACCTTCACGTTCCTCTTCTTGTATTTGATGTCTGTACTCCTTAGTGACTGTGCTTACGCAAGTAACTGACCTCGGGTCAACCTGGCTCAGAGACCTGTGCTGTGCTTGTACAGCAAGGTGGTGCGGTCGAAGCAGCACTTGGACCCAGCAGTTTGGGGCTGCCACACTAGGTTAGAGTCGCAACACCACACCACACTGGATACAGGTCACTTTGTCAAATCCTGCCTGTCCCTCTGTTCCCTGCGGTGGTAAGTGAGAATGCTTGGATCCAGGAGGACAAGCGGGCCATGGTTCACCAGCTTGTGTGTTTCACCCCTCAGGTGCAGCCGTCTTCTTTGAATTCAAGCACTACAAGCCCAAGAAGAGGTTCACCAGCACCAAGTGCTTCGCCTTCATGGAGATGGATGAGATCAAACCCGGGCCGATTGTAATTGAACTGTAAGTGGCATGTGGATGGCTGAGCGCTGCTCTCAGGTGTCCTCCCAGCCCTGCTTCCCTGTTGGATGATCTTGCAGATCAGTCACCACGTATTCTAAACAATGCTCTCTTTTGTGGTTACAGCTACAAGAAACCCACCGACTTTAAAAGAAAAAAATTACAGTTATTGACCAAGAAACCACTTTATCTTCACCTGCATCAAACTTTGCACAAGGACTGATCCTCACCTGAGTACCCTGGAACTCCTGTGAATCTTACCAGCCAGTAGCAAGCGCCACAGCTCTGTAGGATCTTCACTCTCTTGGGCAGGAAGTGGGCTGTGCCCACCCAGCAGGCCAGTGAGTACCTGGCATGGCCGCAGTTTGGAACCGAGTCTGGCGTGGTGCAGAGCAAGTCTCCTTTGGACCTAGGCTTACTGTAGGTGCCGGACCATGCTCTTCTCTATTGATTGTGTGATCCATAGTCTGTTTTATAATTCACCTCGGATCCTACCCGGCTTCCCAGAACAGTGCAGCTGTGGGAGGCGTGCTCATCTTCAGACCCCACACAGCAACAAGAATGTGCTTGAGTTTACACACCTGCTCCCTGGGGCCGGGCTGTGTAGAGTGCCCCCCCCCCCAGTGGGACGGGCTGCTGGACTTCCGGCTCTGACGTCCTGTATGGAATAGCGTGCCTTGCCCAGATCAGTGTCCCCAAGTGGTGGCTGTGATTTCTTTTCCCAGAGAACCAGATTATTTTTCTGAAAATGACATATTTTAATCGTGTTGATCACCTGTTTTACATCACAGTTATTTTTTCTGATGATTTTAGAGTTAACATTGGAAGCATCTCAGAATAAACACCTTTTTAGATGGGTTTACAGTGTCTTAAGTGATGTCATCTGAAAATAACTGTGTCTAGTAGAAATGAAATACTGCAGGAATAAATGCTGCTTATCTGACAAGTGATTGTGAAACTTCAAACCTGCATACCTTTTCTTAGTGATGAGTATGGATAATCAGCAGACGTTTTAATTTTTTTTAATATCAATAGCTAGGATTGCCATTGATCTCCTGTTTAGATATACTGGCATTTATCCATATGAAAATGCATAGGTCAGCAGTTTTTCAGTTTTGACAGTTCACATTACTTTTAAGAGGCATAAATGAAACTTGCATAGAACACATGAGGGTAATACTAGACACACAACATTGAAATTTTGATATTCACTATTTTAAACCCATGGTGCGTAAGGGTGCAGTTGTGGTTCCTGCCTGTTTTATGCTGGTGTCGGGGCCCTGGTCATACCGTTCAGCGTGTTTGCCTCCGACTGAGGTGACCGTGGCCCATCTGCCTCAGAGCTCTGCTCCATTCTGGTGTCCATGTGGCTACCTCCACTCACTGGGTGGGTGCTGACCAAATGGAAGGGCATGAAAGAATTCTTAGCCCACTTCAGCCTTTTAGAGTTAACATTGGAAGCATCTCAGAATAAACACCTTTTTAGATGGGTTTACAGTGTTTATCAGATAAACTTATTAAGAAACCACTTTATCAAATCAACTTATTAAGGCCAGATTAAGATAAAGTGGTTTCTTGGTCAATAACTGTAACTTTCATCTTGCCTGGATAAAAGGCAACCACCACAGTGATTCAGTCCACAGTACCTCCAGGGCATGAACAACTGGCCTTAAGTTGATTTTTTTCACTCAGTTCTTAAACTCTCAAGTGTCCGATCCACAGGCTGTGGGCTCCTCGGGGTGGGGCCAGAGTCATCCCTGTTGTCTCCACACGCCCTCTGAGGAGCATGGTGCAGTCTCTGCCCTGTGGGGTCCTCACTTCCTTTGGTTTGATGTTGCTGAGACCTAAAAACATAAGCTTGGAAACCCACTATTAAAATGTAGCCCAATGGCCGTCTCATGCTCCTTCATTGTGGGCTGCAAGGCACAGTGCAGGGCAGGGCTGGTTCCTGCACAGTTGAACATGCAGGGTGGGGCGAGGGCAGCATGTGCTCAGCAGACGGCGAGATGGCCAATGGTGAGCATGCACCACCGGGAACCAGAACTGGCACTCCAGCAGGGGCAGTCAGCCCAGGGTGCACCTTCAGCTAGGCATGGTAGCAGGGAATCCCAGGAGCAGCCAGGAACTGAATTCCCAGGTCCTGAGGAGGCGCTGCTGAGGGTGGGTTGCTTGGCCCCCTGGGCTTTGCCTACCCTGGCATCCTTGGCCACATGGGGGCGCAGTGGGTGAAGGCGGCTATGAGAACAGGCTGGCCCTGACTGCTGAGCCTTCTGAAGCCTCCAGAGCTGGCTGCCAGTGGGAGGCAGTATGAAGTACCCATAGGGCTTTGCATAGGAGGGTAATTCCGAATAAAAATGTAGATTTACCCCAAGTGATACGTTTTGAAAAAAAATTTCCGGGCCTGCTTCCCGGTCGCACACTGTACAGGCTATCTAGAAGTGGAAGTGGACTTCTGTGTCCTGAAGAGGTTGACAGATCACATTCAGAGGGCACATTGGTGATTCTGTGCCACTGTGCTTGGGTTGAAGACGGCCAATGGTGCTGCTGGCGTCCGTGTTCTCTTGACATCAATTGAGATGGAGGCTGGTGGATGGCGTTCTTTTCCTGAAGGATTCCTTCGTCACCTTTGAGCTGAGTCTTCCTGACTTCAGGGGCCTCACCTTTCCAAGTACTATCTCAGGCAGTGTGAATGGATGTGTGTGTGTGTGTGTGTGTACATGAGGTAGAGGTCTGTATCACAGAGAGACAGCTGTGAGGTGGGCTCTGGGCTCCCCAAAGTCATCCCGAAACAAGGGAAAGGAGTGTCCCAGTAAACCAAAGCTCAAGGAGCCTTGTATAATCCCAGCTTTCCCTGGAGCCTAAGCTTAACATTAAATGTACGGTTTACACTACTGTGCTCCACAAGCGTTTTGGATCAGAAATGTTTTTTTTTTGAGATAGTGTGTCATTATATAGTTTATACTGGTGTAGACTCAGTGTGGTAGCACAGGCTGGCCTTGAACTCACTCCTGCCTGCTTCCTGAGCTGGGATTACAGGTGTGTGCCACCACATCCAGCTTAGATCTCTAAACTCTCGGAAAAACCAACAGCAGGAGAAACATTGGAGACCTTGGTTCCCCACACCCGGCATCCCCATCAAGTGCCACTGGGGAACCAGACAGACCAATAACACCTTGTGCAGGTGGAGGGTTCACTGTGAGTTTCAAACAAACATAAATTTCTTTTGTTTACAAAAAGCGCCTCCTGGGCCGGGGATTTAGCTCAGTGTATAAGCTCCTGCCTGGCAAGCAGGAGGTTGAGAGTACCCCGGTACCAAAAAAAAAAAAAAAAATGCCTCCTATTATTAGAGATCAGATGGAAAGATTGTAAACCCTTCCCTTTTGACATGAAAATAAGTCTCTGAAGCAAAAAGTAAAAGCAGTATTTAGTGTTTTTTTTTTTCCTTTTTCTCTTTAGTATATTGTTTTATAGCTCAGAAGCAAGGCTTTGAGCATCTTATGGCCTAAGTTTGGAATCAGCTCACTATCTGATTAGTTGTAAGTTATTTTCTAGGCTTACTCTTAGGTCAGCAAACAAACCAGTAGCATTGATTCAGAAAGCTCTTTTAAAAACTACTGTGCTTAGTGTTTGCAGAGCGAAGCCTCAGAATTGTGCAGTGTAGTGACAGGTCCCCGAATGGTGTGGCAGGCTCACCTGCAGCTTCGGAGACGTCAGGGGTTGATGCTGACAACCTCGGGGCAGGACCTGCCAGGACAGAATGGAGCTCAGCCCACAGCTGCGCAGCTGACCGCAAGCAGGGTAGAAGCCTCACGCTCCTCAATCACTTTTTCTCAGGTTATGTTATTATATTCTTCCCATGTTTTGGTTCCTGTTCCTTGAAAGTCAGTTGTAGGATATGAGAAAGAGAAGACACGCATTTTATAAAGAAATTTACTTTTACAATCATGACACAACTTTGTTGTACTCCTTAATGCAATCAAGGTAAAAGGAAAATAATAGAGCCTGAGGTCAAACGATCGTTGTTTCTACTGTAAATTCTCACTCTTGCGCCCAGCAGTCACCGGTGGGGTCAGGGGTCACGGGCTTCCCCCGGAGTGACGCAGCCTGCAAGCGCGGCACCTCCAGTCCAGGGAGCCAGAGTTCCAACAGCTCTCACAGCAAGCAATGAGCCAGTGGAGGCTGGGAGTATTAACAAACAAGTTTTTATTAGCTATTACTACAAAGGGCATCGGCAGAGCGGGAGGGGATAAGGGGTGATCTTTGAATAAACATCTTTTATCTTTAAGTAACAGTCTTTTCAACCAGGATGGGGCAGGAGGGGTAAAGCTTATAAATACCACTACTTTGTATTCAGCTGGTATACTAAACATCGGTCATGGAAATACATTTCTTAAAGCATTTCCACAGGAAATAGTCATTTTGATGACATTCTGAATCATTTTACACTGACCTATGCTATATTAACTAAAACACAGGGATCGTTATTGCACATTTCAGTTGGAAGGTCACTCGAGCTTAAGAGGCAATTTTTAGAGAGGAAGATGAGTCTTCTGAATTGTTTGGCTCAAAAATGTGCACTGCTCAAGGGAGCTTAGTACTAAAAACCTTTTAAAATGAACTCCACAGCCAATAAAAACCTTGGCCCTCTGAGTAGTGGGGCCATTAAGGGCTCTGCCTCAGAGCCTGGGCAGGTTCCTGGCTGCTTGTCGACGAGGCTGGGGCCTCTCTGGGCCCTGAGACCTGGGGCTCCTCTGTGGCAGGCGGCGGTGTGTAGTCCTGGGGCCCGGCAGGCGGTGGTGGGTAGTCCTGGGGCCCAGAGGGTGGTGGTGGCATTCGAGGAGCAGGAATGAAATACTCTCGGGGGCCCAGCGGGCCTGGAGGCCTGAATGGCACAGGTCCTGGCAAGAACTCGCGGGGGTGCAGCGGCAGGTCGCGGCGTCCAGGCAGGATGCCAGGCGCGTACTCTCTTAAGCCCAGTGGTGGGCCCATGCAAGGGACTGGAAAGCAAGAGGGACATGCGGACACATCCTGAGGAGCAGCCCAGGTCTGCTCAAAGCGTTTCCCTTCCCCTGAGCCAGGAAGCCGAGTGATGCACTGGACTTCACAGATAAGGAAAACTGAGGCTCAGTATGGCTCAACCACAGCCTGACCCTCCCTTCTCCCAATGCCACACGCCCATGGCGGCCCGGGTGACCACCCCGGTGGGACTGGCACTTCGGCTCTGCGGGAAGGGCCCTCTGGTCCAAGCAGCTGTGGAGGCTGCACTGGGCTCAGAGTGCTGGGCGTCTGGAGGGCTGCAGCTGCCGAGCAGGACAGGAGAGGAGAGGACAGGGTAGGCTGTGGTGCCAGCCCAAGTGTCCTACCGTACCGAATGGTGGCGGTGGCCTAGGAGGCATCGGCCGAGGCCCAAAGGGCCTGCAGAGCGGTGGTGGTGGCGGCGGCCCATAGCCCACGAGGGGCGGCATGGGGCCTCCCAGGAACGGGGGCCCTGGATAGGCTGGGGGCCCCTTCGCGGCCATGCTCACCTGCAAACAGAAGCAGGCCCAGTTCCGAGCTCGGCAGTGACACCGGGTGCCCATCCCGAGAGGAGTCAAGGGATCCCCGGACCCTGCTGGCCCCCAGGTGAGCAGCACACCACGCAGCGAGCATGGCCACCACGCTGTCCCCACTCGCGTGCGGAGAGATGAGCTCCGGAGGTGCCAGCGGGGCACTGCGCCAGCTTGCTGCACTCCTGCCAGCACGAGCGTGGCCCTGGGCACGACAGGGGTGACACAAGGGCTCCCGGGGTCCGGGGGTCCCTGGGAAGAACAGGGAGCTGCCTCAGCCAGTGACACTGCACTGCACAGGGAGGGGCTGGCGGAGATGCCTGTGCCTGGGCTGACCAGAAGGCAGGCCAGGGAGCTCTGACTATCGCAGGTGGCCCCATGCGGTGCGAAGGCTGCCGAGGTGGCAGCATCAGGACCAGGAGGCACAGCAGCCTGGGCCACCAGGGGGCTGGATTCTCGGGTCCCTGGAACCAGCTTCCCACTCCCGGCAGAGCCAACACCCACCTCATTGCAATCATTGCAAGGGGTCTGCCTAGCACACACCCTGAGGACCCTCACAGCTGCTCCCAAAAAACAAGAACACGCGAGTGTGGCAATGCACACTGGTCATCCCGAACTCGGGAGGCTGAGGCAGGAGGACTGCTAGGGAACTGCAGGTCGGCTCTGAGTACTGTGAGGTCAAGGCCAGCTTGAGCTGCATAAGGAAACCCTGACTCAAAATAAGTACCAAACAAAAGACACAAGGCAGGGGCGTGAGGTGTGCTTTGCCCCAGCACTCAGCACGTGGCCCAAGCCTTAGCAAAGGCCCGAGTTAGATGGTGACCGAGACAGCGGGGGTCGCCACAGCCAGGCCAGCTGGAGAACAGAGGGGAAGCCAAGGGCGTATGGAGCAGCGCGGGCACAGGCATGGGCCTCAGGCTCACCTTGCCATCGTCCATGTCCTTCGCCGGGGAGGAGCCGCGGGAGCTGCTGTTGGCCACAGGGCCAGGGCCGGGATCTGGGGGCAGAGAAGGCACTCAGAGGACTCTCCAGGACGAGGACAAGGACAGCGATGGGAAGAGGCCATGAGCATGCCCTCGGAAGTGCCCTCAGGGACATGGCAGAGCCCTGAGGACTGGCCCTGGAAGGAGCAGAGGCCCGTGGGAGGAGGGAGGCCAGGGAGCCCTTGAGCGGGAGCCAGAGGTGCCCGGCTCACTGAGGGGGTCAAGTGTGGGTGTGGGGGGGAGTCAAAGGAGGCCTCTGAGTCTGTGGGGCTCCACCTGGTCAGCACTTCGAGGACCTGGGGAGCTGGGAAGGCTGCTCTGCGGCAGCCCCAGCCAGAGGCGGAGGCTGCTTTAGGTCTCAGGCTGTGGAGGAGGAAAACAGGGACGAGGAAGACAGAGCCCGCACTCGAAGGCCACGCGCTTTGGGAGCAGCACACGGAACCAGCAACACACGGACCTGCCTAGCTCGGGAGCAGGCCCTGGTGGCCCGGAGTTGAGAGGTGAAGAAAGTGCGCCCACTCACTGAACACTGTGCAGAGAGGGAGAGGGCGACACCGCGGCCTCCGCCATGCCCCAGCCAGAGAGGGTTGGGAGTGACGGGGTGGGGTGGGCCACGGCTCCCAGGACCCTGCTCCCACACTGCAATCGGGGTGGGTCCGCACACGGCCCTAAGCCTGGGCTCTATCTATACCAGAGCTCAGGGAACAGTGCCCAAGGCAAGGCAGCACGGTGTCCCTGAGTCCAGGCTGCGAGGCCCCGGACAGGCTCACCGAAGTCAGCTCTCGGAATGTCACGGCGTGCAAAGTTCAAGCTCGCAGAGGGCGGCCGTCCAGGGGGCTCTGCGCCTGGGGGCGGGGAGCACTCACCACCGCTCACAGGGGACTGGCCAAAGGAGCCGTTCTGGCTCAGGGGACCTGCGGCGACAACACACGTGCTGGTTACCCCTTCTCTGCAGTGGCTAAGTTTCCCAAGTCGCACTCAGAAGGACAGAGCGCCCACCTCTGTGGGGCGCGTTCTGTACTCCAGGCCAGTCGGGCATCGGCTTGATGATCACAGGCTCCTCTTGAAACATGGCCAGCTTCTGGGTCATCTCCACCAACCTGCAAACAGACAGAGTGGGGTTGGGGGTGACCATAGCCACCCTGAGCGGGCTGAAACGTGGGCGCCACGCATCGCGCCCCGCGCTGCTAACCTCTGCCGCAGGTTGACGGCCTGCCGCTTCTCCTCTGCAATCAGGCGCTCCGCATTGCGGGCTTTGAGCTGTGGAGACAGAGGGGCCAGCTCAGCACAGTGGCTGAGTCAAGCTGAAGAGAGTGAGGCGAGGAGGAGGCTCTTACCCAGTTCTCGTGGGCTTTTTTCTCATGAGTAGCAAGCTGCAAGACAACAGAGCAAGACGCAGGTTGAGGGACAAGTCACCGGGGCCGCAGCCCTCCATGAGGTCTGTGTGGGGGATTAACAGATGCTGTCACCACAGCGCACTCTATTTCTTACCTGGTTTTTAAATGAGCGCTCTGTTTTCTGTAATTCTTCCTCCATTTCATGGATTCTCTGCCTAAAAATAATACTTAGCAGTTAGAACCAAATAAATTCTGAAACACTCTAACCATGTCTGACCTTTAAAGACTTAATCATACAGAAACATTTCATAACCTGATGAGTGCAGTGTGAGCCTCAGTTTCCTGATTTTTCATTAATGCCTAGAGATTATGAGTTGACAACTTGTAAATTTCCTTAACTGTCCTTGCAATAACATTCTCAAAATAATCTGGTTAAGGGTACCTTCCCCATAAAGGTTTTCCCCTCAGGGGCTGGGGATTCAGCTCAGTGGCATAAGCATCTGCCTTGCAAGCAGGCGGTCATGAGTTTGATCCCCGTTACCGATAAAAAAAAAAGTTTTTCCCCTCAAGTTATAGCCACAAGAAATGACCCAAAATGCTGCCCCTGGTCTGTCGGGGCACCTAGACTCTGGTGGGTGTAGACGTGTGACAGAAGCAGGCCGCTTTCCTAAAAATGGGCACATAACACATCTGCAAAGGAGCTTCGCAGTTAACAAGCTTCTGTCTGTTAATGTAGAACCCCTCCCCGTGTGAGTTAAACACATTCCATTCTGGGACTGCTCATGCTTCTGTGCCCATCTCTTCTATGTAACGAAGCAACTCAGCCCAGTTCCTCTGTCTCGGACGCCACACTCACTTGTAGACTTTCACTTCCTCTGTGGCCAGCACCACCTTCTCATCCGCAGCCGACAGCCGCTGGTCTCGCTGCTGCTGTTCAAATTCCTCCTGGCTCAACTTCCTAGGAGAATGGCAGCTGCCAGGGGCGAGCTCGGCCCACAGGCCACTTCCCCACCCAGCAGCAGGCACAGGGTCTCAGGAGGGAAGTCAAGCTCCAGGCTCTGGGCCATTTGTTTGTGTTCTTATGTTCTCTCACCTCTCCTTGTAATTGTCTAATCAGCAAACAGAACAATCTAAGAGCACAGCACGCGCCAGGCTCTAGCTGCCTGTGGGGGAGATGAGTGTACCCCGAGGGAAGCCAGGAGTGTCCAGCAGAGCTGCTGGGAAAGCAATAGGCGGAGTCCTCCCCCCCTTCCCCCATGCTGTCTGGGAAGAGCTGTTCCTCTAGACCTAGGCCATGATAAGCACACAAGCAAGGCCGAATGGGTGGACGGGAGCCTTGGCCCCAGCCAGAAAGCGAAATGTGGGCCCCAGAGGCCAGTGCTGCCCTCCTTCAACCCACACATTGAGGACAATGCCAAAGATGCTGAACTGAGCCCTCGACAAATCCCTAGGCTTTAAGAAACAAGCAGTGGAGCTGAGGCTACAGAGGCAGGGACGCTGGGCCCAACTGCTAGCTGGATGATGGTGACGGCGGACAGGCAGGAGCAGCCTCAGGTCGCCATCACAGGAAACCAGCAGCACCCTGGGCCCCTAGTTTCCTCTATGATCACTGCACATCGAAGCTGCTAGGCAATCAGAAGTGACAGGAATGGCCAGCATGAGACACTGGGCAAAATCTCTCGGACTCACTTCTGCAGCTCCATCTCCTTCTGCTGGTACAGCTCGTTCAGGATCTCCACCTTCTGCTGCAGCGTCCTACACTCCTCCTCCAGCCCGGCCTTGGCTGCCTGCAACGTGCCACAGTCCTCATCCAGCTTCTTGATCTGGTCTGGGAGGTGAGACACGTCACCAAGGGCACCGCCAAAGACACAGAACCAGGCTCCCAGCACCCCTGCCTCATTCATGCCGGCACTCAGCCTGACCACCATGTGGCCAGGGATTTACCTTCCAGGTCACATTTGGCAGACAGGGAGGCTCTCAGTTTCACTTGCAGCAGTTTGAGATCCTTCTGAAGCACGGATATTGCGGTACGTGTCTGAAAATTGTGAGGGAGAGGCACTGGCTTGAAAGTGAGGCACAGTCAGGACTCATGGGCCCCTGGTGGGCTCTGTGAAGGGACTCACCCGGGAGACATCCATCAGCTGGTGCATTCGAGCCTTCAGCTTACTCTCCTCACCTACAAAGAGAACAAGTGTGGCTGTGTCTTCCTGTGCCGTTTCTAACACTGTTGTCTTGACTTCCACAAAACTAAACTAATGCTCATCAAACTAATGCTCATCAAAATGTAAAGAAAAACAATCCACCAACAGAACTGACAAACTGACTTTTAAGACAACTGCACCCTTAGATTTTGTGAGCTCCTGCCAAGACAGCATGCCACATGGTCTAGGGGGAGCTGGCCGGCGTGGGTCCAGACTCGCACCCTGAGCACCCTCTGCAGCTGGGGCGGCACCCTGACCACTTTCCTCATCTCAGACCCTGCTGCTCTCCAGCCTCTGCCCTCACAGCCTGGGCTCTGGCTCCCCCATCCCCACACTCTAGGTGACCCTGGCCAAGTGCCTGAGAACCACAGAACAGCAGAGGCCGTGAGTGCGGACCCGAGTGTCATCTCCAGGAAGCTGAGAAAGTTTCTTCTCTGGCACAGAGGCCGACACAAAGGCAAAGGCTCCAGCGTACACATCTAGTTCTCAAGGGGTGGAAAAGCAGCTTTCCCCGCTTGCCTGCTTCTACTGCACCCCAGTGACCCAGACATAAGTACGAATTATTCAGGTAAAGCTGGAAACCGACCACACGTGCAGGGCCAGGGCATGGCTGGCCCAAGAACAAAGAGTCCATGGGGTTGCCATGTGAAGAAGCTGCCTCAGCCCAGAGATCACCAAGCCCCAAGACAATCTGAACAGTGGGCTGCTAGGACAACAGGGTGTCACGTGACATTAAGTTGCTAAAAGGTATAAATAAACGCCCCTGCAGTGAGGGGCCAGTTCCTTTCTTCCCATCAGGAGGGTAAGGGCTCCACCTGACCCCAGATTTGTCTGTCTATTTTCTCATCCTCTTGTGGTCCTTCACAATAAGAACCTAAAGAGCTGAATGGGTCTGTTGGGGCAAGAAGAAACTCAGCTGAGAAGCAGCATCCATGTATAGAATTAAAGACAAAAATGCGTAGGAGACTGAGATAGAAGATTTGCTGTGGGTTTGAGGGCAGTGTGGGCTACACAGTGAGTTCAAGGCCAGCCACTACATAGAGACCTTGTCTAAAATAACAATAAAGAGAAGAACACAAAAAAAGGCCCTTGAAGGGCTGGGGATTTAGCTCAGTGGCACAAGCACCTGCCTGGTGAGTGCATAGTCATGAGTTTGATCCCTGGTTTAAAAAAAAAAAGGGCCCTTGGGCTAGGGCCAGTCTTACCTCCCACCTCTCCATTGGCTAATTCACCTGGCTCACATCTGCCTGGACCTGGACCCTCAGATTCTGTTCCACTCTCCAACTGATTTAGCTGCATGATGCAGTTGGTCAGAGCCTAGCAGAGAAGCGAGCGGCAGTTAAGAGCCTCTCCATCCTCACAGTGGGTTTGTTTCCCGAGTGTTCACGAACAGGCTAGGTCGGCCGGGGTAACTTACACCGATGCTATCATCCTTATCAGTAAGAGTGGCTTCCAGATCCATCTGAGACTTCTCCAAGGTCCTGATTCGCTCGCTGAGTTCAGCATGCAACTTCTTCTGGTCTTCAACTTCCTGCTGTAGCTGAAAGTCACATGCAAGGGTCCCTGTGGACTGGGGATTCCACAGAGGCACAGGACCATGCAAGTGGGATGGGGAAGCCGGAGTCGTGTCCCTCCTTGTCCCATCGCAGAGGCTAAGACTTGGTTCAGGACTGCAGAGCATGGCTTCCACCCTGAGCTGTCAAGGAAGCTGACCCCATCCATCAAGTCCTTCTGAAAAATGCCTGCTGACTCAAATGCCTGACTTCCAGATGGCACACATGAGCATGTATTGCTAGGGCTTAACATATTCTGGCATGAATATGGCATGAACCGCTGCAGGGCATGCGGGACTGTCCATACCACCTAATGGGACTATCCTGTGTGTCTATCAGGAACATAACCCATTCAAATGGGAGCTGCCGGCAGCTAGCCGTGGGATTTCTGGCCTCATTGTGTGTGTGTTGATCACAGATCCCTGATCTAACCTTCCTATGGACAATGTGAGGCAGTAATTGTTAGAGGCGGCTTAGAAAAGCCTTAAATCTGAGGTTGAAAAAGCCAACCCCTGGCCTTGCTGACGCCAAACTAATGACCGGTGTCTAACAAGACAAGCGCCAAGAACTGCCATCAATGTACAGAACCGAAAATCCACGAGCGACACAAAAGGCACCTGTGCCCTCAATAATGTACAAGCTGGGGAGGACAGACTCAATGCACCCCAACTTGCTGCAGGGGCCTGCATAAGCAGCTCCTCATGAGAAAAGATGACAGCGCTAAAGTCACTGGTTTTGCACCCACTCTGACCAGACAGTTACCTGCATTTTCTTCTTCTTCAGCCTTGTGTTTTCTTCCTGAACCTGGTGGCACTCAGACTTCACCTTCTCCTCACGCAACTTGGCTTCATTCAGGGCGACCTGAACCTAATACAGAACACGACAGTTCATGAGCCGTGCCAGTGAGGGGCCCGTAGCCTACACGTTAATCATGCATGGTCTCTGCCTTTCACGGCTCTCAGCACTCGTCAGGTCACCACTGCTCGATGCAGCTGAGTCGCAATACTGACACCGGCAGGGAGTGTGGGCAGCCTTACCTCGGAAAATTCTGAGGCATTCATTGAAATAACCTCCTTTAGCTTCTCCAAAGATTTCTGATTTTCCAGTATCTGCCACAGAAGCAAGGAACACACAGAACACATTAGCACTGTGGGAGAAACACTGATACATATGCTAAAGAACAAAAACATTACTACAATGTACCCCAAACTACCCACTATGTTTTAGGTAAAATTGGGATTAAACGTGGTCTGGGGAAAAAAATCAGCTTAAAGAGCTGACAGAAAAAACTGAAGTCAAGAGTTTTATGGCACCCTCAAGCTTCGGGGTGACCACGCAACATAGTATAAAGAAATGTTCAAGCAAACCACGGAAGATGAACAGCTTTTTCTGGTGGCAGGAAAACAACCCCAAAAGGGCTGGAGATTTAGCTCAGCAGCATAAGTGCCTGCCCGCCAAGCGCGGGGTCATGAGTTCAACCCCTGGCACCAAAAAAAAAAAAAAAAAAAAGCTCCAAGATGACTTTAAACATGTTCTTGTCTGAATTAAAAATGGTAAGAATGCTGGGTATGGTGGACACCTGTAATCCCAGCACTCAAGAGGCTGAGGCAGGAGAGGAGAGTTTAAGGCCAGCCTAGGCTACAAAGTGAGTTCACAGCCAGCCTGAACTGCATAACAAAACCCAGTCTCAAAAAGACAAAAACAAAACAAAACAACAGAAAAAAAGTATTTCTGGGGGAATAGAAAAATCTCATGTGCAGAATTTCTCAATATTTATGACAATACTGGCTCAAGGGGTGACCCTAACCCACCATTCTTTTAACTGCAGGTTGTGTATAATAACTTCCTGCCAAAGAGCATGGTGCAAAAAGGACTGAAAATGGGCAATTCACCAGGTCTGTGCTGAGCAAAGGACCAGGCCACACAGGAGGCGGGAAGCATGAGAACTCTCCTCACTACATTTACGCTTAGGGGATTTGCAGACTATTCAAAAGGTACAGAGTTTACTGTGAAATAAAACCAGTGTACAAAGACCACTCAACTGGACCAGTTTCTTAGTGACTCTGTGTGTTCTGGAGGACACACCTATGAAATTATCCAAGATTCAGGATCAAAATGCTTCCCATGCCTATAAAAACATCCTACTGGGTTAGTACTAAAAAAATCCCACAAAAATCCCACAAAATCCCAGGCATGTTCAGTTCTGTTATTCCTAATCTTATGGAGTTAACAGCATGGGAACAGTTCAACTGATTTACAAAACAGCTAAAAATACACCTGTAGTAACACATAGCAGCAGAACTCACCAAATCTTGATTTTCCATGTTTCGTTTCCTCTCAGATTCTAACATAACACGAAGAGTTTTTGCCGTATCATCCAGCAATTCATTGCTTTCTTCAAGCACCTTGATTTTATCCTACAAGAAAAGAGATTAAAAGTAACAATACGTGTTAATGCTTGCTTTTGTTTTTAAACTATAATCCCAAAAAGAGAAGTACTTTTACCTTGTATTTAATTGCTTCATCAGAGAGAATCATATTTTGTTTCTTTGCCTCCTGAATAAGCCTCTTTGATTCCTTGATCTATGTAAAAAACACATTCAGAACTAAGTAACAGAAGTAACTGTGCTAGTAAAACCTTGTTCCAAAGAAGCGAACAGAGCGTTCGCTTTACACATGATGGTGTGTAAGATCTGGAGGGCTCAGAGGAAATGATGAAGCGAGAACACAGGCCTTCAAAATACCGTAATAACTGAGCTACACCACAGACACGCTAGAGGAGGGCCGGTGAGACAGGTTCTACCTTCTGTTCATAACTTGACAATTTTTCTGCAAGTTCTGCATTGTCCTTTGTGGTAGTCTTCACCTTCTCAGCAATCTGCTGTTCAGTGACTAAAAAGAGGAAGAAGCCAGGTTACTAGGAGCACTAAATGGAACTGAGCTGCACAGTGTCTCAGCAGCAAGGACACCTGTGAGGCTCTGTGAGAGACAGGGCTTAGCACAGCTACCTGCCTGTCCAGAGAGACCCGCAGCTAACAGCAACAGTGCACAGGACACTGTTAAACTTTAAGAAAACTATAGTAACACTTGTTCTGAGGAGATACCAATTACTGCAAAGGCAGGAGATACAGTAAAATGTCACACAGTTGGAGAGGCTCCTTTCACAAAAGGCACTTGTTCTCTGAAAAGGGATCACTTCAAATGAATGTCATTTGCTACGAGAAACGGAAACTTCAGGCTACGGATCTACACTGCTGTCTCTCGAGCTCCTCTGCCGACAAACCTATAGGGGCCGAGGTGTTCCTAGCACAGACACACTGTCCTCTCGCCACACCTGTGTGGTCCAGCCACGCTCGGTCTGTTCCAAGTAAGCAGTCACCCCTGCCTCCACATCTCCTACCTCAGCCAGTACCATCACCCTGCCCACTATACCATGTTAGTAGCAACAGTTAAATGTGGAGCAGTTAGTAAGTCAAATCAGACACCAAAGTCACTGTCGCTCCTAGCCTGCCTAAAAGTCCTCCCAAACACCAACGGGAAGAGATTTACCTTGGTATATTCTCTCCTTCACCTAGAAGAGAAAGAGAGAATTAAATTTGATGTCAAACATTTGATTAAAAGGAATGCATAGTTCCTAACACAAGTCAGGTTCATAACCAAATGAAAATTTAGTAACTTTAGTTCAGGATAAATCCATACAATGAAAAATGAATTATAAATAGCCTCTGATACAGAGGAAGAGTAAGGAGCGTGTCTTACCTCACAGCTACACACAGGCTTGTGTGCCAGGACCAAGTGAACACCAGGCTTATGAGATGAGCATTTGGCTTCAACAGTGAAATGCTTGTTTTTATAATACACACATTATTGATTTACTTACTCAAAATTACTTGACAATCCCAAAAGCAAGCATGCAGTCTACAAATGGGTGACCACATGGAAAACTGGCGAGCGAGATTACCAGCATAACCTTTGCACTAAGATACGCCTCTCTCACTCACTGGAAGATACCTCAGAAACCCTATTTCAAGTCATCTATTGACTCAATTAAGAAATAATCTAATACACCTCATCATCTGATTTCCCCAGACCACAAAAACAGTAATAAATCTAAGCGGAAGGGAAGACACCAGAAGAACACAGAAATGACAGCTTCTAGGAAGAGCACAGACCTAGTTCTTCCTCCCGGTGCCTTCTGGGGTCATAAATCCTAAACTGTAACTAATTAAATACCACAGCAGCGATCACTGCACTTCTCTGTAACACAGACTCTGTCTTCTCCTTCCGAGTGCTATAAACAGTGTAGGACAGCAGAGCGCAGTGCCAGCTGGGGGGAGGGGAGGGCACCTGTCCTCTCCAGGATCAGGAGTGGCGCCTCAGAGCCACGTGACCTCAGTGAGTGGGAGGAAGTGAGCCCAGGTGCAGGGTGTGAAGCTGCAGGTGAGCCTGAGAGCCCTGCTGGGGAGCAGCTGCAGGGGACCGGAAGGAGAGGAGCAGGCGAAACAGCACCTTTTCACCCCCACACACTTCCGCTTACCCTTCCAGGCATTCTTTCATTCAAGAAGCTGTTCAGCGAGATTCAAGAAGTCCTCCCTGGAATCTTTCATAGGGTGCTGTTTTGGGCTTGTTTTTGGTGGTACCTGGGACAGGGCCTTCACAATGAACTACATTCTCAGCCTTCCCATTATTCTTGAGACAGGCTCTTGCTAAGTGACCAAGTTGCCCAGGCTGGGCTCAAACTTGCCCTTCTCCTGCCTCAGCCTCCCTCTCCACCAGGGCCGCAGGAATGCACACACCACTGCCTGATCTTGCCTGGATGTTTCTACCATCTTACTGTATTTCTTGCCCTGTATGTTTCTACAGCACAGTTCATCAACACCTCACGGTCTGTTTCCACTTTTCCTACTTCACATTAAATTGTGAACACCGTCTTTGCCCCTGCCTTTGAAATACATACAGCAGCCTAATATTCTGGTCTGTGGATATAAGTAAGATGAAACATGGTATTCCCTAATATAGATCATTTAGGTTTCACCAAGTTATTAAATACTATTTCATCTAATACCTTTGTATAATATCTTAACATGTAATTTATTTCTTTAAGATCGTTTACTGATGTTATCATACCATATATAAGCAATTTATATTTCTTATCCTGTTTTGTATCCCATTTTAAAGGCTTGTGATATATAGAATTATTAAACTGCTTTTCAGGATGGCTGTACGAGTCACCAACTCTACTAACAAGTGGATATGGTTAGCTTGCTCTTCAGTCTTTGCCAGTACCAAGATTAAATTATTTCAGAAAACTTGAATTATAACCACTGATTTGTTTATGTTAATAACTGAAAGGGCCAATGATAACAGAATCCTCAATATATTCAGAAGTCAAAGAACAAGTTAATTCACTCACTGCAAGAACATTCCTCCAGAAGAAGATGGCAAACGAAACGATTCCCAAACAGGCAGTGAGCAACACAGGCTCCCAGGGGAGCCCATAAAAGTCAGGCCCGGGCTGAGCATCCTCAGGCAACGTAGCAACCAGCTGAAAAGGAAGGGCACAAATAACAGAAACGTTAACAGAACTGGCGGAGCAATCAGAAAGGATCATTGCAAATACTCTCAATCTGCTCTCAATAGTCTAAACCAACTTCCAGGTGCCCTGAAAACACTTCCGGAAAGGCGATACAGGCAGGCTCGCGTTCTTGTCTGGTATGTGCAGTCTCTAAACTTAGGGAGTGAGTTGAGCCTATTTCCCAGTTGGCCAACAGGCCCTTCTTCATCGCGATGTCTCACAGGTGGCCAGAATGTGTCCAGATCATGCTTAGGTGAGCTGTTTTCTATTACTGCACACACACACACACACACACACACACCACATTGTAAATACATGATAGAAGCCATCGGTTTGTGGGTCTGCAAACAAAACCACTATGACAATGATCGCCACCAATCAGACATCACTCCTCCAGGAGACGGTGTCTCAATTCGCTGCACCCTTAGGAAACCATCTGTGCGGAAAAAACAGGTGGGCATGAACGTGGCTCCCAAGGCGATGGCTGGCTTCAGCCCGTGCCGCTCCCTCCGGACAGCCGGGCCCTCTGCAGTCCACACCGCGCTCCTGCCCTTCGGGTATGGGTCTTCCGAAGGGACCATCCCACCGCGCCCCTCGCCCGACCCTGGCTCCCCGGCCTCACCTCCAGTAGCAGGGCTACGAGGGCAGCGTACAGCATCGACAGAGGCTGCAGCAGCTCGAAGTTGCCCGCGGACATGGCGACGGCGGGCACAGTGGCTGACACCGCGTCCATCGCGAAGGACCGCTCCCTGCGGACCCGGCCGGACCGGGCAGGACTTGGCCGACCCGGCCGGACCCGGTAGTGGCAAGGAGTCCTTCCCAGAGGCACCAGAGGGCGGGACTGCACAGCTACACCTTCCGCTTTGTGCTGCGCTATGAACTATAAACCTACGTAACAGACGGTCTCCAGGACGACGACGCTGCGCGCCTTTGCGGAGGGGGCGGGGTGAAAGCTGGGCCCCCGCGCGGGGATGGGGCTGGAGCGTCCAATGAACGAGGCTGGGGGCTGGAGCGTCCAATGAACGAGGCCAGCAGATGGAGCGCCCAATGAGCGCGGCCGGGGGCGGGGTCCCGTGGCCGCAGAGCAAGGCTGGGGAGCATCCGCGCTAGAGCACCAAGCTCAGGTGCCGCCACTGCTGGACCTGGAAGCCAGGCCTCGCGTGCGCTGCTACCTGGCTGCTGGCCTGGCTGGCACCTTCTCCCGGGTGGGGTGGGGTGGGGCGGGGCCACTTGTCAAAGTTCAGGGTGCACACCCTGGCACCGCGGGTCACCTCAGAGCAGGGGCCGCGGTGGCTGCCAAGCTCCAGGGCACCACGGCTGGCCGCGTGGCAGGTGGCTGGCATTGTAGGTGACGGAGCCTCCCCTAGTTATTCACAGTGTGGATTAAAAGGATCAGCAACTGATGGCAGAAACAAACGACTATATCAAAAAATCGTTGGGTGATTTTTTGCTATGTACTCAACAGGTCTTTCCTGATTATGTCTCAAAAATCAAGAAGCAAAAAGGGAAAAGAATGTAAATCTAATTACTTAACACAAAACAAAAAAAAAACGTGGAAAGGAAAGTTTGTAAATGGGTAAGGGGAGGAGCAGGGGAAGGGAGGGCAGGGGAATGGGAAAGAAAACAGTACCATGTATAGGTACAAATCCTCTATGATGATCATTAGGTATGTCCAAAATGTACCAATAAAATCTAATTGAAGTGAAAAGAATCAAAGCTTGTTCAGCCCCTGCCTACAGAAACAAAACACATGGAGAATAAGCTAGTGAGGCTCAGAAAAGATGTGTAAGTAGCTGTGCCACGTGAACATGGCTGCATGGCTCCTAACTGCACAAAGCGGCTCTGCGATGGCTGGCCAAGCCCTGAACAGCCCTGGAGAGAGATGGGGTGGGCGCACTCTTCGAAGGTGCCTCCCTGTAAGGAATGACAAAAGCCCTAAATGACTGCTGCCAACCTTGCCTGGACCCGCCTCCAGATTTTCCTATGGACCCAATCTCACTTTCTCAGTGTGCTGGAAATAAAATCCAGTGCCTTGCACATGTGAGGCAAGCTCTCTACCACCAACACACCTTGCGCCCAACAATCCCACTTCTGAAAATGTATTTCAAAGACAGAATACTAAACACAAATATTGGAAAGATACATTCACAAAACTTTGTAATTCCACAATTATTTGTAACAACAAAAGACTGGAAACAAAATGTCTATTAATAAAACAGCTATTGAATAAGAATGCTATGAATAAAGAAGATAATTGTATATTCTGCTATGTATATAAAAAACAAAGTTACTACTTCTAACTTTCACTTACATCTTACCTGATTTTATTCATACATACTCAGGTTGTCTGAAAATACAGATTAAGTTTACATCTTCCAATCTGGATAAATTTTCTTTCCTCAGTGCACTCCTAACCAGTGGTGAATTGCTGTGATAAGAATGGACATGTTGTTTGGTTTCTGATCTTGGGGAAAAGCACCCAATCATTCACCACTAATCGTGAGGTTAGCTGTAAGATGGTATCAGAGGCTGGTTTATATTTCTTTCTATTCTTAGTTTGTTGACCGTTTTGTGTGGTAGTACTGGAGACTGAGCCCAGGGCTTTATACACGCTAGGCAAGCCCTTTCGCAGTGAGCTGGAACCCCAGGCCTTTTTTTTTTTTTTTGGAGACAAAGTGCCTAAGTTGGCCTTGAATTTACAATCCTTCTGCTTCAGCCTCCCCAGCTTCTTGGGTAGCTAACATTACTGGCATGCACCACCATGCTTGACAAAAATGTGTTTGTTTTGTTTTGGTGTCTCCTGAGTTCAACATATAGATTATGTTTTTAAAGTTTACCAGGGGCTGGGGATAGCTCAGCAGCATTGCACCTTCCCAGACACAAGGCCTGGGAAGTATGAGGTCGTGAGTTCAATTCCCAGTTCCAAAACAAAACAAAAAATATAAAGTTTATCAGTTTGGTGAGTTACCCATTGATTTTCAAATTTTAAAGGAACTTTGCTTTTTTTTTTGTACCAGGGATCAAACTCATGACCTTACACTTGCTAGGCAGGGACTTGCACAGCTGAGCTAAATCCCTGGCCCTGAACTTTGCATTCTTGAGATAACCCCATCTACTGTGATAGGGACACCCAATTCTTGAGGTACCCCAAATGTTACAATGTGCCTCCTTTCGACATACTGTTGGATTTAACTTGTAGCGTTTCATAGAAAACTTTTATAGCTATGTTTAAAAAGATCTGTGAAAGGAGAACTTTCAGAAGCCAGGAAATGTGAAGAGTTCACCTGGAAATAAATAGAACACTCCATGTTCTCCCTGTTTGAATCAGTTGTAGGAAACACTGGGAACTTCAGACAGTAAATCAGTATTTCTACAGAAAGTGGCAGAATTTCTGCAGAAAATGGCCACCCTGGATGTAGAGCGCTGGCTGCTTCAGGAAAAGCTGCATTAGCCTTGATGTCATCAGGGTGGTGCCACCCTTTCACCTAGAGACAGCGTGTGAGCCTCAGACCACCTTGTTCTCACGTCGCTGTTTATGAACATAATTAACATCCAAAAGGTAAAAAAGAAAAAGACAAGAGACCCACGAAACTCCTTAAAACCTTCCAAGCGCATGCCACGGTGGTAGTGTCGATGTCCTATCTTTGATGCTGATGTCTGCCCACATCATGTTATTGTCATGTGCCACTTAATAAGAAGGGAACCGTGGACAACTGTGCAGGGGGCGAGGCCCTGGTGCACAGAGCTCTGCTGGAGCCACGGCTTCTAGGCCGTGCGTGGGTACAGCATGGGATCACCGTGTACCACAGGCGGCCACGAACATCCTACTCAGACAAGATGCAGGTGAAATGCACAGTGATGGTTTTCAGGTCCATGTAATCCTGGAGAGCACCACCGCTGTGTGTGTCCAAAGTGTCACTGAATGGTGTGAACCTATAAATAATTCTGTTGCCATCAGTGAAGGCTGGGATTGACAAGGCGTTATGTAGCTCATGTCTGGATGTCCCCCCAAAGCCTCACGAGGTTACAGGTGGGGCTTTTCAGAGGTGGCTGTACTAGGGTGTGTGGTGCTTAGACTGATTCATGGTGCAGTGCTAGGATCAGGGGCACCATGGTTCAGGTGCAAGTGCTGCCCGCCCTGAGCAGCCTGGGTAAAATGTAAGGGGCAGAAAGGGCCGGCTCTTGCTGCTCGGCTGCCTGCTGCCTGCTGTGAACTATGCGTCTTCCACCACGTGTCTTGATGTCAGTTATGGACTAAAACCTTCACAAACTGAGCCAAATAACCTTTCCCTCTCTTAACTTGCAGGTGTTGGGTATTTTGTCTCAGCAACAAGAGAGAAATAACTAAGACACAAGGCCAGAGGGAGCAAATCTAAGGTAGAGCAAAATTTCTCTAGCATATGAAGTTTGATTGGAAATATCTGTATGAATGCTGATGCATATTCCTGTTTAAAAAGCCATGTATCGGGCTGGGGATATAGCTCAGTGGCATAAGTACCTGCTTCACAAACACAACGTTGTAAGTTTGATCCCTGTATCCCCCAAAAGCTATATGTATCTGAGCTTTGTTCTCTAAAAAGGTCCATAAAAATGGCCAAATCAAAAGCAGGCAATAGGTACCGATAAAAATGAAAAAGACAAAAAAAAAAAGCAGGCAATAATCTTAGTATTCAGGATATATCCTTGGATACCATTTCCCACAAGGTGTAGTGGCACACACCTGTCATCCTAGCATTTACAAGGCTGAGGCAGGCGGATTGCTCTGAGTTCAAGGCCACTCAGAGCTACATAAACAAGTTCAAGGCCAGCCTGAAATACACAATGAGACTCTGCCATCAGTTACTTGATCAATTCCATTTTCCATTAAAAGGAATCAGGCTTGGGGCTGGGGGTTTAGCTCAGCAGCATAAGCACCTGCCTTGCAAGCAGGCAGTTGTGAGTTCGATCCCCGGTACCGATAAAAGTGAAAAAGACAAAAAAAAAAAAAAAAAAAAGAAGAATCAGGCTCTTTAGAGAAAAGTACCTGTGAGATCTGGGCTGGACATATATACCATAACAGAGAAACTGAGGAAAGTAGGTAGCCCTGCTGGGCATGTCGGTACACACCTGTAATCCCAATATTTGGAAGGTTGAGGCAGGAGGATCTCTATGAATTTGAGGCCAGCCTGGGATCCATAAGAGATTCAAGGCCAGCCAGAACTATATAGTGAGACCCTGTCTCAATAAATCAAAAAACGAAGATGGAGAAGAGAAAGAGAAAGCAGGCAGCCCTGACCATTCAGTGGATGCAAGCTGAAGAGACTTCCAGGAGCAAAAACTGGGAGAAATTCCACATTAGGGAGGCTAATAACCACCTTTTCCTTTCCCTCAGTGCAGGAGGCAGAGCCCAGGGACTTGCGCATACCAAGCATGAGCTCTGCCAGGAGCTGTGCACCCAGCCCTGACACTATTCTTTTTTTTTTTGGTATTGGGGATCAAACTCAGAACCTCCCACTTGCCAGGCAGGCGCTTATGCCACTGAGCTAAATTCCCGGGCTCTGACTGCGGCCCTTGACTGGACTGACACAGCTGCTTCTAAATTGACGACATTGCAGTGACCCTAAAGGAAGACATCAGGTATCACAGGAAGCCGCCTCATCATTTCAGAGGCTGTTTCAATGAGGATCCTGATTTATCCCACTGCACTGCACAAACAAAGTCCAGATGTAAAGAGAAGCTGACTGTCAGCTGACCTTCACCACTGAGCTACCTGTAAGACACAAGCAGCCCTCATCAGTGCTGCCAGGGACCGATGACATCAGAAAGAGGAGGGACACACAGTGTGGACATCCAGCCGTCTTCTGGGGGACATCCACAGCGTTTGCTACTGAGCCAGATGGAGCCACGTCTGACCACGATTTCAACTACGAGGGCCAAGGTGGGCTGGGGTGTGGCTCAGCGGACTAATGCTTACGAAGACCCGAGTTCTTTCCCCAGCAGGAAAGAAAGACAGGGAAGGAGGCAGGGAGGAGGAGAAGAGAAAGGAAGAAGGAGGAAATTCAACCAGGAGAAAAGCACGGAAGTTGAAAAGAGAGAAACAGGTTAAATTATAGAGGAACTATCGCTCACGCTTTGCCTCAGAAGCCTCATGAATGTTTTCCTCCGTGAAGACCTGGCGGCAGCAGGGGAGGGAGCTCACAGTGACTGAGGTGCTACGTGGCCCTGCCCATGGGCGAAGGGACAGGCAGTGGACAGAGCACACAGGAAGGCTGCTCGGCTAGCGCACGGCAGCCAGCTGTGGGAGGAGGACAAGCCGGGACTCCTCCTCACTGGTGACCCCCAAGCCCACCATCTCGCCCAAGTCCGATTCTGGCACCAGGCAGGGGGACCTGCGGGGCACCTTCTGCAGGAGGGGCTGAGTTCAAGGCGGCGCCTGTGCAGGGTGAGACCCCAAGAGAGGGAGTGAGGTGCAGAGGAGCAAAGAGAGAGCAGGGCGTCTGGCCACTGGCCGGTTCCCGGGGCAGCTCTGGGTGGGCACCCCTGTGTTCCAGCCAGCCAGGGCACACAGAAAAGAGATGGCCACAGGGGCCTGCAGACACCCTGTGTCATTCTCCATCAGATGTACAAGTTCACAGGGAGAAGTACCCCTGTACCAAAGGTCTCAGGTGCCAGGGCCCAGGGCCAGTGAGAGGTGGCTGGCAGAGGTCAGGGGCTACTGGTCACCTCCGAGGATGGCTCGGGGCCACGAGGCCCGGATCTCCTCAATACCCGGCAGTCACCTCCGCCTTAGCTAACCCTGGCCTTCTCCAGGCACTGATGTGCACAGAGCCAGCCAGGCCATTTCAGTTGGCTCCAAGCTATATAAATAGGGCTGACTGGGGTGCTGGCATGATCTGGGTGATCTCTGAAGCCAGGTGACAGCCCTGTTTCCCTATTTCCTATCTGGGTGTCTCCTTCCAAATGACTGAGGTGGGCAGGATGCTAAGCCCACTCCAGGGCTGTCAGCTGAGTTCCAGAGCCTGGAGATCAGAGACTGTGACTTCCAGGGGCAGAAAAGTTTACACATCAGACCCTGGAACAGCAGCCTCCCAAACATCAACGGCCTCCTCAGCTGTGTTACGCAGGTCAGTCTCTCTGCATACCCTTCTCCCTGCACACGTTCAGGCCTCCTAGCTATCCCAGCTCACGGCACTCACATAACGCCCTCCATTCTTACAGTCCTCACCCTGAGCCACTCCCTTCTTCATGAATTAATAAAATCTGGGTTAGGCCTGGATCGAGGCCTTTGTTCCATAAACCCTCATCTGGACCGGACTCAGGACCCCTTGGCTGCCATAACTGTAAATGTGTCTTAGTGTTTTTATTCTTGCTGTGGGTTGTGTTGGAGGTGGTAAATTGCCAGGATTCCAATAACATTTCCATGAAATTGCAAATACAAACTTCCCAGACCACACAGACTGCTACTGGGAAGGTTCCTGCCAGAAACTGCGAACGAATGGCATGCTGCTGACCCAGCTGCGGTGTTTTGCACCTGCCCGAATGCCCGACATCCCGGGTTCCTGTGACGAGCATGGTGCCTGCAGTGACAGCTGATTAAATCGGACACATGATACTTTGACAACACGAGTACCTCAACGAGGACCTAATCTGAACATTTGTAAAAGCAGGGGAGGGGATCTGAGGTGTGCCAAACATTGGATGTTAAGAAATTATTGTTAAGCTTGGGGTCAGACCTTTGAGTTCACTATACTATTCTCTGATTTTCTGAAAGTTTTCAAAAGTTAAATTTATCTCTAACTAGTACATGACATTAAAACTACGTATTTCAGGGGTAAATGACGCGCTGTTTCACTACAGATACAGACTGTTTAATGTTTAAATCAGATTAAACCTATCTCTTCAAATATTTGTCATTTATGAATAATAAAGCTTAGAAAATTTCTTACAGAATTTAAAATTTGTTATATTACTGTTGGTGTTATCCACAGCCACCTACTATTTATTCTCTGTTTTTGTTTATTTGAAGCTTTCCATGATAAAATACTGAAAAATAGCTTAAAAATTAAAGTACATGCGAGGGATAGAGCTCAGCTGCATAAATGCCTGCCTGGCAAGCACAAGGTCATGAGTTCGATTCCCTGTACAAAAAAAAAAATTATGGTACACTTTCAAATATTTAAAGGACTACTCTTTAGAGGAGGCGTTAGCTTTTCCCAAGGAGGCGGCAGACAGGGTGGTTTGGATTGGTGTAATGGGGTCCCCAGCTGTAGGTGGGCTGTGCCCTCTGGGGTCTTCGGGTCACAGGCCTCAGAGCTACGATGCAGGGCTGAGACAGGGAGCTGCTGCACGGTGGGGACCAGGCCAGCCAGGCCGAGGTCTCCTCTAACCCTGGGGTTTCCTGGGGACCGGCCATCCACGGCCCTGCAACATGACCTCTGGTGCTGGCCTCCTGGTCCAGTCTGCTCTGGGCACTCCCTGTTCATGGGGTCACTGCACTCGGCAAACGCTCCACTTTCCCATCTCCACAGCCTTTCCACAAGTCAGCATCACACGGTCCACCCCCAGAAATCTCCTTCCCAAGGAATGTTGGGAACATACTGGGCCGCTGAGACGCTTGTCAGACAACCTCTTTCCTGTTGGCATCTTGGGACATCACACAAGCTCTTCCCTTCCACCAGCACCCTACCATCCTCCGTGCCCCACTCAGGTTTAGGAGGGTGCGTGCACATTCTAGAAACACAAGCAATGATAAGGACGCGTCTTCCACCAGGAACCCCAGGGCAAGGAGATGCCTGGAGCCCACAGTTCAGACACCATCAGGGCACTGTGGCCCTGTGGTTAGGGAGCTTCCGGCTGGACCAGTGCTCTGGAGCTCAGTCTGCCTGTTCCTCTTTTGAGGGACTGAGAAACAGACCTACTGCGGAACCCTGGCCTGCTTCCCACCCTGGAAGGACCCCGCACGGTAGCGGCACTCCACACTGGCACACAACTTCCCTTATGCTGTGCCCTGGACCCCCCCACACACACTGGGCAGTGCCAGCTCTTCACATGTCCCTGGGCACCCCGAATGCACTTTCCCATGTGCTCCATTGCCCCGGACATGCTTTCTCTGAGGCAGCCTATCTACGCAACAGCGGCAGGGAGCTGCTCCTCAAACTCCCCTTCATCCTGACTGCCTGAGCAGCTCCTAGCTCCCTCCTCCATCCATCCTTGGACCTCGGGCAGCCACTTCCCTGCATGTACGCTCCACGAGCAGGCAGACACGTCCCTCCCGGCTACACCTCTGTCCCCACCAGTCCCACGGTGCTGGCCTGGGAAAAGCCCTATCCCCCTGGTGTGTGCCCTGCCGCAGGCCTGGCGGGCAGCAAACCCTGGGCCCATCGGCCCATCAGCCAGGCTTCCAACGACCAGCCCCCCGGTCCTTTTAGGGGCTACTGTGAAGGGCCTGGACTCACTTCCGGGCCGCATCCAAAGATCTTGGCTCAAAATCCACTTAGAAAGGACAATGCTAGACAGTCTCGTCCACTTACCACCTTGCTGACACAAGGCAGGAACCAATGCAGCATCAGGACCACACTTTCCAGGTAGCTGGGCTCCTCCCTGCTCACCTCTGCTGGCTGCTTCTCCGCACGCCCAGGCTCGGCTCCAGAGACTTCTGTCATAATCACCCCTAAACCGCAGCAGGGAATGGACACTCGATTTCAGGTTCTGGGAGAACTGTGCTGTTACATTTATTCACTGAGTATCTACTATCAATCACTATTCCTGGAATATGTGGTCTTCCTGCCTTGTGTACTGGTGCACGCCTGTAACCACATTACTCGGGAAGCTGAGCAGGAGGATCGCCGTGAGTTCAAGGCCAGCCTCAACTGTATAGTGACACCTTGTCTCAAAATAAAACAACACAAAAAAGTGTGGTATCCCCGAGGACAGTTAGAAGGAAAAGAGCTGCAGAACAGCAATCAGGGCTGCTGGCTGTCTGCCCCAGAGGCCCTGACCCTTAAAGCACACGGTCTTTCGAGGGTGCACTGGATGAAGATGTGAAAATGACTGCACAAGTGGCCATGGTGGCCCTGGTGTGGCCGCGGCCACGGTTAGGCTGGGCAGGTGCAGCTCCCTAGTCATGCTCCACCCTCCCCACTCTGCTGTCTGCCAGCCCTGGTGTCACATCTCTCAGCTTTACACCTCTGCAGTACTCTCCCTCTGCCTCAGCAGCTCAAGTTCTGGACAGCATCCCCATGAGGCTCCTGCTAGGTGGAGTGACCAGCAGGCTTTACCTGGGGCTTCGTCCTCCTGCGCTCCTGGGCTCTGCACCACTTCAGGGGCACCTGCGTGCCTGGTCACAGGTTGGCTCCAGGGGTTCCTCGGCTTCTCAGAGGGCTGGGAGCTCGGACCTTCCTCGGTCTCCTGTGGGAAGTCGTCGCTTCGGGGCAGCTGCATCTCTGTAGGGAGAGGAGCTGCTTAGGGCCTGGACGACAGCTGGCCTGCCCTGCTGCCTGCACCCCGGGGGCCCCATTCTACCACGGGGAGCACGACTGGTGGGAAGCAGAGTCTCCACAACCCTCAGCCCACACAAGGCACGGACTGCAGCATCTGTCCCACTGGGCAGGGACACAGGCTCTTGGGCACGGCCCTCACCTTGGAAGCCACACTGCACACCATGCTAAGAGCCAGAGAGCAAACCCTATCTTGCAAGACCCCAGAGCTCAGTAAGTGTGACCCTCGTGAAGGTGGCCTCTTTTCAGCCTTCTATTTCATTTGGGTTTTGCACTCTTATCCAAAATGTATTCACTTTTTCTTGTTTGGTTTTTTTTGAGAAGGATTTCACTATATAGCCCAGGCTGGTCTCAACTTCACAGGAATCCTCCTGCTTCAGCCGTCTTAGTGCTGGAATTACAGGTGTGCACTACCACACCAGCCCAAAATATACCCATTTTGATGAAGTGCAAAAATGTTCTCCCCTGCTAGTTCTCAGGAAAATTTAGCTTGCTGGGAAGACAGATTTCCTTGCAGGTCTCTGTCCTGGGGTTCACTACACATTCTGGGCTCAAGCACTGGGGTTCAGAGCCATGTCAAGGTCCTGGCCCGGGAGAGGTCAGCCAGCGCTGACTGTCGGTTTCCCTGTGCCGGTCAGAAAGCACCTCCCCATGTGACTCCGTGTTCCTTTCTGGTGCTGGGGATGGGAGCCAAGGCACCACAGACAGGCACCTCCTTGTTAAAGGCAGAGGGAAGAGCCCAGGGTCCAGTGTAGCCACGGGAATGAGTGACCGCCCTCTAGAGGCAGGGACACCACAATATGTGCGGGAGAAATAACTCCGCCCAGGCACGATGGGAAACTCATGCTGATCACTCCTGGGTTAAAGACTAGTGGTTTTAAAATTACAAAGCTGAGTTCAGCCAGACAGGGTGGGCACGCCTGTAATCCCAGTACTTGGGAGGCTGAGGCAGGAAGGTTCCCACAAGTCCAAGGCCAATATAGGCTACATAGTTCAGTGAAAGCCAGCCTGCACTAACAGAGTCTCCAGAGGCTAAAGGAAAAGCTGTGTGCAATGTCCTGTAGAGCTTGTCTATGACTGTACATGAGCTCTGAGGCTGCCTTTATGCATTGTTTTCTTTCTTTATATCTTTCATCTTTCCCTGTAGCTTTCTGTAATGTTTCCTTCTGAAAATGCTAAGTAGTCTCAACTGTCCTGAGGGAACATGGAGTAAGAAATCTCCCTGCTTGGGAGACAAGAAGGAAGGGACACTAGGCCTCCTCCGTGTCAGCGTCCTGCAGGTCTGGGACTCTGGACCAACCTTCCCATCCCGCCCCAGGAGCCGAGGCAGGACTCTACCTTGGGCAGGGCCACTCCAGCCTTCCTCTAGCGCGGGGACCGTGGTCAGCTGGACCTCCTCGGCCAGGTGCTTGTACCTGACGAAGTAGATCAGGTCCTGGACGTCATCCAGCACCGTGTACTCCTCCAGCACGTTGCTCTCCTGCAGCCCCTTTTCTCGGTTTTCCTTTACGCGGGCATCGAGCATCTCCTCTGCCATGCTCAGGATCTGGGACTCGGAGGCCTGGAAGACCCTGTCCAGCACCTTGTCTTCAGCATAGGGTGGGCTCTCCTGCCGCGCGGCCTTCAGCCTGAAGGACAAATCCTGCAGCATTGCTTCCAGTGCGCCAGCGTCCAGGTACTTGAGCAAGCGCCCCAGGGACTGCTGCTCCTTGAAGAAGCTGCGGATGATGGGCCAGTCCTCCTGGCCAGCGCCCAGCCCGGCCTCGAGCCCCGAGTGGGGGCTCTGCTGGGACAGGTGGTCTCTGGGGTCTCCAGGGGCAAGCTCAGGACTCCCCATGCCCCTGGCCTTGTCTGCCTCCTCAGGGAGCTCCCCTGAGGGCCCTGAGCTGTCACCCCCGGGGTCCTTCTTCCCCAGTGCTTCACCTGCCCTTGGCCAGGGGGTTCGGTCCTGGCCCATGGGGCCACTGGACTCTGACACTGCCTGGGCCCTGTCCTCGGGCTGTGCTGGGGGACTTCTGTCCTCTTCCCCCACCTCCTCGTGGCCCGGCCCCCTGCCCGGCCTGCCTGCCTCTCTCATGGCCGTGGCATTTTCCTTTTCAATCACAAAAGTCACATTAGGTTCTTGTTGGTTTTCTTTGGTTCCTAAATGTGCTTCCTCAGAGCCTTGTGGGCTAACAACCGGCTTTCCGTCCCCGCTGGCCTGGCAGATTTCTTGAGACTGCTTTGCACTCACAGCGTTTTCATCCTCCAGTAGCAACTCTGGGATCACCTCCCCCTCCTCCTCGTCCTCTGCCTCCTCCTCTTCCTTTCTCTCCTCCTCATCCTCCCCCTTCTCCTCCTCCTCATCTGCCTCGGCCTCTTCAGCATGGGACCCTGGGGCAGCTGTGCCATCCGGCTGCTCCCTCTCCTCTGTCTCATCTGCCCCCTGCTCTGCCTGGGGCTGGGCGGAGTCCGCAGCCGCCTCTGTCTCCTTACTCAATCGATGACCAAGGGTGGTAGCCGCATCTCTCAGCTGTAGCCAGAAAAGGTTTCCTCCTGGAGTGGGAACCTCCTCTTCAGATTTTTCCCACAAACCCGCTCCAGCTGGAGAAGAGAATTGGGGTGGGTTTTGTGCTTTACTCCCTGGTTCCTCGCTGTGCTCCCCATATTGGTGCTGCACTGGACCCAGGTGCAGGTCAGATTCCCCTGCTGAGACCCCTGCTGCCTGCTCGCCCTGTATGGATGTGTTGTGTGCATTGGCTTCCAAGGGTGGCCCAGCACCTGCAGTATCCTGCTCTCGCACCCCTTCCAGCACCCAGCTGCCCGCAGCCTTCTGGCCTGAGCTGCTTTCTGAGCTGTGGGCCCAAGTCTTTGCGCCCTTGGTAACTCCTTCTGGGAGTGCATGTTTTGTGATAGAGATGCCTGCTTCCTGAGGGTCACCTGCTTCCTGAGGGTCACCTGCTTCCTGTGGGTCACCTGCTTCCTGAGGGTCACCTGCTTCCTGAGGGTCACCTGCTTCCTGTGGGTCACCTGCTTCCTGAGGGTTACCTGCTTCCTGTGGGTCACCTGCTTCCTGAGGGTCACCTGCTTCCTGAGGGTCACCTGCTTCCTGAGGGTCACCTGCTTCCTGAGGGTCACCTGCTTCCTGAGGGTCACCTGCTTCCTGAGGGTCACCTGCTTCCTGAGGGTCACTGTCCTCATGCTCCAAGGCTGGTGGAAGGGGGTCTCTGTCCTTTCCAGCTGCCAGCTGAGGAGAGTCCTGTGTAGCTACTGACTGGGGCTCATCTTGCACCAGGGCCGCTTTGGGCTCCTCCAGACCCCTGTCTTTTTCTTTACTGGGAGGTTCTGTGTCAGCTCCTGGGTTGTTCTCATCATTTGTTTTAAAGACTTCTACAAAAAAATCACTTGTAGTTTCAGGGTCAAAAGAATTGGCTGGTGTCTGTGGCTTCCTCTGTGTGCTCTCTGGGCCTGCGCTGCCGTCGTCTTCCTTTTCCTCTGAATCAGAACCCTCCAAATCCGGCAAGTGTGAGGGGACTGTCCCGCCATCTCCCTCAGTGACAATGGAGAGGAGGGTGCCCCCCCAGGCACCCAGTATGTTTTTATTGCCAGCTCTGACACTGGGGGGCAATTTGCCCGCCTCCTTCAAGTCCTGGGCCCGCTCTGCTGAGGGTTTCTCCTGCTCAGGCCCTTCAGGAGGGCCCGGCTCTTCTGGGCCAGTGAAGGTCAGGAGCGGCAGCTCATCCAGGTCACTTTCATTCGCCTCCTCCTCCTCCATCACGTAGGACACAGAGTCCAGCGCCTCACTGTAGTCATCCTCCAGCGAGGTCACCAGTGTAGTGGTCTCGTCGTCGGACACCATGGCATCTGCTGTGGAGCCAAATTTCGTTTTCAAGTCGAGGGTCATTTCTTTCTTTAAGAGCTTGTAAGCATCCATTTTCTTCTGTTCACTGGAGGCCTGAGATCGAGAGCTGGTTCTGTTCTCGATTTCTGGCACTTTCGGTTTCTCTTGCAGCGTTTCTTCCAAGGCCTCTGAGGGAGGCAGCTCTGCCCCAGTGACAGTGGCTGGGCCTGTGTCTGCGTCTGCAGGGGGCTGGCGCTCCGAGGGCGGCGCGGGCTCCACGAAGTCCTGTGTGCGCACTGAGTGTGAGGCACCTCCCCCTGCATTGCTGTCTGCAGGCCCAGGCACAGGTCCATGTCCCGTGGCTGCTCCAGGGGACTCCTCTCCACTCAGAGGGGCTTCCTCAACTGAATTCTCTGCAGAATCTTCAACTGAAGAGTCATACAGTTCCAAAAACCCCAAGAGTTCTTCCACATTATAGCTGTCAAATTCATCTCTTCCCCCATCGAAACAGACAAAATCTGTCTCCTGGAAGGGAAAAGGAGACATTAATGTGCCACTGACCACATGCCTGAGCCACTCTTACCTGTGTTGTGGCACACAGAGCCCGACACTCAGCCTTGGCTCTAGGGGTGCCTGGGCAGCCTTGGCCCGGCTGTCTCTGGGAGGTGGGCAGCAGGGGCTGGAATCCACCATCTGCGCCAGTTGCACCCTCCCTTTCCATCCTCTCCCTGCCTCAGGAGCGAGGCTGGCTCACAGCTGAGACCTGACCCAGGCCCCGCGCTGTGTCTGGAGCCTCCCACAGGGAAACTGCTTCCACCCTTCCACACATCCACACCACTGGCTTCCCTGGGACAGTGCCCTCAGGCCAGCCTCCCTGGGGCCAGCTCAGTTTGGGCTCAGTAATCTCCCTCCTCCTAGACTGCAGTGTAGGAAGCAACATTTTAACTCTTTTTACGAAAGCATGGGCCATGTTTTCTAAAAAGCATAATGACTAAAAAATGGTGACATCTTGGTCTCTGCCTGCCTGACTCCTGGTGGCTTGGTCTGCTCTGAGCACAGTTGGAAGAAAGGGGGTGTCATTTATGGGGATCCCAGCTCCTACAGCAGACCACCTGACAGCCGCCCAGGAGGAGCAGTGAGACAGGCGACAGCACCTCAGGTCAGGTTGGGCCTCCACTGTGTGTGGCGTGTATTTTCCTTGAATGTTGAAAAGGAGCCCAGCTGCATCAGGCTCTTGAGAAGTAAGAGGTTACAGGGACAAAGGATGACTCTAAGGGGGTCCCCTTTATCACACACAGGAAAACAAACACACCACTGGGCTAGTATGTGCACCTCTCTCTGTTGGGGCTCTGAAAGCTGTCTGAGGGATCATCTGCTGCATGTCTGTGTCCCCCTCTTCCCACCAGGAAGCAAGCTGCATCCACTGAGTAGAAAGCTCAAGGCCTGGTGCAGAGAATCTCATCTCCTGGCTAAGCCTTGGCGTACCCAGGGAACCTGGCGGTCGCAGTACAGCAGGCTTCCTCCACCTCCCCTTCTGCGAGCTCAGGGCCCGCCCTCCGCATCAAGGGAAATGTGAGGGCAGGGGCCACTCAGGTGAGGTATTTGTGGCCCACACGCTGCTGCCGCACACTTAGAGCCCAGGCTGTCTCTTACTGACGAGGCCCGAGCTGTGATCTTATGGTCCCCGAAATTGTCACAAAATTTTGGGCATGGCAACCGCTCTAATTGTAAGAACTTCCACAGCTCAGTCAATGTATGATCTCCATAAATATTTTTCAGACTTGGCTCATTTTATAGGTAGTCTGACTCCAAATTAAAATCTGATATGTTAGATTGTTTTTTCCTCAACTAAAACAAAGATGTGCAAAAACAATTAACTGAATGTGTAACTGATAAACTTCTAAGCCAATCTGTAATTGAGAAGAAGATAGAAACCCTCAACTTACATCTGCTGGAACTTGCAGCTCCTCTTTGCTATATTCATAGTCTACCCTGATTAAATCCTTTGGGAAATATCCAAAAATACGCCCAACCTATATGGAAAACAAAAGGCAATTCTGTGAGGAATATAAGTGCGATGCTTCTCAGAAATGACAGAAAATAAACAGGTAGGGAGACAGAACCAATGGAGTTAGACCAATGCTATATTCTTGTTCTGAGATTATATTCCAATAAAATTAAGTGCAGAACACTATTAAACATTTTGAAAATCATTGAAGCTTTTTCTATATTCAGCTTAATTCTAACACAGCACAGAAGGTTTGATTTTAGAATAAAAGATCTGCATAGGTGATTACTGTATATTACATGATTAAAACTATACAAATCAAAGCTCATTAGGAACACAACCCCAAATAGCCTCTAGCAGGACTGACCTGCACACTCACAGAACTGCTAATAAACCAGTGCATGCAAGTCTTTTGTGAACCAACACACAACAGCTATGAAAATTAACTAGTAAAAAGAACAGAGAATTTTTGAAATGTATGACCACTACAGCAAACGGCATATATTGATATGCAGAATCCTAGCTTTTTAAGGCACTACAGGTGAATGGGGAAAACATAAATGTACAGTGAATACACATCAAGCTTCAGGTTCATGCAAAAGTAAATTCCATAGCACAAAATCCCATTCATTTTGCGCATAGACAGGTGAGCTGTGGACCAGGCATGTGCACAGGTCCCTGAGAGACACAGTGTCTCGCATCAGCCCCTCCCATCACTGAAGGAGGCGGACAGGCACACAGATGCCCAGCACAAAGCCAGGGGCAGCTCCTCTCTAACCCTGACATAGCCTGTTCACAAGACAGTTAAACCGCACCATCCAGAATCCATTGAAAAGCCTATGCTAGTAGCAGAATTCTGCCATGAAAATTAGGTAAAGCCGGGCAGTTACAAGCTGTGTGGCTGGCAGGTAGAGTCTGAAACTATAGGAAACCAAAAAAGGGGATAAAAACTAAGAACCAAAAGTGAGAATCACTTTCAAAACCTAGGAAACTTAATTTCCAAGTGTAAGGACCACAAGGTGAAAGGGGCCTGAGGGGAAGGCCCCATCCCTTCTGGGGAAAATTCTATTAAGGTGGAATGGGGAGCCAGAGATATTTGAGAAAGGAAAATCATTTATCTTTGCTTAATCTTTGCCATCAGAGACCTTAGGTTATATAAAGCCCCATGATTATACACAGGGTGGTATCACGTGTCTCACAGCTGATAAAAAAAATGGCACAGGGCCGGGGATTTAGCTCAGTGGTGTAAGCACCTGCCTGGCTAGCACGAGGTCATGTGTTCGATCCCTGGTACCAGAAAAAAAAAAAAATTATACAGAATCCTGGAATCCCAAGACTGGGAGGATTTTATGTCTAATTTTGCTCCTGTACATCACCCCTGCCAAGTGCCGCCGATCTGCCTCAGGCTGGTGCTGCTGGGAAGGAACAGATTCCGCAGGCATCCCTCCCAAACCTTCGTGACACAGCACCAGTGTCTGGGGAGGAAACGCTGGGGATGCAGGCGGCAGAGAAAGCAGCAGGCCTCTGGGGTGAGTGTGGTCATGGCCTCAGCATGGTGAGAGGAACACTGAGTCCAGCGCGGGCGCTCGGCGGTGAGGGGAGGAAGACAGAACTGCAGGTGGAGGTGCAGTGTGAGTGAGCGGGACAGATGGCCCAGGACCATCCGGGACCATCCAGGAGACACCGTGCCCTACACTTCACAGAGGGATTCTCCCCAGCACGCTGACCGGTAACAAAGGGAGCCTGTTTTCAGTGAGGGCTTTGTAAGCCTTATTTTCTGGGGCGTGTGTGGTATTTTACTAAGGGAAAGAGCTTTCACAGTTGGGACGAACAATCCCGGGCCCGTCAAGCATCCCTGCTCCTACTGAAAGGAAACACTTCGTAAAATAGAAAGCACAAGAGCTGGAGATTTAGCTCAGTGGCATGAGGGCCTGCCTGACAAGCATGAGGTCATGAGTTGACCCATGAGTTTTGACCCCCAAAAAAGAAAGGCCAGGACTTATGATTCTCCACCTGCTGGGTGTAGTGGTGCATACCTGTAATTCTCACACTTGGGAGGCTGAGGCAGGAGGATCACTGTGAGTGTAAGGGCAGCCTGGGCTACAAAATGAATTCAAGGCCAACCTAAACTGCATAATGAGACCCTATCCCCCACCCCTGGAAAAAAAACATTCTTCATCAGGTCACTCATTGCAAATCCCCTCATTAAACTATGAAAGCACCAGGCAGTCAGTGACTGCCGTGTTTGATCTCAGCACCCTCATTACATTGGCTGGGACAGAACCCCTGGGGGACTCTACAGGCATGAAGTGGTTAAGAGACAAGCAAAAGGTGACCCAGAAATTGCAATTTTAAAAAAAGGAGAGGGAAGCACATGGTGACACCACAGTTTGCTTTCTTACAAAGCACTAACAGTATGGATGACTGCCCCAGACTGACACTCTATGGACAGCAGTGATATGGAAAAAAGGAAGAGCCGGGCTGGGGATTTAGCTCAGCGGCATAAGCGCCTGCCTTGCAAGCAGTCAGTCATGAGTTCGATCCCTGGTACCGATAAAAAGACAAAAAAAAAAAAAAAAAAAAAAGAAAAAAGGAAGAGCCTGAAGTCAGCCTGGACGCCCAGGCTCTAGCAGCTCTGCACCATAGGTGACAACTCGCACCTAACCTAACATCTGTGGATCCCTCTTATGTGAAGGAAGCTTTGGAGTTAAGACTTTCTACCTTTCCAACCTTTCTTTTGTCTGGAGCAGCCTGGAACTCCATGCTGGAGGGCATCCATTCATCAGCATTGGTTCTGTTCAGTTTCAGAAACCTCTGCTGAGCCCAGTCCTGGAACACAGGGCTGTGTATTACTGTCTTCAATCCAGCAGATTCGGTGGATTAACTCAGAGACCCCAAGAAAACAACCCCTGAAGTCTACAGTGCTCAACAACTCTAGCAAAGGAAGAGCGGAAAACAAGGCAAAGTCTTACTTACACTTCCGGCCCACACTTCAGGCAAAACCCCTGCCAGTTTATAGTAGACGAACACAGGATCGCCTTTTTTAAAATTCACAAAGCGACAGTCCGGGCCAGTGAAATCTCCAAGAGCTTCACCCCGGGCCATTAACACTGTTATCAGGATAGAAAAAGAGAGACAGGATCAGAATTTAACTTTCACAGGGCACACTGATTTATCAGGAAGTATAAAAATCCCACTATAGACAGCTATTGATTCCCGTACTCTGCAACTGCTTCCAATTCATAGCCCTGAAGTCTGTGAAACCCTTAGCGCTTTATTCCTGCAATTAGACAAGGGAAGGGGTATTTTCCTCCGTCTTTTCCTCTGGCTGATACTAAGAACTCTTGAGGGACTCTACAGGCATGAACAGGGCAGGACCAAGTGAAATCCTGTGGTACTCTCAACCACAGAAAGCTTCCTCTGCAAATATATGCATATGCAGGCAGAGGGCTAGGTGGAGCAGGAGTGGCGGGGAGGAGCAGGAGCCCCACACAGGTAGAGCCACAGCAAACCAGAAGAGCATCTGCAGCCCACAAGGGGCAATTAGCCAGGCCCCGCCTTCCCGCTGTGCCAGCTCTAGAAGCAACAGACAGGGAAGCTGCCTCCGGAGCCTAATGATCTCCACTGCAGGATCTGGGTAAGTAAATCTGGAGGACAACACCTCTTCTTTCTAATTCCGTTGCATCAGCAGGCAGTGTTTACTCAAAGCAAATAATGTTGATTGTGCTCAATATTAGATTAGGAGGGCTTCAAAACAAAAACTGCCCTTAGTATGAACTAAATCAAAAGTGGGCATCTCATTTGGCAGGGACAATGCCAAACTGTAATAGGTTAATAAGTTACTGTCCTGCTTACAATGCGATGTAGAAGCAGGGAAAAGCAGTGTTTTTCTTTTTGTTGACAAAGTACACAGTTTCTGATGTAAGATGACATGGACTTTAAATGCATGTGGCTAGCAGAAACAAGGCAGAGATGGAAAAAACACGTTCTAAAAGCCAATCGACAATAAATATGTAAACATTTAGTTACTTAACAAAAATAACTTATTCAGTATTATTCAGTATTAAAATACGTACTCAAGGAACAAATGCACTGGTATGGAGGGGTCGTTTGCTTTTAGAAGCTCAAGTATGATCATTGTGTGACTTGTCAGCACCCTAACTCACAGGTACATGAGTAGAGGCCAGGCCGAAGAGACTGAAAGTTTGAGGTTGGGGTGCCACCAGGATTGGAAATGGCAGTGTTCCTCCGGTCCCCTGGGCCACAGGGGACTCACAGTAACATACCAGATGGAGAAGTGCACTCAGTGGACACCGCAGGCTCAGAAAAGGAAATGGGACGTGGTGCATGTACACACGTGTGCACAAGCAGCCTCACACACAGGACCCTCGCCAGGCACCGCTCAAGACTCAGGCAGGCCCTGCTCCTGGAGCCTGCAGTCTGTCTCGACAGAGCCCCTCTGCCAGTATCACAGCCCGGCTCCCCAGCAGCAGTCTGAGTGCCAAGGCGGCTCAGGCTGTGCTTGTCAAGGTGACTTCCTCCGAGGAGCCAGGTGGGACAGCGCAGACTCTGCCACACAGTGGCTGGCTTTCTCCAGAGACCTGCAGGGACAGCGCAGCAGCGCAGGCATCTGCAGGCTCCTGGGTATCACCCTGGAGTTTTCTCCAGGGGCAGCATCCACAGCTCAGCCCGACTGCCCTGACTTTCTCACTCCACGGCAGTGTTGTGGGGATACAAACATTCAAAGTAGGAAGTTTATTTCTGGTAACATCAGTTTGAATGTAAAAGCTGAACTGCGGGCTGCTTGCCCTTTTCCACAGGGATGTTCTGTATGAATTCATGGTCACTGTCGGTGGGTTACAAGGTTACTGGAGACCGGACTCCTGGGCCCGCCAAGGCAGAGGAGAGGTGAGCGCTGCCAGCCCCAGGGCCACAGCTGACTTGGCTGGAGACCTGGGGACAGCGAGCCACCAGACTGTAAAGACCCTCTTCCTCTAAGTGAGAAGATCTCTACTGCCCTTCTGGGAAGATCTCTGCTGCCCTCCGGCCGGTTTCTCCAGGCATCCTTGTAACACAACACTGGGACCCAGGGACAGCCATGCAGCCCCTCAGAACCCAGTGTGTGCCAAGATTCTAGACTAGCTCTGATTCTAAACTCTGAACTGGGGTCAGCACAACCCAAATCCCAAGCTTCAAGAAAGTAACCCCACAACCCCTGCCCATTGCCCTCAGCAGGGCGTCACCCACCAAGTGCAGGCGGGTTGGAAGGGGACTCGCGCCCCTACCACACCTCAGCAGGCAGAGAAAAAACGCCCGCAACAAGTGGAGTGGCTCAGCCTTGGAAACGGGATGGGGATGGAGATCAAAGATTCAGGCCCACCCGCCTGGGACCCCCAGGCACGTAGTGATCGCCCGAACATCCTCGATCCTCCGGCCTCCCGCGATCCCTGCCCTCGATGTTCCCCAGGTCCCCCGGCAATACGCTGTACCCCGCAGCCCCGGCACCCGCGATGCCTCCTGACTCTTACGATCCTCTATGACCTCCGCGGTCCGCTGTGGCCCTCACCATCCCGTGTCCCCTCATGGCCCCCGAGATCCCCCGCGGTCCCTCACGATCCCCTGCGGTCCCCCGTGGCCCTCACGGTCCTCCGTGGTCCCCACGGTCCCCGCGATCCCCCGCGGTCCTCCGCGGTCCCCTTGGCCCTCACGATGCCCCGTGATTCTCTGCGGTCCCCCGTGGCCCTCACGATCCCAGCAAGCCCTCGCGATTCCCTGCGGTCCCTCACGATCCCTCGCGACCCCCTGCGACCCCAGCGGTGTCCCGGCCCCGCCCGCACTCACTGCTGCACTCGGCGTCGGCGCAGCGCTTGAACTCCGAGAGGCGGCGGCCACGGCCTGGGGACTCCTGTCCCCGAACCCGTCCGGGAGGCTCGGGCAGCGGCAGCAGCAGCAGCAGCGCCAGGAGCAGCGTCCGCGCCGCAGCCATGTTGCGGGCCCGCCCGCACCGCTGGGGGCAGGCGACACGTCAGCTGCGTGGAGACGCTCCGCCCTCGCTGCCATGGCGACCTGGCGCCCCGCCCCCGCCGCAGCCGCGCGGCCGCCCCCCCCCCCCCCCCCGGCGCTGTCGCCCTCCTCGCACTCGCGGGCGCCGCGAGGGCCCGGGACGGGGTGCACCACTGAGTGGCGGGGCCTGGTTCCGGGAGAGCACAGAGTGCGACACCTGGGGCGGAGAGCGTGCAGGCCGAGCGGACCCGGGCTGGGGGAGGAGGGGGCCGGACACCGGACCACAGCCCGGCCGGGAAGTGCACTCAGTGGACACCGCTGGCGCCGGAGACGCCTGGAGAGGGGCCTGCCACGGAGGCTCGCGGCTGTAGGGTGCTTGCTTTGTGCTCCCCCAAGGACTGTGCCTTCCCACAGTAGGTCCTTCTAGAGGGGGAGTCTTGGGGCGCCCCAGAGCAGCCAGGCAGGATGCTAAGTGCTATCCCTCGGCCCCAACGCCCAAAAGCTTCCGGTGAGCTACAAACAAATCCTGTTTTGTTTTGTTTTGTTTTTTCTAACCAGGAGAGCAAAGCTGACTTAAACCATAATATAACTGAATTGTCTGTGTGTCGATTTATTTTTTATTTTGCTGAGGCAGGTGGCATTTGTCTATGGCCTGCAGTCCAACCACAGACCCAATCAGTTGGTTTCCCGACCTAATTGGGTTCTGTAAAAGCCAAAGAAAACAGGAGGTCCGCCCGGCGGTCCACAGTGCTGAACCCGGAGGAGGATGGGAAGGTGCTGGGCCACCAGACGCGGCGGGCGGGACTGTGATGAAATGGGCAGACTCTGTGGTTCTTCACTTTCCTAGGGCACATCGATGCCTTTACAGGCTGCGCGTAGAGATGCCTACTATTAGGCGTCTCTAACCTACTGCGTGTGTTGAAAACCGCACTTATTTTCTCTCTAAAACCCTGCACCTTGCAGTCTTCCAATCTCAGCAATAGGAAAGGAAGTTCAATTCCTGTCACCCCGAATCCACGACCAGAATCTAGACCAGTCTTGAGCTCATCCCCCTCACACCCCACGTCCAGTGGCTTTGTGACTCATGGCGTGCTGAGGTATAATGGAACGCATTACGCCTGTGATGTGTACAGTTTTGATACGAGGTCACGCCTTGAGACCTTGGCCCCAGTCCACATATCCATGTCCCAGAAGGGTCTTCATGCTTCTCTGTAACACCCCTGCCCTCCAGACTCCCTGTCATTGTAGCTGGATTGCGTTTAGCAGAATCTGATATCAGTGGAGAGGGTGTGGAATGGCTCCCCGGGGTGGCATCCCCAGCCCCAGGAGCAGCCCCGTTGAGTAGGGAAGGAGTAAAATCTCACTGTGCTTTATCTTTCCTACACTATCAGAATATTAAAGTAGATGAGTTCTAATTTGAATTTTTCCTACTTCTATTAAGAGTAAAATTAAGGATGATTAGTGGAAAAAAGCAAAATGAGCTGAATGAATAATACCGTACTGATATTTATATTGAGTTGGCATTAGAGGTTCTTTCATCTTTGGGCTGAAGAACTGACTGCTTAGGGCTGGGGATGTAGCTCAGCAGTATAGGCACTTGCCTGGCAAGCACAAGATCGTGAGTTTAATCCCCAGCACCGCCCACCCCCCCCAAAAAAAAGAACTGACCGCTTAGTTTGCAAAGTCTGGAAGGTTTTGATCAGTGTGCGTTTCTTTTAAAAAAGTTGTTGCCTTAAGATGTTAAATGATCTGGTGGATGAGACATTTCTCCCTGAGCATGAGATGATGGTCTTGGTTCTTCCTAGCCCAGTGGATGGTCATCGCTCCCCTTTTCTCATTTGAGCATGTGGCACCGATGCTTAACCTGCACTCTGTTTGTGTTTTGTTTTTTTGAGAAGGGTGTTGTTATGTAGTTCAGGCTGGCCTTGAATGCACTACATAGGCCAAGCTGGCCTCAAACTTTCAGTGATCCTCCTGCCTCAGCCTTTGATGTGCTGGGATTACAGGTGTGTGATGGTTGAGCTTGTACCCTAAGTGTGTTGTGTGTTAACACCTTGGGGAACTTTTCACTGGATAAAGTCTGGGTCACAGTTAAATGTATCTATTTAGGGTGGAGGGGACATAGAGATATAGGGTACGGAAGGTTCCTGACCCCAGGGAAGATGTCTTAGCACGTGATACCCAACACTCCCAACGTCAAGGACAAGTTTGGTTTGGCTAATGGTTCCAGTGCTTGCCTGGCCAGCTCCAAGGCAGAAACAGCACTGCAGTGGGGGCGGGGGAGGAAAACCACTCATGGCTTTGGGGTAAGGACCAGAGAGAAGGGAAGAACTGGTGTGGGATGTGGCCCTTCACATCCCTGGGGACTCACCCCTTCCAGCCTGACCCCACTTCTCTGTGACCTCAGCACAGAGGCCTCTGGGGACAGTCTAGGTCTGAGCCATAACAGGAGGTGGGAGAACTCACCTGAAAGGTGTAGGAGACAGAGTAATAGCATAGGGTATGCCTCAGTGCCCGCAGGAGGCCCACCCTAAGGACCCAGGAAAAACCTGTTTGCCGTCGGCAAGGGGACGCTCACTGTCCACACAGTAGTGCAAACGGGTTATTGAGGACCCTGACTCCCGACCGACACAGGGCACAGATTTACCTTTGTGGGAGACACCGAGCCTTCCTGAGAAAGGAAGCCCCTTCCTCGATCTTTCCCGACCTTTACTTCGGCTCAGTTCAGTGAGATGCGCAGAACTGGCTCTATTGAAGCAGGTGGTCCCTAACTGGATGTGATTGAGATGCCTGTGATCCTCCTGTCTCAGGACAGCAAAGTCTCAGCATAGCAAAGCGGGTCAGAAATGCCCCTCACTGGAACAGAGTCCCGAGCAGGAGGCTGTGAGATTCCAGGGCTAAGACATGAGACAAAACCTCAACTCAGGTAAAGGTGCCAGCCTTGCACACATAAAACCAACCATTGTTACCCTGCTAATTGGAGAGCCTCTGTGTGCAGTCCAGGAGAGCTGTTTCCCCTTCCAGCCATGCGTGCACAGTCCCTTTTCCCTGGTACTGCATCAAGACCACCACGGCCCCCTGACTGACACCCATAAAAGCTGTGAGCTCTTGGATTCCTGGCCTTTGGTCCACCAGGAGTGTTTGGTCATCCCAGAATTCCTGGACTGCAGAACTTTCTCTCAGTCTTTGTCATCTGTGTGCCACATTGCTGGATTGGAGACTGATGCCCACTGTGGGAGTTTCGGGATACCTTCTCACATTAAACGGCTAAAGAAGCAGAAAATACATAAAAACAACAGTGTTCAGATCCTGGATATGAAGACAGGGTCCACTGATGAAGCTGAGCCCAGGAGACGAGTGTGATCCTTGTCCCAGCTCACTCCCTGAGAGCCTTCAGGTCCCAGCCAGGGAAGGGACTCTCAATAGGAAGTCGCTTGGGGTTAAAGACAGGCTGTAAAGCTGGGGAAGCCAACAGCTAGAATTCAAAGAGCAGAGTCAGAAGTTGACGGAGAGGGGAGGGTGGAGATATTCCGGCTGAACGTATGTGGGGCCTCCTTCAGATCTGCTGCTGAGTGACAAGAAGCACATGTGTGGAACCACGTGGGGAGAATTCACATCTTAGAGATCAGATTCAACTGCCTTTAAAGGTAACTAAAGAGGGCTGGGGATTTAGCTAAGCGCTATAAGCACCTGGCCCACCAAGCACAAGGTTGTGAGTTTGATTCCCCGGTACGGAAAAAAAAAAAAAAAGTAACTGAAAAGTTGTAAATCAGGTAAATCCTAGTCAATTTTAGTTTAAAAAAAGAAAAAGAAAAAAAAAATGCTGGGCGTGATGGCTCATGCCTCTAATCCCAGCACTCAGGAGGCTGAGGCAGGAGGATCACTGAGAGTTCGAGACCAGCCTGGGCTACACAGTGAACTCAAGGCCAGCCTGAACTGCATGGTGAGGCCCTGTCTCAAAAGCAAAGCAAAGCTGTGATTGCTCACAATGAGTCAGGGAAGGACAGCAAACACATTGGTCTGGCAGGCTGACCTGCACCGTGTCATTTCTTGCTGGGTATCCGGGGGTCTCCTGTCTCTCACCCTCTCCCCAGAGCCTGGTTCCTGTACCAGTGTCTAGAGGCAGCACATCTTCACATCTGGGCCTGGAGCCCCTGGCTCTGGCCTGAGGATGACAGGTTGATCTAATTCTCATGGTGATCTTCACAGTGGGACTGAGGAGGTTGTGGGGGGGAGGGGACGGACTCTATCCTGCCACCTGCTCAGGGCTAGAATGTGTTTCAGTCCAGCAAATGCAGGGCGGTGAGATTTGGCCTGTGTGAGTACACAGGACTTAGAATCTAAAAAGAAGAGAGGGAAGGGCAAGTGAGAAAATAACACAGGAAAAGGCTCAGCAGACAGTGGTACGCTTAAAGGACAGTGAGGAAGTCTCGTTCTCCAAAGGATCATGGTAAAGAAATGCAGCAAAAAGCTGGGTGGCTAGGATGGTCACGTTATGGATGCCTTGGGAAGCCAAGCATGAGAACCTAGAATAAAAGTAGGGAAAGCTACCAGACCTGAAGGAAAGGATTGTGTAACTGAAGTTCAAGTGAGTATCCTGCTCCAAAAGCAGGGAGTGGCCGGAAGGGCCACCTCTCAGCACCTCTGTGCTGCTGGGAGTGAGTCACACATGGGCCACATCTCCTGCCAGCATGGACTATTTGTCCAACCCAGACAAGCTGGCCATGTTCTATCTCACAAATAAAGAAACTCAAACAGCTGAACCTGCAGCTACTGCACAGGTGTATAGAGTTCCTGCTTCCGGTTCTGCCTCATTTACCTTGGCACTGTTTTTGCAGAAGTCAAATATTTGGTGCTTTGAAATAAGTGCAGAGCAAAGTTTTGGGTGCGGTCTGTACAACTCAGTTTCCACAGTGTGACTGCTGGGCTTTGTCCACTAGTCTTCAGCTGTGAACTACTACCGTGTCAGGAAGCCCGCGGGGCAGGGAACGTCATGTGGGAACTGGAAATCTAACTGTGTTCTGTGTCTCAGATTCTGCAACCCATAGCACTGAGGCCAAGGTGAGGTCCACTTAGGGTTTTTAAAGAAGCAAATAAGAAAAGGCATACAATTCCCCGTTTATGTTGTTTAATTCGACAGAAGCATATCTGGCAGTGACAGCCACTATAGATGACTAAAGAAACGCCCAAAGTCTTGGCCACCAGTGACTTCATCACAAGGCAGCAGTTCACAGCAGTGCTTGCCCATAACCCTCCTCTTCTCACTGAAGACAGCAAGTTGTACTGGGAAGGTCAGAGTCTCCTGGAGGAAGCATGGAGGGCTGAGGAGGAGGCAGAGCCCCCTCTCCTTAGGACACCACACCATCACAGCTGACTGGCGACAGACATCCATAGAGACCAGCTGACCTTCTGGCTCCTCAGCGCCTGAATTTAGAAGCAGAGGGGCCACTGTGAAGATGGCCCTCAGTCGTGGACACTGAGCGACCGCCACAGGAGAAAGAAGCGTTCTCTGTAACGGGCATGAAAGCTCATTCCGGCGTCCGTGTGGAACGTGAGGTGGGATCCCACAAAGGATGACCACCATGCCACCCCCAAGCGGTGAGCACTGCCTGACCCTTGCCCTATTTCTCACTGAGTCCCTAGAAAATGCTGACCAGCCAAATGCAGTCATCAGCTATATGTATAATCTTAATTTTCCAAAAGTCACCTTTCAAGAGTGACAATAAAACAGGAGAACTTAACTTTTTTCCTTGGTACCCGGAACTGGACTCATGACCTTGCACTTCACCAGTCAGGCATTTGTGCTGCTGAGCTATATCTGTGGCCCCCATATGAGTTTAATTTTACATTTAGAATGATATATTTAAAATGTTATTTCAAGTCATAATCAATATAAAATATATTTTACATTTTTTAGTTCATAAAAAGTCTGAAATATTTGGGGTTTTTTGTTTGTTATTTTTTGAGACAGGAGTCTGCAGTTTAGGCTCCCCTTAAACTCAGTATGTAGTCGAGGCTGGCTTCAAAGTTGAGGTGATCATCCTCCTGCCTCAGCCTCCTGAGGAGGAGATCACAGGTATGTGATCACAGGTGGGTGCCACCATGCAAGACTGCTTTGAAATCTGATGTGTATTTTACAGCACATCTCCTTGTAGATCTGACACATTTACAGATAACCATAGCACTGGAAAGCAGGGATTGAAAGTGAACACCAGAGCCATTCCTGTATTTGCACATTATTTTACATACACTTATTTTAAAGAAAAGCAAAGTTGGTCATGGTGTTGTAAGAGTTAAACTATTTTAGACCAAGCTCTCTTGCAGCTTATGCAGGAGAGAGGAAGAATGGACTATCTCCAAAACCCAGGCTTTTTGTTTGCAGTCAGAGACTGAGATTTCCACTGAGCTAGCTAAGGGTTCCATTGCTGTGTCAGATCAATCTGAGATCTTTAATTAAAAAGTGCAAGTTTTAAGTCATCTTCAAGCTCCTAACTTTTCATGTTTTTATGATTTCCCTATCTTAAATACAGTTATTTCTTGACAAAACAATGAAGCTTTACATTCCAATGTATAGTAAAACAATCTGACTGCATGAAATTCTTTCAGACAAAACTGTAGGAATCCAGTTGCAGTTAAGCAAGGGAACAGAACAAGCAACTTGTTTATGTAAATGATTGTTGACCGGACTCTGTTAGTATTTTGAGTTAGATCCTCTCACTAGTTGCACACTACAAATATCCCTGCCCATGACTATGAGATGTCAGTAGCATCCTTAGTCCTGGCAACAAAACAGCAACAACAACAACAACAAAAATCATGGCCCTCATTCTCAGACTGCCTTTGTAGATGCACCACATCCCAAGTGGGACCATTGCTGGAGGCTTTTGGTAAAATCTGATCCACTAACAAAGCACATGTGGTTGTAAACATTTTGTATTCTGTAGTTTCTCTCATCAGTTAAGAAGGGATTATAAAATCCATTTGTAAAGTAAAGTAAAGTAAAGACATTTTCATACCCAAAGGCATCTGTGGTCTAGGTGACCACTGGATGGGTTTTTTTTCTGTTAAAAGCTAACACAACCTTTGTACCAGTCAGCTTTTTCCATCGCTGGGAGCAAATACCTGGGGAAAAAGACTTAGAGCAGAAAATATTTATCCATCACCAACAGATTCCACTCTGAGAAATGGGAGAAGAAACTCCTCAGAAAGAAAGACGATTCACCAGGCAGAAACAGTAATCTTCAGGGTTTGAGTTACCTTTTACGGTGTAAGTAAATTTAGTGGTACTTTATGCAGAAGGGTTGAGACAGGGTCTCACTATGTAATGTGGTGGATTTGAGCTCTCTATGTAGCCTAGCCAGACCTCAAACTCGTGGTGATTGTTTTGCTTCAGCCTCCTGAGTGTTGGGATTACAGGGAAGCACCACCTTGCTTGGCAATCCAGTGATTTCAAATAACAGTCGTTTACTATTTCTCCTCTTCTGTGGCCTGGCCAGGTGGCACTGGTCCTGCCCACAGTGCTCAGGTGGTCTCTTTTAGTGGAGAGTGGAATGAGCTCGGACTTCCAGGATAGCCTTGGGGACATGTCTGGTAGCTCAGCTGTGGCAGCTGAAATGCTGGTACAGGCCTATTTCATTCCAAGTGTTTTAAGTCCTCCAGTAATATAATATTCATGCATTTTCTGACTGGATTCTAGAAGGTAAAAGCGAAAGGTGAGTGGCTCCCTAAAACATAGTCATGTGTGGCACCACTTTGCCACATGCTATTCATCACACAAGCTAAAAGGCCAGCTTTGATTCTCAGGATGGGAAACAGAGCTGACCTCTCAGCAAGATGGCCACATGAACACACAGGAGTGAGATGGACTTCTGCTGAGCATTTTAAATATAATCCATCATGAAAAGGAGGGAAGAAGAGTACTGGAAATATTAAAATGTAGGTTGATATAAAAATCAATATATTTTTCTTTTGAAAATCTATGACATAAATAAGACTAAGCAAAAACAATGCATGTAAATGTGTGTGACAGCAGCAGAAAGGGCTCGAGGTGGCATACTGTAACTTCTAAACACTGCTCAAACAATGCAGAGTTATAGCTAAAACAGTGAAGCAATTAAAATGTAACACTAAAAACATTAATTCATAAGAGCAGGAAGCAATGAACATAGGAACACAAAATGAATGGAATGAATTGAAAATGAATAGCAAAATGACAAAACAACTCAACAGTACCAGTATTACTATTAATAGAAATAGACTAAGCATACAAGTTAAACAGATTGGATTAAAATAACAAGCCCCATTGTTTGATGACTATAAGGAAATCAAGGGCCTCTAGACAGGATCTCTGTGGAAGTACCTCTGACTGCTGTTCAAACACTGCGCTCCTGTTCAGCCTGAAGCAGCTAGATCATTCTTCTGCCCATTTCTCCTCATGGCAGTTTGGGTTACTCCTTCAGAAGAGGGATTGTTGCAGGCAGCTGAGCTAGTTAGAAATATTATAGGCAGTCAGACAGGGATAGCTCTCTGAAGCTGGCACAGAGGACCAGATGTCTGATGACCTTGGAGGGGACACACACCTCTTGCTGTGAGTCAGATCTCAAGACAGAAGGCAAAACAAATGCAACCACACTCTTAAGTATAATCCTTAGGGATTAGATCTGGATCACCTTGAGAAGCCAGGAGTCACCATCCCAATCCCTTATAGGAGGAGTCACTGATCTCTGAGAATGCCCACGTCCTATGTGATTTGCTTTCCCATTTGTTCCCAATTTAATCAATTTTACCTAAACTATTGATCTTATTGGCTAACTATAGTTATGTCCCATCATGAACCATGGTTTTACTCTATAAAAGTCCCTGGAAAAGACAGAGTCTTGGGCAACCCGCTTGGGACCCCCTTCTGTCTCTCTTGAGACAGAAGCTTTGTTTCCCTCAATAAATATATTGTACTCTTCACCTCTGTTGTTCTTAAAATTCATTCTTTGGTTTTAGAGAACACGAACTTGCAGGTTGGGAATTTCGTTCCCCTGTACCATTTGGAGGTTCCACTGAGATCACTGGATGGAGTTGAGAGTTTACTTTTGTTTGATAGACTCTGGACTGGGACTCGTTTAGGTAACAAATTTTTATGCTTCAAATTTTGCTTTGTCTTTGCCAGTTGTTTATAACTGTTTGTGATAATTGCTTGCTATTTGCTCATTGTTTTTAATTGCTTTGTCTCATGTAGTGAGTCTAAGTTAGAACATGCAAAATTTATAGTTATATTTCTTTAATGGTATACTATTTGTTCTTGTACAAGTTAAATTTGTTTCTAAAGTTACTAATACTCTTTGCTTGACTGTGTTTAGACAATAGCATTAGAAAATATTAGATATCTGATAGGCTTTAATGTAAACTACTATAAAATGGTTCTCTTAAATGGAAATCTAGCTCAGAATTAGAAAATATACATGCCTACAATAAAAAAACCCAGGACTCTTTCCACCATTTAAGCAGCACTAGGCTGATGGCTGGCCTTAAGACTTGGAGGACAGGTTTCACCGAGACACACTGGCTCTGATCCTCCTCTAGAGGAAATGTCAGGCCTTTTCTGCTTCAGGTTCCCACCTTTGACTTCACCTCTACTCATTACCCACTTTGCATTTTCCTTATAGAGGAATGTAGAGTCAGAATGAACTCTAGACTATTTCAATCTCTTCCTTCTTAGTTAAGCCCATAGAAAATGAGTGTTTGCTAATGCTGAAGACAAGGAAGTCATTTTAGATAAAGAACACACACCCCATCTCTGGGTCAGATGAGACATTGATCATAATTGTGCCCATCCAGGAGAACACACATAAGAGCCGTGTCCCAGCTCAGTGTTCTGGGCAAATCTCCTTTGGAGATTAAACCTGAGACACAGTGGGGAGAACCAGCTTCCTATGACAATGAAAGAAGCTATCCCCAGAAGCAGCACACATAGGGGCCCTATACACATTAGAATAAGGAGGCTCTCCAACCTCTCAAGTTGTGGACCTTAAAACCTTTATTGTAAGTTCATAGAGCAGTAGGTAATGATCTTGCTCAGGCTTTTAACTATCCCTTATAGAATTTTGACACATAGTGGTTACTCTGCCAGCTAATTAACTGCTCTCATAGCAACTGCCACCCTCAAAAGCAGAGGACAGGTTCCCCAGCATCTGTATGGTGAATCCCCGTTGAAGCCAGTGGCCAATGGAGTCAATGGAATGTTGACCAGACAGCTGGATTCCTTTCTGGAGACTGACTGCTGGTTATCTCTGCTGATAGTCTTGTATCCCCAAAACGAGCCCTCAGAGGCCCCCAACTTGGTGTCCAGAAATGGGGCAAGAGATGTTTTAAAAAAAAAAAAAAGCAGCAATGATTTATTTATCTATGGGCCCAGTGACACAGTACAGTTGGAGTTTGCAAAAGCTGTGTCTCTTGCTCAAAACTTTCCAGACTTTTTGTAGAAAGCATGATTTACTAAATAAGGGGTTATGGGCATGGATCAGGAAATGAGAAAATCCTTGAACTGCTAAGGAATGAGGAAGACCTTTGTTTCCCTTTGCAGAGGACAGAGAAGTCTTGCAGGAATTTACAATCTTTTGTCAACTTATTTTAGCATTCAATTTTAGATAACATCTGTCCTTTGCAGAGGGGAGCAATGGTTAACATATCAGTTAGGTCAGATTCCCAGGAATTTACAGTCCTTTGCAGAGGGGAGCAATGATTAACATATCAATTAGGTCACTCAGGAAGATGGCACATATAGAACAGTATGATAGCTACAGGTAATTGGTCATAACTTGGGCATTGGTAAATATAGCACAAACATAACGAAGCTCTTTTTGTTACTGTATAACAATAGAAACTGAGCACTGAGGGTTCCTGGCCAGGGCAACTCTCTGGTAGATACCCAAAAAGGTTCCTCAGTGAACATTTGCTCATGACCACTGAAAATCTCCACTTTTCTATCATCTATATTTCTACACTTTTCCATAGAATTTCAGATCACGTAGACTTCCCCCAAACCTTCAGAGATAAGACTGAGGTAGTTTTCAACAGTTGTTTATATCTTATAACAGCTAGTAGAAAAGGATTTACATTTGTGCCTTACACATGTTAATTAAGAGTAAATAGGCTGGGGCTGGGGATTTAGCTCAGTGGCATAAGTGCCTGCCTTGCAAGCAGGCAGTTTCATGAGTTCAATCCCTGGTATTGAAAAAGACAAAAAAAAAAAAAAAAAAAAAAAAAAAAAAAAAAAAAAGAGTAAATAGGCTTTTCTTTTCTGTGTGCCTTGAAAATTGATGTGCCTTTTTCTAATGTAAACTATGATTGCTAGATAATGATTTGTAAATTTAACCTGTGAACTTCACAGATATAGCAATTTAAATGAAGTATAGCCTTATCCTTACTATGAAAGGTTACCTAGGTAATTCATTTGGAAACAAATGCCTGGAGATTCCTTTGTGCAGTGCACTGCATGGGGGTGAGGCTCCTCCAGTCAACTGTTCTGCCTATCTCTAGAGGAGAGTTACTTTACAGCCTGAAAAGCATTCTATACTCTCTTCCAATAAGCAAAGTTATTACAAAGTTATGCTTCCTTCTTTAAGCATTCCTTATGGAAACAAAGATCATGAGCTATCGGGGAAGATAGGATTGCACACCAGGATGAGGGTGGATAGGCTGGCCAAATTTTATCTTCCATGCTCTCCAGATGGCATACACCTGCCCTGGAGCAAAGTGAATCCAAGGGATTCTTTGAGGGTATTATCAAATAGGAATAACAAAGGATTCCTTAGTTATCTCCTTTTGGCATAGTCAGATAGCTCAGTGTCAAAGTCTTAGCACTACAGGGATAAGAAGAGCTCAGTGGGGCTTCCTGGGTTCAATCCCTGTTGCAAAAGGTTTCATAGTCTTACATGCTGCTTTTATACTATAGACATGGGCAGCTCAATGCCAAAGCCTCTACCTCCTTTAGAATGCATTCTTAAGCACTGGAAGATGTTCAACCTTCCATGTTGAAAAAGAGCCAACTAGCATTTCTCTGCAGGAGTGCATGGCCTATCTATCCCCTAGAGCCAAAGTGGAATACAGAGGGAAGTATTAATTATGATGTTATTTTACAACTAAAATCATTTTGTAAGAAAGAGGAAAAATGGTTAGAACTGCAGTATGTTAAAATTTTCTTTGCGTTAAAATGGTGTTTTAACGCATTAACATCGAAAAATGGTGTTGAGAATGGGACTGGCAGGGAGCCCTGCATTGACCTGCAGTGAGTGAGAGAAATGGGGACCCTTTCATAGACTAGGAGGCTCCAACAGAGGACATTCTGGGAATGAGCAGACTAGCCGGAACAGGGCCCTGCAGTGACTTTAGTCGCCTATTCCCCTCTCAAGCAGGAGTAGTGGGGAGCGCTTGGCCTGGTGACGTCACGGAGTAAGATCCAGTAGGCTAGCCCAAATCAGGTCCCTGTGCCTGGTGGTGCACCCTAGCAGTGAAGCATTCAGTAGGTTGACCTCCTGGAGGGCGGGCCCAGCAGAGGCTGCCCAGGTCTGTGTCTCCCTAGTACCCTGCACTGGGCGGGAACACCTAGCTGATGGATTCAAACAAATGTAACAGACAAAGAGAGAAAAAAAAAAAAAAAAACTGGGCCTCCTACATACGCTTGTATGGAAGGAACAAAAAGTATGGGAAAAGGGAGCAAAAAGAAAGGGTCCTCAGTCCCCAATCCTGAGACCACTGATCCAGGAAAGGTAAATGCAAAAGAGAATGAAGACAGAAAACATGCAATATCAAACATGGCACCTATAGACATAAAGCGGTATCTCTGGAGCCTCATAGATGAGTTCAAAAATGAAGTATTTAATGAAATAAAGCAAGAAATAAGTAGAATAGTTAGAGAAATGCTAAGCACTGCCCAAGAAAAAACAGATGGTGGAATGGAAGAACAGAAAAAAAGGGGAGAATTGTTTGATGGAGAAAATAGAGAAAACATAGAATACGTGAAGCAGGTTCAAAGAGATTACCAGGAAACTAAAAACTCTATCGAAAGCTGGCATAACAGCTTGAAAGAAACTAAGGATAGATTATCAGAACTGGAGGACAGATTGGTAAGGTGGGAGCATGAAATGAAAAACTTCTTAAAAATAACAAGAAAACAAATAGCAATAATACAAAGACTAGAAGATGATAAGAGGATCTATAACTTAAGAATTAAGAACATAAAAGAAGAAGTAGGGACTCAAACAAATGAACTATAAGAGCTATTCACAGAAATAATCCAGGAGAATTTCCCTAATTTAGCAAAAGGTAAAGATACTCAGATGTATAAGGCATACAGGACCCCAGCTACCTACAACCCAAACAGAGCTACACCCAGGCATATAATAATCAAAATTCCAGAAATCCAATGTAAGAACAGAATATTAATAGCTGTCAAAGACAAGAAACAGATCACTTACAAGGGAACACCCATCAGAATTACAGCAGACTTCTCGGCACAAACCATCAAATCACGAAGAGCGTGGGGGGAAATAATTCAAGCTTTGAAAGATAATAACCTCCATCCAAGATTGATATATCCTGCACAACTGTCCCTAGAAATTGATGGAAAAACAAGGTGATTCCAGGATAAAGAGGAACTAGGGGAATTTGCAACCACCAATTCAACTCTACAGAGATTACTGCCGGATATTCTAAAAATGAAAAATACAAAGATTCCAGAAACAGTGGCAGAGTGGCCACAATGAATGGAGCAGAAAGCGAAATGAAGAGGACAAACTGACAACTAATGACAGAAAAAGAGCTCAACAGAAATGAGGCAGAGAAGGTTGGATGGTAGGAACAGCCATTTTGGAGAAAACAAGACATTATAATAGGTAGCGCTGATTTAATATCCTCTTGTTTTGAAGTCCCATCAAGCTTTTGTTCCGTCTCCATCGGTTATAACATGTTGTATCTTATTGGATTTTATTATATGTGATAATATAAATAAAAACTTTTATAGACAAGGAGATTATACAGAAACCATTGTTCATTTTCTGTTAGTTGATTCTAAATACCCTGTAATACTGTCATTCTCTTGAACGGTTTTACATTGTCTTGATATGTTTGATGCTATAGTATATGAAGTTATAGCCAAAGATTTTAAGGGAAGAGACACTATGGTAACTACTATTATGTCGAGATTATCTTGTGGTGAAACACTATTTTGCTTAAATGGCTATGTTTGACCTGCGCTGTTTTGTTGTTATGCCCTCTTTTTTATCTCAATCTCCTTTTTATTATCTATTTTTTCATTTTTATCCTTTTAAGTAAGGGAAAAATAAATAAAAAATAGCAGGATATATTATAGTAACCCACTTTGATTTCCAATTAACTTGATTTGAAACTCTGTATTTCTCTCACCATCTTGTTTTGACTGATTTTCCTCTATTCTGTTATGCTTGATAGTACCAAGTTTGAAAGTATAGGCAACAACTATGAAGACAATAAGATTCATTGTGACGCCCATTCTGGTTGACTATTATCTTCTTTTGAAGTCCTCTAATGTCTCCAATGTTTTGGTTTTATTGGTCTTATTCTTTACTGTATTGTTCAATTTTATTATAACTGATGGTTATAGGCAATTCTTTTTAAGATAACAAGAGGCATTATGGTAACCATTGTTGATCACCTTGTATTTTGTTTTTACATTATGTATTATGTCCATCCTTTTGATTTGACTGACTCTGTCCTGGTATGTCACATTTGGTTTTACTTTCTTCAAAAAAAAAAAAAAAGTAATGAGAACTGTGGGAGCAATAAAACCCAAAATGTGCAATTGTCATTGTACAAAAGAAAGGAAAAGAAAGTTCTCTAAAAGATATAACTGCATATATATTTAAGTGTATAAGATAGATAACCATATTACTGAGTTTTGTTGGATCACTGAACAGAACTGTTTGCAGTCTCACTGTTTGAAAGTCCCCTTTATATGCTTTAATTTTGTAACTTCAACAACTATTTCTAAGATGAGAATATATAACTAACTAGTGATTTCCTACTGTTTATTTTTTCTGAAATTCTGTATATCTTGTACCCTTTTTCTGTTTTTTTCTTTTTTCTCCTTAAAATTAAAAAAAAAAAGAATTCTTATCTATGCTTCAGGTATAATTATGATCCTTATGAGACCATTCCCATTCATAGGTCTCTTTCTCTCAGTGACTTAATGCAAATTAAGCTAGAACTAGGAAATTTTTCAGATGACCCTGATAGGTACATTGATGTCTTTAGAGGATTTACTCAGACCTATGAGCTAGGCTGGAGAGATGTAATGTTTCTCTTAAGTCAAATAATTGACTTCTAATAAGAGAAAGGCAGCATTACAAGCTGATATTGCCTTTGAAGATGAATATCATATTATTGCTTTTGTAAGTTTAGAAGATAGACAACCAGGAGAACCATCAATTCCCACTGGAGCACAAGCAGTTCCTAACCAAGATCCTAACTGTGGCCTGCCAACAATTCAGGAGATTGAAACAAGAGATATTTCCAAGTGTGTATTCTTGAAGGCCTAAGAAGGACAAAAACCAAGCCTTCTAGTTATTTTACATTGTCAGCTATTTCTCAGAGAAAAGGTGAAAACCCCTCTGACTTCTTAGATTGTTTATCAGAGGCAATAATAAAATATATCTCATAGATCCTGATTCAACAGAGGGACAGACTTTGCTTAAAGATAAGTTTATTACACAGATATTTACTCAGATAAAAAGCTACAAAAGATGGCTTTTGCTCCAGATAGTTCACGTGATACTTTAGTAAAAGTTGCCCCCTCAGTATTTTATAACTGTGATGAGAGGGAGATCAAGGAGAGAAAACAGAGAGACCGAGAAAAAGCAGTTGCTTTTTGCTGTGGCCTTTAGAGAAACAGACTCTAAGTCTGATTCTTAGGGCTCCAAAAAGAGATTGACAATGAAATCTACCTGCTATTGCTTCCAAAAGCCAGGTCACCTTAAGAGGGGTTGCACTCAGAAGCCCCCTGGGCCATATCCCAGCTGCAAAGGTGACCACTGAGGTCAGACCGCCCTTTGAGGTCAAGGCTCCAGGGTTCCGACCCATCCTATCAGTTGGTACAGCAGCACTGAAGGGCCCCGGGGCTGCCTTCTCCCTCTGGCTGGACTGCCATCTCCACAGAGGAGCCAGGGTAATCATGACAATAGAGAGAAAAGACACCAGCCTATTGCTGGATACTGGCACAAACCTCTGGGTCCTTCTTTTTAATCCTGGCCTTCATTCTAGTGATCACACCTCAGTGAAAGAAGTCACTGGCCAGGAGGTAATTTGCTGTTTTTCACAACCTTTAGGCTGTACCTGGGATGGTTTGCTTTTTACACATTCATTTTTTATTTTATTTATTTATTTTTTAGACTAGTGAAGTGCAGTAGAGAGAAGGGGGGAAAGAGTAGAACAAGGAGTTCAATCTGTACTGACTGTGAACCATCAATTGAGATAACTCACTACCTTCGGACCAGCCTACACATTCATTTTTGATTATTCCTGAAAGTCCATTCTTCTCTTAGGAAGAGATATTTTATCATGTTTAAATACTGTGATATATATGCACTCACGTCAGGCACACTGCCTTCCCCTTGTGGAGGCAGAAATCCTTAAGCATGGGCAAGTAAAGGTAGAAAAGATAGGCAATAAGTCCAAAGGACCAAGCATCTCAATTAACATGCGCTGTGTTCTCCAAGGGTTTAGAAATAGGTAAAAAAAAAAAAAACCAAAAAAACCTGAATGCTGTCTATAAATTCATGATTCTTCTGCTAATATCTCAGTAGCTATTCAAAATATTAAATAACAAATCAATGACATGTCAGCTTCTAAAATTCCCTGGACGTTATTTTTTTTTTTTACCTCAACTTGTAAGAATGGATGGACATTATTCTTATAGGAATTAATTCTAGTTCCTCTTGGTAGAAATCTTTGTTAACTATACTAATAATTGTCTTGTTGATTTGATTCTTTAGCCCATGTATACTTAACTGTTTCTTTGGCTTTGTCTCCTCCAGACTTAAAACTGTGCACATACCCAAGATGAAAATGCCTGGTGTCAATCAAGGACCTCTAGACAGGATCTCTTTGGAAGTACCTCTGACTGCCGTTCAAACACTGCATTCCTGTTCAGCCTGAAGCAGCTAGATCAGTCTTCTGCCCATTTCCCCTCATGGCAGTTCGGGTTACTTCTTCAGAGGGGAGATTGTTGCAGGCAGCTGAGTTAGTTAGAAATAGTATAGGCAGTCAGACAGGTATAGCCCTCAAGGAAGCTGGCATAGAAGACCAGATGTCTGATGATCTTGCAGGGGACACACACCTCTTGCTGTTGGCCAAATCTCAAGACAGAAGGCAAAACAAATGCAACCACACTCTTAAGTATAATCCTTAGGGATTAAATCTGGATCACCTTGAGGAGCCAAGAGTCACCATCCCAATCCCCTATAGGAGGAGTCACTGATCTCTAAGAATGCCCTTGTTCTATGTGATTTGCTTTCCCACTTGTCCCCAATTTAATCAATTTTACCTAACCTATTGATCTTATTGGATAAAAGTCTGTGGAAAAGACAGATATTGGGCAACCCTCTCGGGACCCCTTCTGTCTCTCTTCAGACAGAAGCTTTCTTTTCCTCAATAAATATATTCTACTTTTAACTTCTGTTGTTCTTAAAATTTATTCTTCAGTTTAGAGATCACGAACTTGCATACATAGTAAGTTGGGTGTTTCATTCCCTTGTATAAATACAACCAAGATTCCCTTGTATCATATAACTGTGCGTCCCCCAAATTTTAAAATATGAAAGGCTAAAGAAAAAACAAATGCACATACTGTAATGAGTTAACATTCATTATTTTAGTCATTGGTGGTAACACTACTAAAGATCAGCAGTAATAAGGAAGAGCTGAACAAATTTAGCAACCACTTTAACCTAATGGACTTTGACAATGCTCAGCCACTTGGGAATACACATGCTTTACCAACGCTCATGCAACATTTACAACATAGGCTATGTTCTGGGAATACAGCTCACAAAACTTTCAAATACTGAATTTTAGTTTGTTTTCTAACCACAAAGTAAACTTTGTAGTATCTAACAAGACTGACCATGAAAGAAATGTAGAAGATGCAAATTATCAATATTAGTGTTTTAGTTTTCTATGATTATATAACCAACCAGCCCAAAATTGAGTGGCTTAAAACTACTATTTTACTGCTCATGATTTTGTGAGTCAGGAACTTGTGCGGGGCTCAGCTAACTTTCCCTTTACCTTATCAAGCAGTTCCATTTAGCAGATGCCTGCTCTGGGATACAAAGTCTGTGGTGGCATTCCTATATCGGGAGCCAGGGTGATGACCAATGACTCCATGTGGCTTCCTGTCCCTGTGGTCTTACTCCAGGGGCTCTTTCTCCATACAAACTCTCTTTAGCAGGACAGCTTGTACTTTACAGGTCAAGGTACTAAAGAGGGATTAAAAAATTACTGATGTTTTGCCTTTGAGGATACAGTCTTTCCTCAAGTCTGAGCTTAGAATGGGTTCTTAGTCCATGTATTTTAGGGAATTTAGAGTTGGATGTTTGTATCTACATTTCTACGTGACATATTTCTATGCTTTCATTTTTGCCACATTCCTTTCCTATTCATACAATTAGCTAGGACATAAGTCTGTAATGTGTCTCTTAAATTGTTTGTATAGTTTGTTCTTCAATAATTTTATACAGAAAAGGTTCATGGTAATCCACGTTTCCAAATGATATTTTTTTGTCTTTTAAAAAAATATAAAAATATAACTTCACTACATTAAGTTGCTCCTTATTGCAAAGCACGTGTGATTTCTCTCTTCTATGGGATAGGTTTTCTGCTACACTGAGGCTTAGATGCTCTCTTTGGTTTTCATTTTTGTTGTGCTACTTTAAAAAAATCATGTTCGAGGCTGGGGATTTAGCTCAGTGGCATAAACACCTGCCTTGCAAGCAGGCGGTCGTGAGTTGGACCCCTGGTACTGATAAAAACGAAAAAAATGAAAAAGACAAAAAAAAATCATGTTCATGTTATTAAATGTGATAATACAGTGGTCACTGCTTGTCCTCGCCCAGGTACCTTCCCGCAACACGACCCTCATAAACTGCAGAACTCCTCTATTTTCCCGTTGAGGACAGATAAAATGTAAATCGGGAGCCAAATGTATTGGAAAGCCTCCCTCAGTGTTTACTTCCGGAGTCTCTCCCGAAAGCACTTCCGGGGTCATTTCCGGAAGTCACTTCCTGGGTCGAGAAGCGGACAGCCACCTTGCCAGCGCAAAGGAAGAATAAAGGGCGGCTGCTTGTGTTTGCCGCCCAGGCGCCCGAGGCAGGTTTTGCGCATGCTCTCAGGAAACGCTCGTAACTTCCTCTTCCGGTACGTTTCAGCCCGCGTCCTGGACCTCGCTTTGGCTGGGTGTGTGAGGCAGATGTTGTCCAGAGATCCCCAGAAGCGGGAAGGGTGTGCTGGGACACACCCATGCTTTATTCTGGATGTTCTCTTTCTGCTCTGGAGCCTTAGTTTCTGAAGACGCGAGGTGGGATGGAGAGGCTTCGGTTACCGTGGCAACTGCGTGCACAACGGCGTGTGTCTTTGGGGATCCCGGAAAGGAGCGTTTGAGTTCAGGCTCCTCAGAGTACAAAGTGGGTTGGATTCAAATCCACTTGTCGTGCAGACTTGTTCACTTAGCCACACGGTTCGATTTTAAAAGATTCCCTCTGGCTGCTCTGTAGGGAAGCGAGATCTGAGGGTACCAGTGAGGAAGTCTATGCCGAAATCAAGGCACAGTGTGGTGTCCTGAGCTGATGTACTGCTGTCGGGGTGCAGAGAGGGCCGAAAGCTGGAGACCCTCCGGGAGCTGGTAGGAGAAGCTCGCCTGTTCACTTTGACGTGGGGAACGAGCGAGGGGTCTCCAGATCACTTGCGGATTAATTGCGCACCGAGCCGGGCGTCTGACTGTCTCTAGCGTGGTCAGTCAGACTAAGTCCCTCAGTTTGTTTTCAGTCTTCACAGGGAAAGCGGTCGTAGGACTGCCTCGGGTTGTTGTGAGGATTAAGTGAATAATTTATAGGCCAGGGAGGTAGTAAGGACTTTGTAAGTAACTACTGTTAATGTACTCGTGACCTTGTTTTGTTCTGTATTTCGCTGTTCTCTAGATTTGAGCAGTTTTTTCAATCAGAGGGTGGAGTGTCTTAGGTCTTTATGTGTTCTGGACATTTAGTAATAATTCATTTTATGGGTCATTTTGGATATTGCCGAAATTTCATTTTGTACTTTGAAAGAGTTGAGAGATACAATGAATTTTGCAGGCCAATTCCCTTGAATTGATGGCAGTTTTTTCTCATAACTAGAAACCTGTGGGTTAAGATGCACCAAAGGTAACCGATACTGTGTTTTTGGTTTGGAACAGATATGAGTGATTTCAGTGAAGAGTTAGCAAGGCCTGGGTCAGAAGATGGCCAAGTGGAAACATCTGTGGTCTCTGGTACAGGAATGCACTTTCCGTGGCTTTGGAAGCATCTAGATACCGTCGGTAAGTAAATGGTATGGAGCCATGTTAGCTTCAGTGCGTGGAGGTGGTGAAATGCGGTACAGACACGGAGGGGATTGCCAAGCTGGGTCAGTTTTCAAGATAGGAATACTGTATGAGTCCCCCTGCTTGGGCTACAACCAAAAAAGAAATAATTGATTACTGTTTTTTTTAAAATCCTTTGTTTTTCAGTTAATAACTACAGCCTATGTTGTTAATAAACAAGAAGTAGTTGCTCTTTTTCAAAGTGGTCTTGCTAAATGCTTAGCATCTCTAGCCTGGCTGAATAGATTGGCTCATAGATGAATTTGGGGCACTTTCCACCGAGAAGCGCATACCTAACAAGTATGGAAGTTTCTGTTGAAATAATTCCTGATAGAATGATGATGTAATAGACGTGAAGAGGAGTATTTTCCCCCCATTTTTGTCAAACATAAACACACGCAAGTTTTTCTATGGACTAAAATCCCTGTAGGAATATATAAAAGAAGCAGCTCTGCGTTCACGTTGGGCAGCGGAGGTCTGGGAATACCTGTGATCCAGGACTTTCTCACTGCCCTGAAATGTCTTCCTTAGCTCTGCCTTGTCTCCCCTTGCAGAGATTCCTTGATTTTTGGAGTTTTAATTTCCATTACTAAAAATTTCACTCGTGTGTCTGTGTGTGTGTGTAACACTGAGAATTAAAGCCAGAGCCTTCACACCGATCTATACCCACGGCTCTTTTTTTTGGTACTGGAGAGCGAACCCACGACCTTGCTTGCACTTGCCAGGCAGGGCCGCTGAGCTAAATCTCCAGCCCTACCCATAGCTCTTAAATTAATTAATTGATGAATTTTGAGCTAGGGTCTCAATGTGCAGTTCAGGCTGGCCTTGAACTCACTTTGTTGCCCAGGCTGGCTTTGAATTGGCAGCAGTCCTCTAGCCTCAGGCTCTCAAGTGCTGGAATTACAGGTGTGCACCATCATACCCTTGTAAAAGCTTTGAAGTACTATCCCATTTGATGACCTCAGTAAATTAATCCTCAGCACAGGTACATTTTAAATGTGAGGAAACTGAAATGTAAAGAAGTAGTGGTAGCAGGAGTCAGATCTACTCTTGGGGGTGGGGTGAGGCTTTTTTCTTTTTCCTTTCCAGACAGCGTCTCGCTGTGGAGTTCAGGCAGGGCTCGCACTCACTGTGTAGCTGAGGACAGCCTGAAACTTGCAGTGACCCTTCTGCCTCTGCCCCCAGAGTGCTGGGATCACCACTGTGTACCGCCACGTGTTGACCAAATCCACTCCTGAGTAGCAGTGTCAGGAGGCCAATCCGGGTCTGTCTGATCTCAGGTTATACTGGCAGCCTCTGAGGTAGAGAGGTTCCTCTCACCTCTGTGTTGGCTCCAGAGCAGTCTTGTTTCAGGTGAATGAAAGATTGTTTATGAAGAAGTGTTTGTCAGTTTTCAGGGTGAGTTACCTGAGATTGTTGCCAATCTGGGCTGTCTGAGTGTAGAGCTTGTTAAATAAAGCTTCTGATTCAGCTGGCCGGGTGAGCTGCATTCTCCGTTTCCAGCTGTTTCTGTTTGTTTGGTATTGGGAACTGAACTCATGACGTTGAGCTTGGCAGGCAGGTGTTGTGCCCCTGAGCTAGATGCCCAGTCCTTCAAGCAGGTTCTAATGCCACTGGTTTCAGGATGATGCTGAGTAGCAGATGTTTTATCTGTATCAGTTTAAGAAGTACCTAGTCTGTAGCAGTCATCTGGTATTTTTTATTTATGTAAGCCCTACTTTGTCCTTATTCAAATTGTGTGCTGCCTTGCATAATTTTAAGTGATAATTTCTAGTACATAATAACATTTTATTTATTATTTGTTTATTTGGTACTGGGAACTGAACTCACAACCTTGAGCTTGCCAGACAGGCACTTGTGCCACTGAGCTAAATCCCCAACCCTATAATAGCATTTCAAATGAAATTATATTATTTTAAAATAGATTTGAGGGACTGTAAATAGCATAAAAATATAATTCCTTGCATCACCCATTTGAAAAAGCTTTTAATATGAATCTGCCCTTTTACTTATTTTTAATGTTTTTGAGTATTAAAATTTCTAATTAGTAGTTGTATGCAGTTATTCAAAATAAGTTTTGTTAAAATTTGAGTATTAAAAAGTAAATTCTAATGTTTCTAAATTTAATGTTAAAATAAACTTATTACTTTTTCCCAGTTGCCTCCAATAACTGATTATTCTTGTAGGATGAAAAAACATTCTGCATCAGTATGTTTTAATCTCGAGAAATTTGTTGGTTTTTGAGACAGGGTCTCAGTATGTAGTTTAGGCTAAACGTGGCCGCCTCCTGTGGTCCAGGAGGGCCTTGAACGCCTGCTGATCCTCCGGCATCAGCCTGCTGACTGCGGGGGTCACAGGGGTGTCTCGTATCCAGGTAACTGAGACGTTTTTAATCACATAGGGAAGTAGACCACAGAGAATGGAGTTTAAACAAACAGTGTGTCAGGTCTTTTACTCCTGAATTGTTCATGTGAAAATTGTGATATGATCTATTACATTATTGAAGCATTTTATAGTTTTGATAAGCTGAAATTGAAAATCATCTGACTTGCAGAAAGAGTTATTAGAATCATTCACTTTTAAGGCAGTATTTTCACTTTCGGGTGTGTAATGATTTCAGTTGAGGAGACCTAACTTCAGGCACAGCGCTCCCTCTCGGGGTGAGTCTAAGAAAGTGAGTATGAGGGAGCATTAAACCGACAGCTCGTTGCTTTCACAGCGCCCCAGCCTGGTCTTTGTGAGGTGCACAGGGACAGGCCTGCAGGGTCAGACATGTATGCAGGAAGGGAAGGGAGTGAGGAGGGACACATAGCCATGAGCTTAGGTACTCACGTGGTGGTGCTGAAACTGAGCCCGGCCCCCCTCATGCGGGGGTTGCCAGCTGTCTAGCGAGAAACACTACCTGTGTCACTCTCCTTCGCACTTGTGTTGCTGGGTAACAGAGATTCTGCCTGCCAGGCTGGACTGGCGAGTTCCACCCATTCCAAGGACCAGGGCCTGTGCTTTCGGGGACTTGTTTGAGAATTTTTCTCCAGCATTTAGTGCAATGTGAAAGTCTGAGTCAGGCTGGAAGTCCGTGGTGGCCCAGGTGGCTCAACAGGGCCAGCTTAGATTTCTGCTCTTTAGAAACGGTACGGTGTGGCCAGGCTCGCACCCAGGAAAGCTGGCCCTGACCTGGAGGCTGGGATGGGCAGGGAGCTCTCTCACCTGCGCTTGTCCAGGTGTTTTGAGCAGGTTCATCTTCCCGCTTTCTAGCAACCAGAGGGAAGAAGAAAAAAGACTTCGCTCAGACCACGGGTGCCTGCTTAAGCCTCATCCAGGAGGCGCTGCTGAAGCAGCGGTGGCAGCAGGCCGCCGAGTACATGCACAGCTACCTGCAGACCCTGGAGGACTCGGACAGCAACAAGAAGCAGATGGCGCCCGAGGTGAGTGGCTGCTGACAGCCAGGGAGCACAGTCCTGCAGGCAGGGTTTGGTCAGGACGACTTTTACCTGCTTCTCCTTAACAGGGACTGCAGAGTCTGAACTCTGGGTCCTCGAGTCCCCGACAGTGGTACACTCCAGTAATCGTCTCTACTTTCTGCCCCATCCCCAGGGTGTTTCCCGTCGTCAGACACAGTGCTTCGTAAAGTTCTGTGTTAAAATCATCTTCGATCCCTGCTTCTCTTCGCGCTTTGTGCCTGTTTCCTACTTTCTCCTCCAGCAGAGCTCTTTGAAAGAATTGTTCCCCTCCTTTACCCAGAGTGGTCACTTGTTTTGTTAAGTTTTATCAGGACATAATTAACAAGCCAATCATGCAGTTCACCGATGGAAAGTGCACAATTTAATTTTCTAAACGTACAACCCACAGCACCATCTGAATTTAGCATATTTTTGTCCTCCTCCAAAAGGAACTCTGTACTTACCTGCAGAGTGTCTTTCTCTGTCCGTGCGGTCCTGGAAGCCACTAACCTGTTGCTGCCTGTGCTGGACCTGTCCTGTGAGTGGCCTGTGCTATAGTGGACACAGTGGACGGCTATGCCATCCTGGTGTAGTGTTTGGGGGCTTTCCCAAGTTGTTGTGTAATTAGGACTTCATTCCTTGTATTGCCGAGTAACTGTCGTTATATGGTGTACTGTACCACGTTTTGAACCCATTTGTCTGTTGGTAGACGCTTGGGCTGTGTCTCATTTTTGTCTTATGAAGGGCGCTTCTGCGTGCGCCCCTGGGCATGTCTACATGGACGTGGCCTTCATTTCTGTGGGCGTGGACTCGGGAGTGCAGCTCTGGTCGTAGGCAGCCCTGCTGTTTCCTCCTTCTCAGGAGCTGCCACACCGCTCTCCATGGTGACCCCGAGTTAGATCCCTGCCAGCGCCCCTTGAGGCCTGGTCTCCACGCCCTTCCTGGCAGGGCACTGTCTGGGGATTAGGGAAGTGAAGTCTCCTCTCTTTCTGATGGGAAAAGATGTAGTTGTTACACCAAAGAACTAACATGTATTTCACAGAAGCAGCTGATTTAGAGTTCGCTTTAATTTACCTTAAAATTAATATTACTGAAGTGGTTTAGGGAAAAAAAGAGGTGAGAAAAATAGACATTTCTCCACTGGAAAAAGACCTCCAAAGTTTTGTCACCAAAGTTTTGATGTCCGAGGAGAAAATATTTTTATTAAAATTTACCCAGACACATGAAAATTCTGTCTCCCTCTCTCTATCCCTCTGTTTGTCTCTGCTCTCTCTCTCTCTCTCTCTCTCCATCCCTCTGTCTGTCTCTGTCTGCTCTCTCTCTCTCCCTCTCCCTCCCCCTCTCCTCCCCCTTCCCCCTCTCGGTGGTGCCTGACCAGGGCCTGCACACCAAGCTTCCTCCCCAGCCCTGTGTTACTGTGGTTTGAGGCGCCGTTGCTGAGCCACTGAGTTGCCCAGGCAGGGCTGGATTTGCGGTCCTGCTGCCTCGGCCTCCCTGAGAGCAGGGTTACTGGTGTGTGACACTGCCCCTGAGGCTCTGAACACCGGGGGAGGGGGGGTGTAGTCTGCAGGTGAGGCCGCAGGAAACCTGGGGCCTGTTGTCCCCATTCATGGAAGTGGACATGGGGCTAAGACCAGGGATGGAGCCAGAGTCCCTGAAACTCAAGTTTCCTGACTTAGTCTTCTTCCTGCATCGACTGAAAGTTTTACGTTTATTGTTATCCTACGCTATACTGTTATTAAATGTGGGATCACTACTATTTAGTTATTATTCTATTTATAGTTATTGTTCTCACTGTGTAGCCCAGGCTGGCCTCAGACGCTCAGGTATCCTCCTGCCTCAGTCTCCCAAGTGTGCTAGAATTATGTACGTGTGTCTCCATGCCCACAAGTTTTATATCTAATATGTACATTCACTGCCTGCCTTTTTTAGATTGCTAATTTAGTGGTACTACTATACTCACCTAGCATTTTATTTTTTATTTAAAAATTTTTTTTTGTTGTTCCAAGGATCAAACTCATGACCTAGTGCTTGCCAGGCAGGCACTTATGCCACTGAGCCAAATCTCCAGCCCAGTGTTTTTATTGTACATGTTACTTATTTTGGTTTTTGAGACAGGGTCCAGAAACATCTGTTCAGGCTGTCTTGCCCTCACAGTGTAGCTCCAGCTGGTGATGAACTCGTGGCAGTTTCCTGCCTCTGCCTCCCAGGTGCCGGCCTTGCAGGGAGCCCTGCTTTACCTGGTAGTTCTAGACTGACCCACTGGGGAGGAGGTTTGGTTACATAGTATGTGATACTAGTTTTAGTGGTAAACTGTCGTAAAGTACTCTTGGTAGTGGTCTCTAGGAGAAAGAATTGTAGGTCGTTTTTCAGTGTTCTAATCTGAAAAATAATCCAAGTCTATACATTTTGGCAGTACTTTCTGCTTTGACAGATTATATGGAAGCTTGGAAGCGAAATTCTCTTTTACCACCCTAAAAGCAGCGTGAAGACTTTCAGTGCCTTTGCGGACCAGATGAAAAACGTTGGCGTCCTGAATTATTTGAAGGTGAGCGTGCAGGCTCTGGGACCCTGCCTGTGCGACACGTGTCGGGTGGGAGAGGCTGAGGCCCGGGGTGGCACCCCGCTGGTGCACTGTGGTGCGCCCCGCTTCCTGCTGCAGGCGGCTTTCCTCCTTGGCCGCTGTGACTGCACTGCCGAGCCCTCGTCCATGTAGTGCTGCCAGGGGCAGCAGCCCAGCTTTTGTTCCCACGAGGACCTGGCCAGCCTGGCCCTGCGGCTCCTGAGTGTTCAGTCTTAGCTGTCCGGTGACCCTGGTGACAAGGGCTTTCCCTTGTCACGGTGCAGATCTCCCTGCAGCACGCGCTCTACCTGATTCACCACGGGATGCTGGAGGACGCCCACAGGAACCTCAGTCAGGCGGAGACGTGGCGGTACGGGGAGAAGTCGTCCTCCCAGGAAACCCTCATCAACCTCGTGCAGGCCTATAAAGGGCTTTTGGAATACTACAGTTGGTCTAAAAAGAAGATGGAGTTGTCACAGTGTGGTGAGTGCATCTGAGGGAGTTGTGTTCTTAAGAGACTGAAAGAGCCATCTTCAGCGTTACCCAGTCATCTCCCTGCGACTTCATCCAGACCGTGTAGAGGACAGGCATTTACTGGCCTTACGTTTTTGGTCATCCTTCATATTTCTTTGGAGGCAAGGTCTCACTATGTAGTTCAAGCTAGTCTTGAATTCACTATGTAGCGCAAGCTGGTCTCAAATTTATGGCAGTCCTCCTGTCTCAGCCTCCTGAGCTTTCGTGTGGGTCTTCTGATTATGAATTGAATAGATCCTTAACATGGGATAATTTTTAAAAATTACTTACCTTTGGGCAGATAAGGATGATTATGCTTATAGCACAGAAGCCCGAAATACATTCCGCCACAGCTGGAAGACATCTGTAAATTTTAGTTCACTGATTAAAACTCCTGGCGTTTGGGACCCTTTTGTGAAGAGTTACGTAGAGGTGAGTTGGTGTCTTATCTAATAATTTAGTTTGATTTAGTCCTAGGCCAACAGAAAATCTGCATGCCTGGTTTTATTGAGCATCAGGAGGTCAGTAGAGAGAGTTATACAATGAAACGAAAATTAAAAATAGAGACAGAAATGTGGTTTATCCCTTTTTTGGTCAGTTCTTTCTGTTTATTAACGCACTGTCAGTATTACTTTTGTCTCCACCATTGGGAACATGTCCTGGTCACTTACCTATAATATAAATGGCAGTGTAATTTTAAGCATCAGTTGTGTATTCTTGGGGCATTAAAAGGAAAAGGATCTTCTGTCGTTTGTGGGACATAGAAAGGATGCAGGTGGAAATCTGACACTAGGTCTTGGGATGGGTGCAGAGTGATGGCTTTGCAAGCTCCCAAGGGGTCCCTCCTCCAGGGGCCTTCACCTGGCCATTAGACATGAGCCTAGAATACTTGGCTTGCCTGGCCACACACCCGTTGCGGCTGAAGTAGGGGCGCTGAGGTCATTGGTTCGGTGTTTTAGTCACGAGTTTCCATGCCCAGAGGACTTTTGTTTCTTGTAGAACCATTGTTAGGTCCAGGTCACTGCATTTCCCAGTGACAGAGCAGTGTGGCACTAGGGTGGGACCCGGTGACCATGTGAGTGGCCCTGTTCGTAGCCAGTGGATGCAGACAGCAGCATTCACTGCTGTTCTCTCTGCAGTTTGTCAGTTTTGTGATTTGGTTTTTGCACCCAGCAGTAAAGTTGTGGCTCTTTTTTTGTACCTGTCTCAGAGAATCTGGCTACTGTAGTGTGGTTCATTTTATACAGATGCTGGAATTCCATGGTGACCGAGACGGGGCCCGCAAGGTCCTCACCAATTACGCGTATGACAAAAAGTTCCCGTCAAACCCAAATGCCCACATCTACCTCTACAGCTTCCTCAAGAGAGTGCGGGCACCGAGGGCCGAGCTGCTCAGAGCCCTGCAGGTATGGGGTGAATGGGGCTGGGGCTGTTTCCCAGACACAGCTGCTGCTGCTGTGGCCAGTGGGCTACCCCGAGGCGGGAGTGGCAGGGTCCTGGGCCCCCTGCCGCCTCTGGTTGGCCAGTTCTCCTTGGAAACTTCGAGAACCGACCCTGCTGCAGTTCAGCTTCCCTGGAGGGGCGCGCTTGGCCTCTCGCCTGAGTGCTTGGGTCATTTGAACAGAGGCAGCCGCTTCCTGGAGAGTGGGTGTGCAGCCTCTGGCACCTACCCTGTTCCCCTGCCTCATTTCCTCTCCCTTTCGTCCCCGCCCCGGCAGTCACCGTAGGTTAACTGTACCTTTTCCGGAATTTCATATCAATTTAGCTTCACAGCTTTTAGTTTTCGAAGGGGGCGACGTAGGCTCAGCACGGTGGGCATGTTGGTGGCTTCCTGCTGTGGAACGGGGCTCCACGGCACACCTCTGGGCCAGCCTTTGGCTTATTTTTACGCATGACCCTGCCCAGAAGACTCACATCACATCTTGGAGGGCATGGGTAGCTCCCTTTCTCTCGAGCCCTACAGAGAGTGGAGGAAAGTTCCTGTGCCTCTTCTTGAGTGAAACTTGTGGGCTGCGCTCTGAAGTGACAGTGTCCACTGGCTGTCTGCTCCCCAGTGGTGGGGTCGGCAGCACTGTGGGCCGCAGTCCTTCTGGTGGCTGTGTGCGTGTCTCCCTGTGGCTTTTGTTTGGTTCTTAATGGCTCGGGGGAGGGAGGGTCCTTTAATTTTTGTCAGATATCTCCCCATGTGTTGTGTGTTTTCATAGGGCGTTACTTACCTCCTTCCTGATCTGGAAGGCCGTGTCTAATCCAGGTGCAGTCCTTTGTTGCTGTGTGCATTGTGAACCTTGTCTCTCCAGTTGCGTCTCTGTTTTATTTTCTGTCTTGTCCTTTTGGTGCTGAGAATCGAACCCAGCATCGTGGGTGTGCTAAGCAGGCACCCACCTGCCGAGCTACAATTCCAGCCCCTTTCAGTTTCTTAAACTACCAGTGTCCTTCAAAGAGCAGAAATTTCTAATTTTTTTTTGTACCAGAGATTGAACTCATGACCGCACGCTTGCAAGGCAGGTGCTTACGCTGCCAAGCTAAATCCCTAGCAGAAATTTCTAATTTTGATGAAGTTCAAATTACTCATTTTTCTTCTGTTATTAGTGCTTTTAACCTAATAAATCTTTGGCTTACCTCAGGATAATAAAGAGTCTCTTGTTTGTTTTTCCTACAAGTGTTATATAGCTTTATGTTATGGTCTCTAGATTTTTAGCCTGTGTAAATTTTTTATTTTTCATATATATAGTGTTTTTACGTGTAATACAAGGAGTAAGGGTTAAGGTTGACTTTTCCCTCCTGGTTTCTTGAGAAGACTGTCCTTTCCTCTTGGGACCTTTGTTGGAAATCATTTGACCATATATGGACTCCACTGGGGAGTGAACGCAGGGCTTGTGCACTGAGCTGCATGCCCAATTCTTTATTTGTATTTGTATTTTTTGAACCAGGGGCTTATTAAGTTGCCCAGGTTGGGCTTAGATTTGAGATCCTCCTGCCTTAGCCTTCTAGCTGGGGTTTGCAGATTTAACTTTCCCTGTTGTGTAAAAGGATTATTGGAATATTTATTCCCTTGCCCTATTTTTTTTTAGTGCTGGGGGATCAAAGAATCGAACTCACAACCTCATGTTTGCCAAGCAGGTGCTTATACCACTGAGCTAAACCCTCAGCCCCTCCATGCCCTATTGTACTGCATTCCAGGGCATAGGGTCTAAAGTTGTTATCTCTGCTTTTTAAATTTTTGTTTCATGTACATATTATTCTGTTATCTCTCATGATCACTGAATCTTTTTCCTGTGTGGTTAAGTCCAGCTTCTGAAAATAAATTATTTTAAAGTTTTAAGTGTGGATGGATGTGTGTAAGACACAAATGAAAAGTCTGTATCAGTTTCCTCCTGAAATACTGACTATCATGATGTTGGGAGGAGTTTTTAAAAGAGCTTTAGAGAGCAGCTTTCTATCCTCAAAACCAGACAAGAGCAAAGTCCTTGATTTCATTTATGAGGACATTTTAGCTAATGAGAACTGTATTTGCAAGTAAAGTAAAATTGGAGAAATGTCTTCACAGTGTGTAAACTACAAATCTTTCTTCCAGATTTTGTATCAGATTGTACCGTCTCATAAACTGATGCTAGAATTCCACACGTTACTGAGAAGATCAGGTAAACCACTCTCGTTTTGTTCCCCTCGGTGCGGGTAGCAGTAGCCCAGGGATCAGCAGGCATCACAACTACCCTGCCCATTTCTGGAGGCCGTGTTGGCCTGGGGCCGGGGCTGAGGTCTCATCTACGGCTGCCGCAGTGCCGGAGGGTGGTGCTGTGCCTGTAACAGGGACCGCGTGGCTGGCAGAACCTATGTCCCTGGGTCTGTACCCCTGCTGAAGAGCACTGGGTGACAGTTGGTGGAAGGCAGATGGCTTCCATTTACATAATTCGCTTCACTTAGTCTCCTGGACATCAGATGCTCAGGAGAGGGACACGTTTCCTAGAAGTCAGTCAGCTCGCAGGGCCCCATTGGTACAAGGACTGTGTTGGTTCCCCTCCTAAAGTAAGTGAATTACCCAGACAGGGCGAACCCTTTACATGCTGTTCTGGGTCAGAGGATCAGACTCTTCACCTGACCTTGGAGCTCAGAGCTTGTTACTGAGTGCTGTAGCTTCATCGCAGGGCTGTGTGTGCAGTGAAGTGTTTTAAACTCTTCACCGAAGCAGCAGGCTTACAGATAGCACTGTTCGTCAGCTGTGTCTTCTTAGCTTTGGGCACTTCTCAGTGCCTTTAGAAAGCTGAGCTAGGGGCTGAGGGTTTAACTCAGCGGCGTAAAGCGCCTGCCTTGGAAACAGGCAGTCGTGAGTTCAATCCTGGGTACCGATAAAAACAAAAAAGACCAAAAAAAAAAAAAGAAAGCTGAGCTGTTACGTCTATTGCAGACAGAGAGGAGCACCGTAAGCTCGGGCTAGGAGTGCTATTTGGACTTCTGGATTTTGCTGGATGCACTAAGAATATAACTGCTTGGAAGTACCTGGCAAGCTACCTGAGACAGATTTTAATGCAGTAAGTAGGAGACACTGCTTTTATTACTAAGTCATTTGCCCATGTTTTAGATAATTGTGATTTTTTTAAAACTTCGTTTGCTCATGTCTGTGGATTTCCTGAGCTATATCATCAGCTGTTTTCTTCTGGATACATCAGAAGCTAGAAAACACAGGCCTAAGGTTATCCTAAAAATTCTATCAAGATAATTTGTATCAAAGTAAGTATTACACCTTATAATGAATCTGTTGTGAGCTGGGTGTCAGCCAGGCATGGTGGTGCACACCTGTAATTCCAGCACTGGGGAGGCTGAAGCAGGAGGGTCACTGTGATTTTGAGGCAAGCCTGGGTTACACAGTGAGTTCAAGGCCAGCGTGAACTATGCAGCAAGCCCTCTCAAAAAAACAAAACAAAGCATAACAAAAAAGTACCTGTGATCATAACATCACTAGAGCCACATTTTGAGTAAAAGCAGTGGCTTTAACTTTCATTTTGTGTATGAGAAAAAGGACTATTGCAGGGTTATGCTCTGCTTCATTTTATTGTCCATTTTATTGTCTTCATCTATTGTCCAGGGAAACTGCCCTCAGCTTAGCTGGGAAACTTCCTGTGAACTCCAGCTAAATGTAGATTGTGACAGGATGGATCTGTTCCCTATCACCGAGCTTCCTTTTTGAAATTTTTTTCCAGGAATCATCTTGGATGGGTCCAGGAAGAGTGGAAGTCGAGGAGAAACTGGTGGCCAACCTTCCACTTCAGCTACTTTTGGGCAAAAAGTGATTGGAAGGAAGATAAAGACTTGGCTTACGAGAAAGCATTTGTAGCTGGAATGCTGTTAGGAAAAGGTTTGTGTTTTTGTGTTCATTTCCTCTTGTATAGCTTTAGCAGTTGATCATATTTCAAAATGTGACCATTTTTTCACCTCAGAGCTTGCTTTAATATGGTGCCTAATACTTGAGAATGTAGCTTATCTTAGTAATTTTCTCATCATGAGGACAAAGTATCCAGTTCCCACAAATTATAGGAGGGGAGACTTACTCTGGCTCATGTCTCAGTCCGTGGTTGACTGGCTCCAAGGCAGAAGAGTGTAGTACAAGGGCCTGGAGGAGAGAGCTGCTCACATCATGGGAGTCAGGAAGCAGAAGAGGAGGAGCAGGGGCATGGGGAGATCCATTACCCTTTGATAGTGCAGGTCGCGCCCCAGTTGCGGGCCTCTTCTGACCAGGTCCATGTCCTAACAGCAGGTCAGCTGTCATGCCCCGTGATTCAGTGACCTTCCAAAAGCTCCACCTGTTAGCACCTGCTGCCCTTGGGGGGTCACTCTTGATCTAGACCACACCCCAGCCCCCAGAAGACTTACATGCATACAAAATGCATTTAGTCCAGCTCTTAAGAGTTGCCAAAGTCCTGACAGCTCCAGCCCCACTGGAAAGGCCAATTCCAGAGTCTCCTCTGAGTGAGACCCCAGGCAGACGCATGGCTATGAGCCCTGTAGAAATCAGGGTAGTGAGGATGTGCAGTGGTCCAGGGTAAACATTCCCATTCCTGGAAGAGGAATGGACCAGACAAGACTGAAACCGGCAGGGCGCCACAAAATCCTGTAGTTCCACATCCAATGCCCCGAGCAAATCGTGGCCGTGAGATAAAAACTCCCAAGGCTTTGGACCATCCTGCTCTTGAAGCACTATCAGGTGTGGCCATGGTGACCTCTGTCTCGGGCTAACTTTGGTCACTGGCTGGCCTTCAGCAGATGACCCACTTCCCTGGTTCTCCAGCTTCCTGGGGTCTCCACTGCACTGTCAGCTTCATGTGCAGCATCACACACTGGCCTCCCAGGGGGCGCACTGCCTGCCTGCCGTGGCCTTTCCTGAAATCTGGATGGATGCTTTCCTGAGTCCACAACTTGTGCAATCTGAATCCCTATAAAAGCAGCACCACGTAGATGACGCGAGGTCTGTTGCCAGCTTGAACAGTATCTGTACCACTTGGAGAATTGCTGCAGAGGCCTCTGAGTGCCTGGATGGCTGAACCTTGAGCAGGAAGTTCTGGGGGGCCTGGGGAGCCCTTCTCAAGCAGGATGCTCTGGGTCTGTCTCCTCAGGTGGAAGCTGCACAGCTTTGAGCCTTGAGTCCCCGATGGGTGGGTCTGAGGGTTTCTGAGATCCCTCAAGGTATCTTTCCTGTTTTCCCGATGGAACATTCTTGGCTTCTTTTTAATACTTACCTTTTCAGCAACCAACCTGTCCTGGGCCAAAACTTTATAGTTCCTGTGTCACAGGTACTTCCTGTCCGGCCTCCAGCAGAATTTTTCAAATTACTCAGCTCTGGTGTTGGTCCTGCTTCTGCTGGCAGATAAGGCTAACAGCTGCCTCCAGTATCCGTGCCACAGCTTCAGCTCACCATCGGCTGCCTTGACATTGCTTCTGCCAGAATTGGCCTTAATCTGTCCTCCAGCAGTCTCAGGACATGAACAAGATGTAGACAGATTATTTTTCCAGAGCTTAACATAACAAGATTTTGAATCTCAAAGCAATGGAGACCTTGTTTCCAACTGAAATGTCCTAAACCTGGCTTTTATTGTTTGCATTTCTCTGAGCATTCTGGTCCTCTGCACTCTGACCAGAATCTTCCATCAAGCTTGGCGTACAGCGTTCTGTGGCTTCTCTAGCTCTCAAGGCCTTTCCAGACTCTTCCCCTCCACCAGTTCCAGAGGCTTTCCTTCAAGGGCCTGCCTGCCTATGAGGCCTTTGGGGACATTCTTAACATAAACTATGTTGTGGTTCCCAAGGCCCCTGCAGTCAGCTGTAGTGTCCCTTGATCCAGTCACCCTGCCAAAACCCTGCCTCTGAGGAGGAGTATTTGGGGAATATTTTTGAGTTAAACCATGTAGCTGTCCAGTGGGGACAGGTGAGGTGCTTGTAAGGGCTCCCTGTGGGTGGAAGCAGCAACTCCACATTGCTGGTTATGACCCATTGTTGTGCTGTGACTTGGCTACGCCGTGACGACTGTCCTCTCAGTGACCATTGGTCCTTGCTGCATGGGAAGTTTACAGGACTATTTTATTACGTTCTTTAGTTACCTCTTTGCTCTTTAATACTCTTTTATGTTTACTCACATATTCCTGTAAGAGGGAACATTTTCTCTCCTTACGATAAAAAAACAGAACAGAACAAAATTGGTGTTTCTAAAATGGAATATTTTGTTAAAAAAATTTTACCTGGTTTGTGCTACTAAAATATTGAGGCGTGTCCAGTGTTGAATTGAAACTGCCACAAAATATGTCCAGAAACGAAAAACGTGACCCTTCCTGTGCCCACCCAGAAGCGTTGAGGGTAGCCTAGAAACCGCATATGGGCCTTTGTGAGGTGGACCGGAAGGTCTCCGTGCCCAGGAGGTGCTGCATCCTGGTCCAGCTCTGGAGTGTGCTGAAGCCATGGGTAAGAGACAGGGGTGAATCATCCCGCAGTCGCTAACTGGGATGCCAGAGTGGGAGACACTTCACAAACATGGGAGTAGGTCCTAAACACTTGATAAGCATTAAAACTTTTTGCATGCTTTTTGTTTGGTTTTTAGGTTGTAGGTATTTTCGATACATTTTAAAGCAAGATCATCAAGACCTATGGAAGAAAATCAAGCGGATGAAGAAATCAGTGAAAAAATACAGCATTGTGAAACCAGCCGCATGACATTAAATTCCAGTCATTTCTCAGTTACAGCCAGAGTGGCAGCTCAGTACTTACTAAATGTATTTATTTGATGTTTTGAGAAAGTAGTTTATATAACTATAAACGTTATTTTTATACTTTTTGTATTTCATTTTGTTGTCAGTTATAGCTGACGAAAAACTCACTGCCCTTGCTCTTTGTAAACGGATGCATATTTTCTCTGTTTTGTGATGTTGAATGCACTATTTTTAAAGGAATGATTCCCCAGATGGAAAGAACACTTGTTGAATTAGAGCTGTACAGCCATTGTTGTTGCGGATACCTGGCTTCATGCTCTTGTGTAATAAACATGTAGTCGGTGCTGGCCGGAAGTGAGTTTGCTTTTTTAGAGGCCATTGACCCCTGAAGGAAGTGTCGGTGAGTCCAAGGAGGAGCTCTGGAGAGAGGTGCGCAGAAGAGAGCTGGGCAGAACAGGGCCTCTGGGTGCAGAAGGGTGTCGGGGAAAGGCAGCAGCCTCGGCGGCACTGGCTCTGGCTCTGGGCCGGGGCTGCCTGGCACTGCGGGCGGGCCATGTGCGTGAGAACTCGAGTACCGTCCCTGCTTCTCGGAAGCTGGGACGTAAAGCAGTGTCTCTGGCTTATTTCTTACTGTAAATTGTCTTCAAGAAAATTGGGGGACAGATTCTGCTTTGTTAATCATTCATATCTCAGTATTTACACTTTAAGTGAAGTCCGTCAACAAAAGTGCAAAGAGCCTTGCACCACTTGTGTGAACAGGACCACGCTCCCTGAGCCTGAGGGGGCCACACCAGTGCCACAGCACAGCGGGGCCAGCTCTGCCTCTGGGAGTGGTGACTGGTGATACCGGAGTGGTGGACAGGCTCTCAGGCCGCTCCCTTCCACTCCTACAGCTCCAGCCCAAGCTGTGGTCAGGACTTGGCACTCTGAGGGCACAGGAAGGGAAGAGAGGCAGACCGAGGCCGTGCACTTCTGGGGTCCACCAGTGCTTGCTTTCGGGCTCATTATGCCTGGGGTTCCTCTGACTTCAGTGGAAAGGGTTCTGGGTGCCCTGAAAACCAGTTCTGGGTGAATAACAGGGCCAGAGCTGCTTGAGCACTTGGGTTTACTTGGCACCGTGGCTTCTTCCTGTCTCCCCACAGGAAGGGGGTCCTGGGGCGAAGTGACTCGCAGGGTCACAAGTGAGCTGGTGCTGGCCCAAGACACTGTCCCAGGCGGTGTGGTTCTGAGGGTCCTGGGCCCAGGTGTTCGGGCCCCCCAGGGAGTCAGCTTCACCGCAGGTGGAGGGCCGAGGACAGGAAAGACTGAGGGGGCCTCAGCCCGGAGGCCACAGCTAGGTTAGATGCTGTCTTTACTCTCCCCACTCTTCTGTGGGGCCCTGTGGCCTGAGCTACCAGGTAACCAATAGCTGAAGGATCCATGGCTTGCTAAATCACCCTGGAGTCAGCTGAGCACGTGCCAATGGGAGTGACTGAGTGCCTGCCGCGGGAGGTCATGCCACGCGCAGGCCGAGGAGACAGTGTGTCCTGGGGTGCTTGGGTGGTGTCTTGGGCAGCCTAGTTTCTTCTGTAGAATGGAGGCAGTTGACTTTGTCTCGGGTTGCTGTGATGCAGTATGGGACTGGGATAATGATAAGCAATAAATGTTAACTGAAGAAGCCATGCATGATGGCCGCGTTAGGTTACTGTAGCAGAAGCTGGATAAAAAAACTTCGTGTCCTCTGCCTTCCTCTGGAGACCTTGGACATGTGCACTAGAGCTGCGGAGACACCGTTGTTGTGTGTGTGCATTGTGAAATGATTAGTCAGGTCAGTAAAGGCATCCATCACTCTGCAGTTACCATTCTGTGCATGTGTGTGCGTCTGTGTACATGGCAGGACTTAACATCTGTCTTCTCGGCAGAGCACATGTGTGGCACAGTCGATATCCCCGTCATGCTGACCATTGTGATTTCTCCAGAGAGCTTCCGTGTTGCATCAGAGACTAGGTGCCATTCAGCCGGCATCGTGCCATTTTGCCATTAGCCCCTCTGCAGCCCCTGGCGGTCACCAGTCTTCTCCCAGCTTCTGTCAGTGTGACACTTGGATCCCACACACAGGAGAGGCCATGTGGTTTTTCACATCTCACTTGTTACTGTAATGTGCTTCACCTGCGTCTGCTTGTAGCCCCCCAAAGAGCCCCTTTCTGTGACTGGGTGGCACAGAAATGCCCACACTCCACTTAGCTGACAGCACTTGGCAGCGCTGCAGTGAGCACAGGGGAGCAGGCAGCTTTGATCCGAGTTTCCAGTCCCTTGGATCCACAGCCGCTGGCTCTGCCTTTAATGATTGGAGGAGCCCCACGCTGTGTTCACAGAGTTTCTCACTTGGCTCCCTGGCAGTGTGCAGGGGTGTCCTTTTTCCACACCCACACCAACACTTCCTTTGTCTTTCAGGTACAGCTAGTAGATGCGAGATGACCAATCCTTATGGCTTGATTTGCATTTCTCTGAAGTTTGGAGCCGTTTAACCCCGTGCATATGCCCGCTGGTTACTTGAGTTTCTCCCGGAGGTGTGTACTTAGGCCTTTTGCCCACGTTTAAAAATCAGGTTGTATGTGTTTCTGGTATTGAGTTACATAAATCCTCATGTGTTTTGGATATTACCACATTATTGGATGAACTGTGTCATATGTGAATTCCGTCTCAGGAAAGCTGTCAAGGAGGGTCCACTGTCACTCAGTCCCACAAGAAATTCGGGCCCAGACTTTCTGTGTGTTGTCTGGAGGAAGAGCACATTTTGGGCCCAGCTGATTGCCTGTATTTGTGGTGTGCGGGCTCCTTCTGTGGGGTGATGAGCACATTCTTATCTCAAAGATCTGAAAAGGAACCAAGCAAGGCCTTGGTCCTACAAGTTCCATGACTCACATCCGAGTTTTTTTTTTTTTTTTTTTTTAACAAACTGGCACCTCATACTGTCCCTGATTTGTGCTTTGAAAAGGGAGGACCTGCTGTCCTGTGGGAATACGGGCCGGGCCGGAACCGCCCTCATGGTAACCACAGGGCCCAGCCGCAGAGGCAGTCTGTCTGCACCCTGACAGGCCCTGTGAGGCACCCCCTGCTCAGCATCGGCCCCTCCCCCGGCCTGCACCAGGGATGCACAGGTGCTCTCGTCCCTGTGGCCACGTTTCAGTCCCAAGCTCGCTCCGCCTTCTGCGTCTGCAGTTCCCCAAAGGACGGGGAAGCCCGAGTGAAGACAGCACCGCAGACCTGCGCTGCAGCCCCGGCTCCACTGCCAGCCGAGCACCTTGCTGGTTCCCAGTGCTGCGCACATCCCATAGGCCAGGTGGGAGAAGACACAGGTGCGCGGTGCAGGGAGTCACACTTTCCTCCTCTCAGACCCACTGTTCACTGCAGAGGCAGCAGGTGGCTGCCAGGTGCTCTGGGAGCCCTGGTCCAGCTTGGAGCTGCACTCCTGGCTGCTCTTCCGTGACCTGGTTCTAGATGCCGGCCAGCCTCGGCCTGCCATCAAGTCTTGCAGGGGAGAGCTGCAGAGTGGTGGGTGTGATCGAGTCATTGGACAGGGCCCCAGGAAAGAAGTGCGGAAGGGCAGGTGCCCTTACTTGGCGAGTGTGTGGAGATGAGCGAGTCGTGGTGAGGTTATCACAGTGGCCCTATCCAGCAGGACTGGGTGCTTGCTTAGCAAGAAGGGAGATTGGACCAGGCAGGGGAGAAAGCTCCAAGCTCAAGAGCGGACGGGGTATGGTATCTGCAGGCCATGGGGTGTGGAAGGTTCCAGAACCCACGCAGCCAGGGAAGGCCTGGAGCCCATTTCCCGTAGGGCCCATGGATGCAGCCCTGCGACACTCTGCCCTAGACCTCGGGTCCCCAGACCTGTGAGACGGTGCCCTTCTGTTGTCTAGGCCGCCCACTCAGCATGGCAGCCCTGGCAAACTACAACAGTAAACAAAACAATTATGTTTGCTTCAAGATAGGAGCTAAAGCCATTGCGGTGCAGGCTGATTCTAACCCGTGGCTCCAGCGTCACGCCCAAGTACGGCATGGCTCAGGGGGCTCATTTCTGTTCTTTTCCCTGCACCTTGAAGCCTTCACTGAGATTTCCTGAGTCCCCAGCCTCCTTCCTGGAACCCCCAGTGGTGTTTGTGCCTCCCTTGCTGTTCCACTAACAGAAGCAGTCTTGTGTTATTTGGGCATGATTTTACCCTTAGGGCATAAACTCTGACAAAGTTTATGGATCAGTTTTCTAGAAAACATTTCTCTTCCAGCATAATACCTCGCACATAATGCTTATTTATTGACTTGACACTTCGAATCTATTGTAAACGATTGCATAAGTGTTATGTAATCATGCACTATGTAACTGTGCCTGAAGTGTTGCATAACCCTCTGAAATGTGGCCAATTGAACCAGGAGCGCGTGTCACCGATGAGCGCTGGCAGCTGATCGTTCCCCTACTAATCTTGCTAGGACTTTTTGTCCCCAAACTGTGAGGTCTCCATATTTTTCATGGCTGAAGTAAAACAGACATAAGTGCCAATAAAAGATTAAAAAACACACTCAGGTCCTATGTGGACCAAGGGAACACACTCATTCTTACCCACCTGGGGACACCCTGTGCCTCCAATTCCGAGAAGTCCTGGGGCTGTGAAGACTTCACTGAAGTTGGCCCCGCTGTTTCTCTGGTGCCCTCTGAGACGATACAGTGGGACCTGAAGTGCTGAGAGTCACAGATGCCATGCAGGGGCTGGGGTGAAGCTTACAGAGGGCACTTGCCTGACCCGTGAGTGCTGGGTTTGACTCCCAGCACTGCAAACAGACATGCAAACACACATACACACATAAAATTAAAAGCAGACCTTGGGGCACAGGCGTGGTGGGCTGAGACTCGTGTCCCTCTTGGTGACATGTGGCACAGACTGTCCCAGTGATCAGCAGAGAGCGATTGGGTACCCTTCACAGAAGAAACCAGGCTCTCATCTGCGTTTCAAAGAGCAGCTTTGCTGGTGAGGAAATTTCAGGGTGGTGGAACCCTGGTGGACCCTGAGGGCAGCGTGAGCTCAGGTCAAGGAGGCCCGGCACTGTCCCCAGCTCTGGCCTCTGAGGCTGGGGCTGAGTTTGAGACCTTTTGCTCTTGGTCCACACATTCAAGGGGATGTTTCTCAGAGACCTGTTACATGCAAGGGACGTGCACAAAGCAAAACGCTCCTAGCCGTACACAGGGACACAGACTAGGTGAAGAGGGTGCCTGGGCCGGTGTCAGACTTGGTGAGAGTGAAGGGTCCAGCCGTCCTAATGCAGCCTGTGCACGCCTTGTCTCCCTTTGTGCATGTGGTCTATGTCTGCAAGTGTGCGTGTTTTCAGCACGCAAGAGGGAATCAGCTTAATAAGAGAAAAAGCTGAGGTGAGGTTGCGGACCCAGCCTCGGCCTATGACCGGGGACCCAATGATGAATCAGCGCTCGGGTATGCCAGGGTCCAGCATTTGCTCAAGGCCACGCCCCAGAGACCTCGCTTTCCCCACTAAGCTCCTCCTAAAGTCTCCTCTACCCCTCGCAGTAGCATTGGTGTCCAGGGCTTAACGGGTGGCCTTGGGGGACACTATGGACCCTAACGAGAACTGCTGGCAGGCAGGCCCACAGAGGGGATGGGCTCTCACTTAGCAGCCTGACGCTCTGCTTCAATCCCAGCTCCCCCAAGAAGAGGCCGAGCCTTGCACAGCAAGGAGCCACATATTTGTGGCTACAAAGGTTGGGGTTAGGACCTGTGCCCACAGAGATCGAATCATGATTTTATGCCAACAAAATAGATTTATTATAAAAGTACAGCAGACTTGAGCGTCATCTGATAATTTTTTTTTCTTTTTGGTACCAGGGATTGCACTCACAACCTTGTGCTTGCCAGGCAGGCACTTATGCCGTTGAGCTAAATCCTCCTGGTAGTATGTTACCATGCAGCAAGGCAAAGGCCAGCACCGAAGATGGAAGCATCTCCTGGGCTGGAACCTTCGGCACACGAAAGAGAAAATACCAACACTACTCCGTTTGCTATTTTCTTAAGTACTGTGTCCAGACAAAAGTGGCTTGGGGCCACCAGGCCTAGGCGTCTGGAAGGGGTGGCTCCAGCCATGGCCAGAGCCAGGGCCCTCAGCTTTGTGTGTGTTGATGGTTCTCTCTCCACAGCCTTTCTGAGGAGATAGCGGTGCAGGCCATGGTCCTTCACGCACATGCACTTTGCTGATCCTTCCCTGATGGGCTTTTGGGGGAAGTAGGGCCATAAAAGGGCTGGAGGGATGGGTTGGTTTCCTTCTTTCTCTTCCACTGTGTGAGGACACAGCTGCCAGGTGCCACTCACAAGGAATGGGCCTTGCCAGGTGCCTGGCCTGCTGGCCCTGGGTCCTGGCCAGCACTCTCTCCTGGGCAGCGAGAGGGAAAGATGTATTTATGCATTGTCTAGGCTGAGGAGTTTCTCAGTCTTGTCTCCTTCACTGGCTTCTCTCCTCACCCTGTCCCTTGCTGTGGATCCAGGGTCATGAACTGTCCCCTCGGTCTCCCAGCCTTGCACCACACAGTGTACCCTGCTTCCTGCTGGCCCTTGGTGGGTGCTCCGGCAGTCTGCTGCGGGACTGGTGCCCTGGCCACTTGGGGCCACCCTCAGCCTGAAGAGCCTGGAAAACATGTGAATGCCTCACCCCGCCTGGCAGGAATCCCAGCTACTCTCATCTTTTGGGCCAGCAGCAGAAGCCCCTAGGACTCAGCACTGGCTGGAGACTCACGCCAGCTTCCCAAGGGACACTTGGCCACCACCCGCCAGAGGGATACTGCCTCAGCACAACTGGGGGGGGGGCAGAGAAGGCAGAGGATGATATGGGGTGGGAGGAGTGGGGGGGACCCTGTGCAGAGCAGACGCCAACCCAAGCAAACACAGCTGCCCTCCTGAGGCTGCGATGCATGGCATGGCCACTCCTGGCCTGCGAGGTGCCCGGAGTTGCTGGGCCCCTGGCTCCTCCCTGGCACCCCATATCTCTGCCTTGTGGTCTTGTTGGGCCAGGGGGCCTTGCTGCAGGGACATCCCCAGTGCCTAGATTACAGGCCCCCGTTCTGGCCCTCTGCACCTTGAGTTCTGCTGCTACTACCAGTCCTTCAGGTGCTGTGACCAGTGTTGGGACCTGCTCCTTGCCGTGGTTTCAGGACATTGTGAAGCACTTGGACCTGTGGGACCATGTGCTGTGTAGCAGGTGCATTAAAGACACTCTGTGCCAGGTAGGTGGGGCGCAGCCTGGGTGGGAACCGGTGTAGCGCATACCTGTGGCTTTCACAGCCCTGCAGGGAGGTGTGGGCGGTCCTGTGTCCAGCCCTGGGTATCTCTGGTGTGGTGGGCAGACCGGGGGCTGGGTCCCTCCTAGGGTCCTGTCTGCTGAGCCCTGCAGTGCATGGCTGAGGAGCTGCCCAGAGGCAGTGACTCACAGTTTCTGCTCCTACGGCCCAAAAGCCGCAGCCCTGAGAGGCATTGCTGCTGAGCCCAGTGGAAAATGTGGTGCAGACTCGGTGGGCAGGAAAGGGGTGTCAGGGCGCTCACCTATGGTCAGGGTCCATAGGTCAGGGGCAGGGTCAGCCCCTCAATCCCTGAGCTCCTGGCCCTGCACTATACCTCCCTCTGCTGTGGTCCCACAGTGGCTGGCCACCCCAACTCCCTGCAGAGGCCACCAAGCTCCCGGAGCCTGGCACAGACCAGCCAGCTGGGCAGCTCTGCCCAGGGGCCACTGTCCCCTCGGCACCAGCCCCACACCGCTTCCTGCAGCTTAGCTGGGGACCAACCAGAGAGGGGCAGGCTTCACCAGCAGCACAGAGACTGCTTGTCCCTCTCCAGAAACGTTGCCCTTCACCTTTCCCTCTTGGGCAACACGGAGTAGTCCTTTAGGGAAGAAGAATCATTCAGTCCAGCCCACCTGTCTTTTGTCTTTCATTCAAATCTACAAGGTCCCCTTTCCTTCCCCACACTGCTGCGGGTCCCCAGCCCATGACCAGGACTCCATGCACAACGGCCCCATGCACAAACCTGGATGCTCAGACTCCAGGTCTCGGACCAATTGATCAATCGGATCATGCCACAGTGCAGCAAGTACAGAATTGGGCAGTAATGGTGTCGCACAGTAAAGCACATTGTGTGGTGTCAGACGTGGTGCAGTACAGCAGAGCACAGCACAGTACAGTAGAACAGAGTACGGGACGGCGTAGTGTGGTAAAGTGTACAGGACCGCGTAGCAGGAGGAAGTGTAGTGTGCACTGCGGCATAGCATGGCACAGCACGGTATAGAAACGCGTACTTATGTATGTAGTATAGCAAAGTCCACTTTAGGATAGTTCAGTATAGTAACAAACAGCTGGCTAGAGTACACGAGCCATGGCTTTGACGCCCCAGTATATATCATGGTACCTGGGTTCTTGAGCTTAATTTTTTCCATCATTCTGGTTGCAAACCTAACTGGACAAAACTCAATCAAATGGCCCATGCTGTCTGAACTGAACCTAAGCACTGAACCGGATTAATAGGATAGATGAGGGCAAGTGTTTTTCTGAGTTTCAGAAGCATCAGGTGCATCTGGCAGGGGCTGAGCCCCTCAATCCCCGTTGATCCTGTGCAGACAGCAGCCCTTCCGTGACAGGCTCAGTCAGAGCCGCTGTGCTGTGGAGACGGCTGGGCCTGGGCTTCCTTGCCCATGAGGCCTGGTGCCTTTGTTCAGGCACTGAATGGAGGAACGGCAGCTCACCACAGTGCACAGCCCTCCACTCCCTGCATTTCCTCCTTTCCTCCATTCCCACTCCCCAGGAGTGGGCAGCGTCAGTGAGCAGGTCACTTGCTCACTCAGCTCACTCAGCTCACTCATCTCAGCTGGCCGGGCAGCCTGAGGAGAGGCACTGGGCTCCTCTGCCTCTACCTGGTGACCCAGAGCTGCCCTGCAAACTGCGGCCAGGAGCTCAAGTGCCCAGGAGAAGCTGCTGTCGGGAGCTCACAGTGGGGGTCCAGGCTGCTGCCCTGTACAGGGTGCACAATGCTCGGAGCCCTCCAGCACCCCACACTCTGCCCTTTGAACTGGGCTTTCTGACTTTCCAAACCTCAGTTTCTCCTTCATTGCTACTGGGAGCCGATTGTCTTTTCCCACAGGCTGCCACAGTCTGGGGACGTCCAGCCAGCAGAGACTCCTTGGATCTACTGTCCTTGTGTGTCTGTGTGAAGGGTAGCTGCTTTGCTGCAAAGCCCCAATTCAGATAACTGCAGCTCCCTGTGTAGTTTTCCATGTGCTAAACACACATATGCTTCGCAAATTCATGAGGAAATTACTGGACACCTAAACTCTGGGCGTGATACATGCAATATCTGATTTTATCATTTAAAATGTAATTGTAAAGTATTTCAAAAGTGAAAGCATGGAAAATAATTAATGTCATCTATCTAACATTTGAATTTAGCAAATGTGATGCTTGTGCCACACTGCCTTCGATTCCTAAAAAGAAATAAAATCAGGCAGACATTAAATTATAGAAGGGAAACATTTGGAAATTTGATCCCATCTTCTTTTAACAATCTTCATCCTGAGATGTACTCCGAGCATGAGGGGGCAGGGTGTGCTGGAGAGGGACACGTGCGTGTGTGAGCTCCGGTTTTCCCTGCCCTCTGGCAGCAGCATTAACCAGGTAGAGGATCTGGGTCACAGAGAGGGAGGAGGGGTCGGGATCCTCCAGGAGCGGGCAGCGAACCCTGGGACTCCGGCTTTCCCAGCCCTGTCCCCATTCCTTGCTGGCCTGCCCCAGCAGTCCCTCTCCTCCAGGAGTGCTCACCCTATGCCGCCCACCTCTACGACGCCGATGACCCTCGGTCCCTTCTCTGCAGCCTGCCAGGCCTCTGCTCCAACTACTGCTCTGTGTGACCCCCCATCTGCTGCCCCGCCATCTCCCTGCTTACCAGCCATGGCAGCCCCTAGTGGCCCTGGGACACAGATGGCATCCACTTCTGCCACCTGCTTGACCTCCCGGACAAGGACTACTGCATCCCCAATGTGCTGAGGAACGATTGCCTCACCTGCAGCCTAGGGGCAGTGACTGAGGGCCACTGGGGCTGCCTGCAGCTCTGCCTGGCCGAGGTGGCCAATGGGCTGTGGAACCCGGTGTCCATGGTCCACACCGGGGACACCACCCATCACCTGTTTTGTGGCTGAGCAGTTTCTGTGGGGTGGTGTGGGTATACCTGCCTGACGGGAGCTGCCTGGAGCGGCCCTTCCTGGGCCTATGAGCAGTGTGCTGACCACACTGTGGGGTGGGGACGAGTGGGGCTTTCTGGGGATGGATGCTTTTCACCCCCGGTTCCACCGCAACCACAAATTCTATATTTATTACTCATGTGGGGCAAGAAAAAGGTGGAGATTGGTATCATCGAGATGAAGGCTTCTCGGGCTGACCCCAACAGAGCGGAACCGAAGTCCGAGAGGTGAGGCTGGGTCACAAGAGCCTGCAGCTGCACCCCAAGTTCCAAGGGGGACCCGGTCAGTCTGGGTCAGGCTCAGTCAGCCTGCGGGGAGGCTGAGAGGGAGCTCAGTGTGGAGGGAGGAGTCATGCTGCTGCTGCCGCCCACGGCCCACCTGAGACCTCCCTTTCTCTGTAGTTCGGGGGCTTTTAATATAGTAGGAGTTGTGAACCGTTATCACAGTTGATTGTAGAAAATTCCCATCACTCCGTGGAGACACTCCATGCCTCCAGGTCACTGTCATGGCCTCTAGCCTCCCACGCCCAGGTGGCCTCTGGGGTGCAGTCATGCCCACAATCCCCTTCAGGGCCTGCTTGTCTCTCAAAGGTGAGGAAGAGGGACAGTGTGAGGCATGAGAAGCTATCAGACGGTGTCAGTGTAGCGAGTCCCAACGGCCTCTCCCTGCTGCTCCACCCAGAGCCTGGGCCTCACTCGCTTGAAGGGATCCGCACCCTTCTAGAGCTGTGGCCCCAGGGGAGGACCCTAGGGAGGGGAACCTTGCCCTTCTCCTCTTGCCTAGCCTCCTTCCAGTGGACAGGACAGGGACAGTGAGGGAGGAGCCCTGCTGGCACGGGCAGGGGAAGGAGTCTCTCCCCTGGCTGTCTCCCCACCTGAAGTCGTGCACGAGGGAGGATGTCCGGGAAGGGCCCTGTCACTGAGCCAAAGACCCAAGCACCAAGCCGCCATGCTGCTCTCCTGGGGGTGCTGAGGGCCCAGCCGCTTCAGCAGAGCTCGGTGCTTGGGTGGTCACTGTGGGTGTCCCCAGGGGTGGCTTCGGCTGAAGGTCAATGCCTCAGGTCCTCTTCCCTCCCAGGGCCATCTTGGAGTTAGATGAGCCTGCCTCCAATCACAATGGCGGGCAGCTGCTCTTCAGCCTGGATGGCTACCTGTACATATTCACCAGGGATGGTGGGCAGGTGGGGAACCTCTTGGGCAAGTCTGGAAACGCTCAGAACAAGTAAGCTGGACGGTGGAGCTTGGACTTGGGGGAGCCCTGCTGCAGGGGTTTGGCTGAGACTGGGTCAGTCTGTGTCCTCTGCAGTGAGGCTGATGAGAAGAGTGTACTGCTTCCTGTCCTGTGAATAGTGGACACAGCGTCCTCTGCTGCCCAGGGTAACTTTCAGAGGCTCTGTAGAAAGAATTTAGCACCTTGGATGTGGTTGGCATTTTGTATCCATTCAGTTCAGGGGTGCAGCCCCAGGCCCCGCACTGGGTCCTGGAGACCGAGGCTGGGTAGCAAGAGCGGCCGGGCACTGGTGCTACTGCAGGCCTGGGCTTTTCTGCAAGCCAGTGTCCAGGTACGCAATTCCAACAGCCTCCAGAGGGGGCAGCAGGCACTGCTCATGTTAAACCGTGTCACACGTGCCTGGTGCACCCTGAGCACGGGTGGGGAGAATGAATCCATGCAGTGTCGGCGTGACAGTACCTGTTCTACAGATGGGGACCCAGGGGCCACATAGCAACACGAGGTGGATCCAGAGTCCAGCTCTGAGGATCCAGGTCAGGGCCACCTGGGGTCGTGCTGTCTGGATGGGTCCTCCAAGGGCTCTGCTCGGGTTCCTTAGCATAGACGTGAAGGTTGCTGACTGCACCAGGCTGGCCTTCAGTGAACACCTGCTATAATTAGGACCTGCATTGCGCCCTGCAGACGCATGGCTTGTGTGGCCCTCAATTCCAACCCCTAGCCCCTGGACCCCGTTTTCCACTCCGCAAGCCGAGGCAAGCCTTCTGCAGGGCTTCTTTCTGCCGACCACCTTCCTGCACGAGGCAGACCAGTGTAAAGCAGTCCTACCCTGTGATCGGGCCAGACAGGGGCGTCCTCACCCCCAACAAAAAGCTACAGCTGCGGCCCATCAAAGTCACACCTGTGTGTGGCCGCTCTCCTTAGGCTCTGGATGGGGACAGCAGAGCCTCTGGTGATAGAAGGGGAGCAAGCCCCTCCCTTGTGACCCATAGCGCCTCTGGCCAGCTGTGGGGCTCCCCCTGCCCCTCACTCACCCTGGGCCCTGCGACCTCTGTCTTCCAGGAGCTCGCTGCTGGTGAAGGTGCTGAGGATCGATGTGAACAGGCCAGGGGGTGAGTGGTACCAGGTCCCCGAGGACAACCCCTTCCTCCCTGAGCCAGGGCTCACCCCGCCACCATCTATGCCTATGGGGTCCGAAACATGTGACGCTGTGCAGTGGACGGAGGGGACCCGGTCACGCGGCAGGGCCGTGGCCGGCTGTTCTGTGGGGACATGGGCCAGGACAGGATTGAAGAGGTGGACCTCATCATCAAAGGCGGTAACTAGGGCGAGGGGAGGGGTTCCAGTGCTACCCTGGCAAACTCTCCGCAATGCCTCTTTGGGTGAGTGGGGTGGCGCGGATTTCCTGCCTGGGGTGTGGGCGCTGGAGGTCGATGTGAGGGGTAAACCCTGAGCATCCAGGCCGGCTGTTCACACAGAATCCTGGTCCCTGGGACACCTGGCCACTTGGGTGCTGGCCTCAGGGACTGTGCTTGGAGTAGGCCACAGCCATGAACACCACGGTGCCCGCTGTCAACACCACCTGGCTGCTTTGCCTCGTTGTCCCGCCTTCCCTTCCCAGGAGAGTGACTGAGAGGCTCGGTCTGCTTCTCGGTGTCTTTCCTGCTTCTTCAGCCTCCTCCCTAAAACCAGCCCCTTATTCTGTCCTATGAAACAGTAATGGTGTCCCATTCTAGGAGAGAAAGTAAGCCAGTGAAGGTTCTTCTCCCCCAGTATTGGGGTTAAACCCAGGGTGTTTGCACCAAGCTTCATCCCTAGCCCTTTTTAGATTTTGAGACGGGGTTTTCCTGAGAAGCTCAAGTGTCCAAACTGGACTTGAACGTGCCATCCTCCTGCCTCAGCCTTCTGGAGTGCTGGCATGACAGGTGCGCATCACCATGCCTGGCTAAGCTTATTTTTAAAAGTAGATCCCTACATTCTACAGCAGACCTGCCGAGTGCCTCTGGGCTGGGCTGGGCTGAGCTGGGCTGACCAGAGAGCCATCCCCTGTTGTTTTAAATTACGCACACCTGTGGCTTTTGAGCCAGTTATTCTGAAAACTGCTGGCAGAGCAAAATCAGCAGCTGCAGGTTTCCATTTGCTTTCCGAGTGGAGTGGGTGCCGCAGGGACTCGAGGGGCTGTGTGCCATGTGCCCCACCTTGCCCTATCTCTCAGTCCTCTGGCCTTATCCTGGGCCCGACGTGGGGTCCAGCCCAGCTTTGCGACCCTGAGGCTGCTGCTGCAGAGATGGGGACTTGGGCTTGGGTGGCGCCCACCCTGGCCGTGTCTGGAGCAAAGCAAGCGCTGTTGCCGACCACCTCCCCAGGGCCCAGCATTAAAAGACCCCTCCCTCCCCCTGAAACACCCAATTTCTGGCAGACGCTCTTCTCTTTCCTTGGCACTGACAGATGACATCCTGCCAATCTACAGCCATGCAGTGGGGAAGTCTGTCACCAGGGGCAACGTCTACCGCAGCTGCCAGTCCCTGAATCTCAACGGCCTCTACATCGGGGACTTCCTGAGCAGGTAAGGAAGCATCGATGTCCCCTTCTTTTCTGTCCCAACACTTGCATTAAGTTTAATTTACTTGTGGTAAAACAGTCTCCAGGAGTGAGTCGGACGTAGTTTACAGAGGTCCACACTTGTGTTCCCAGCTGCCGAGTTCAGAGCAGGAAATTTCCATCATCCAAGGGTCCTTCTCACCATGAACACCCACCTGCTCCTGCAAGGCCAGGCACAGGCATGTGTGTACACCCCCACACACATACACAAACACATGGGTGTGCACACACAGACAGGTGTGTATACACACACATGGGTGTGCACACACACCCATGGCTGTGCAACGTGGCAGCTGGAGGGAGCCGCTTTTACCACAGATTACTTTTTCTCCTACAACTTTGTGTGTACATGGAATCACGTGCCATGTGCTCTCTTTGCACCTGGCCCCGCTCAGTCAGCAGCATCTGTCAGGTCCATCAGCATCATTGTACACACCCTCGTTTTGTCTTTTTCATTGACTTGTAATATTCAGCTGAATAAATGTACCACTCTGCGCTCAGCTCTGGCTGGCAGACCATTTCTGGTTTGTGGATATCGTGACCAAAACTGCTGGTGTCTCCTAGCTTTCAGTGTAGAGGTCTTGCGTGTGCCAGTGTTTCATAGTGTGTGATGCATAGCGCCATAGCTGTTTAATTTCAGTTTCTGATTGGTAGTCGATAGTATGCAGAATTCCTTTCATTATGGAGCTTGTGATGGGCTACTTACAAGTTCTATTGGCTTTTAGACTAGAAAGAGAAAATTGATTGGATTTTCTAGGTAAAGGACCATTTTATGGGCTGGAGACACAGCTCAGTGGCACAGCATCTGTCTGGCAAGTGCAAGGTCCTGAGTTCGATTCCTTGTACAAAAAAAAACGAAACCCAAAAAACCATACCATGTTATCTGTAAATACAGATATTTTTTCTTTCCCCTATGTTATGGATTAAGAACTGGTGGTTAACTTAACGCCAGCTGGACTATATCAGCATGGCATTGAGCAAAGATGCTCCACCTGAGGAAAGTTGCCAGAATAAATAGGTGGAGAAGAAGGGAGGGTTGAGGCGTTAAGGCATTGTAGCATTGTGGATTCTCCTACGTTTTGCTGTTTGAGCCGATGATTCTCCTGGAGAAGCTTTGGTCCTCACATCGAGCATTGCTTCCTGGCTCTGGAGGGGAAGACGTATACCACTTGGTCTCCAGGATGAACTTGTCACGCTGGCTTCCTGGCATGTACCTGACTGTGCTTGTTGTTGGAGGAGCTTGGGGCCTCTGTGTCGCTGAAGAAGGCTGTGGTACCTTTCAGGACAGCCCTGGTCTTTGTTGTGAGTGTGACTTCTCAGCTCCAGCGTAGAACCCTCATCCCACCAGCACAGCTCCTTCACCCCGCTGGCATGGACTTTCTGGTTTTCACCACTGACCTTTGGGCCTTCCCGGCACGGATCCATAAAGAGACTGATGTGAGTCCTTCTTGTGGGCTTTGGACCTCCAGTTGGACACGTGGGAGGTGTTGTCATGAGCTCTGGGTTTTTTTCTGGACTCATGTGGGACATTGCTGTGGGATTTAGGATCTTGACTAATCTATGTCTTTGGTGTTGCAGATAGATTTCCTGCAGTTTCTTGTGTTAACTTCCGGTGACCATTATAGAAATAATATTATAAACTCTATGTCCTGATTCTACTTGTTCTCTGCACAACCCCTAACTACAACATCCAAATTAGAGGACCTTTCTTATGATTCTTATTTTTAACTTTTTCTTCAGTGTAAATATCTCATAGAGTGCTGAGCATAGATGGGGAGCAATCTGTTTTTCTTACCCATAAATATGATGTCAGTCATGTGTTTTGTCTGTGGTCTGCATGGGGTTTAAAGGCCTTCTGATCCTGTCTGCTGAGAGTTTGTATTGACTTTCGTCAAATGCTTCCTTGCATCTCTTTAGAAAATCATGCGCTTTTTTTCACTTTGATGAATTTAAGAGCTTTATCATTTTAAAGAAACCTTGCATTCTGGTCAGGAGGTACCAACCTTTTCACACACTGTGGGACTGCTTTGCTAAGGTGATGTTGGATTATTGGGCACCAGTGTTTGTGAAAGGACCATGGGCCGGTGTTTTCCTCTCTGGTAATCTCTGTTGGAATTTGGTGCCTGGGTAACATGGGCCTTGAGAGCCAGCTGAGCCGCAGCTCCTCCTCCTCAAATAGCGAGGAGACTTTGGACAGAGTTGCGTTCTCCCCGCCTTCGGTGGCTCTTCTTTCTGAGGACACCAGCCGAGCCTGAGGTATCCTTTGAGGAAAGAGTTTCACCTCTAAATTCAATTTACTTGACAGCTGCCCCATTTGTCTGTGTCTTTCTGGGTGATCTTGGCAATCTCTGTCTTTCAACAAGTTTGCTCAGCTCTCCTAAGTTGCCAAACTTAGAAACTGATTTGCTCATAGTATTACTTTATTATCTTTTCAGTAGTTAGAGAAACTCTCATTGTTATTTTATCTTACTCCAGATACTGTTCTCTCTCATCTTGCTCAATCGTTTTGATCGATCGTCTCTGAGTACCAGCTGTTGAGTTCATGGGTACTTTTCTTTTCCTGTTTCCTGTTTCATTGATTTAGACCCCTTTCCTTTCTTTCTTTTTTGCTAGGTTTAGTTAGTTCTCGCTGTCATATTTGAGGTGGAGGCTGAGATCTTTCCCCTTGTTTGATGGGAGTGCTTAGCGCTGCGAACCTCACCCTCCCACTGGGGGAGCATCGTATGAATTTTGGTATGTGGAGTCTGAGTTTTACCTGGTTAAATGTGTCTTTCTTCTGCCTTGTCTCACCAGCCTTTTATCCCATGCAGCGGCTTTTTGTTTTCAATGCTCAATTGTATTTTCACCTTTCCAAATGTCATGGTGGTCTTTTTAAAAAAAGTATCTCCTATATGTCTACTTAGCTTTCTGATCATATGGGATCTCTCAAAATCACTTTTAAATGTTTTTGTCTCCTAACTTCAATGCCTGTTTCAGGCGTGACCATGTTGCTTGACTAATATTATTTATAGCGATTGGCTTTGCTTCCTTCTTTACTTTCCCAGTCATTTTTGATTACCAGGAGCTTTTCATGTGACCTTGTGAGCGCTGGGTATATTGGTGTTCCCAGACACAGGCGCATCACCTGGGAACACCGCGACCCTGTCCAGCCTTGCTATTGGCACTCTCGGGGTAGGGCCTCCTGAGGACCCTGCAGGGCCTCGGCCTCTGCCCTGAGCCAATGAGTGAGCTGGGACTTCCCCGCCGACCCGACCCTCTGCTTGTGTTCTCTGCCAGGTACATGGTGTGTACCTGAGGTGGGCATGGCAGCTCTCCGGAGTTCACTCCGTGTCATCTTCCTCTCTCTGACCTCTGTCCTGTGAACATTTCCTGCCTCGATCTCCTTGGACTCTGGGCCCCTGTCAGGGCTGTGTCTTCCCTCCCTGGCTGGGAACAGTTTTAGGACTCCCCGGTTCGCTTCCCATCTCCCAGGGAGTACCTCCTTCACTGCCTGATCCACGATGTCTCTTAAACTGCTGCCGTTCTATTTTGATTGACTGGGGTGGGGTGTGACTCTCATGCCCGCTCCTCACAGCCTAGGAGAGACATGGTGTTTTCAGGCTTCAGCTTGAAGATGATGTAGTGATTGGCGAGGTCCTTTACTGTCACTCATCAGATCTCAGGTTTCTTTTATGTTTCTCCCCACAGTAAGAGTCTGTGGGTATAAATACGGATGCCTAAAATACAAGGTTTTATTTTTCATCTAGTTGATTTAGGCTTTGCAGGAAGATAGAAAAACCCAGACATGGAGGAAGTGGGACATATGTGGGTGACACCGTGTCCCATGCCTTCCTGGGGCTGATCAGCACCCACAGCATGTCTGTCATCTCATTTGCTAAGGATGAGGTGGGTAACAAAGCCCCAGGGCTCGTGACATCTGCTCCAGGGGCGCAGATTAGCACCGGCCAGCTGGCGCCTGTGCTATGGTCAGTGTCCAGTGGTTGCCTCACCATGAGCACCTTCCTTCTCCTCCTTTGGTCCTCGGTGACAGTGGCAGCCCCAGGGTGTGTGTGTGACATGACACCTGTTTCACGGGCAGTGCCAGGCTGGCGTTGTGGCTGGATGGTGAGGGGTGATCTAGGTTGCCCTTTGGGCTTTCAGCCCTGGACTGTAGGGAATGCACTGCTCCCGCCTGCTTCTATCCTTAGCCATGGCTCTGGGCGGGGGCAGTGCCAAGAGCAGGCAGGCTAAGTGGGCAGTGAGAGCTTGTCCCTGGCTGGTCAGGAGACGGGGCACAAGGTGTGTGAGCCAGGGAGAATCCCTTTCTCAAGGATGTGGGGTGGGGTGGACAGCTAGGCAGTGGCACTGGACATTGGAAAGGGGGCCCCGAAGCCAGGCAAGTGCTTGTGTGTGGCAGGATGGGGGGAGGGGGTCCCTCAGCTCTAATAACTTCCCCAAAATTCTATAACCAGAGGGCTGTTTTAATTTCAACTTCTCATAAGTTCTTCTGAAGGATGAAATCTCCAAATTGCAATTCTATTTTGTTTGACATGCCTTTGGTATTTGGCAGTGGCCATGGTCACACTCAGAGGCGGGGAAGGTGAGAAAGTGGCCTCTAGAGTCCACTCTGACCCAGGACCTTCAGGGTGCAGAGACCCCACCCCAGGTGTCTCTGTGTCCAGAGCCCTGGTCTCTCCCGCAGGGACCTATGGGATTCAGGCAAGCCCAGGCTGCTCCTCCCACCTGCTGATGAACTGATAGCCTGAGATGCAGAGGGTGTTTTGGAAAGTTCAAGCCTAGGTGAACTCCAGACTGAACATGCAAACGTGCAGAAGAGTGTTGAGACCTCAGGCCAACAGGAGGGGGCAGTGGAAGCCCAGGCTGTGGACGCAAGGCAGGGCGCCAGGTTGCTGGCTCCTCCTGGAAACCCCCCAAGCTGGCCTGGTGGCTGTGCCTGCATGCTTCTCTCAAAAGGAATCGCCAGCTTTGGAAAACTAGTCAGTGTGACTCACAAATGGGTCCAGTGTCCTTGGGGACTGGCTGGGGCTCTGAGCCACTTACCCCAGGGCAGCCCAGTAGGCAGTGAGGCTGCTGGCAGGAGTCATTCCCCCAGCGGCTGGCTTTGTGCTGGTGTATGAACACAGTCATGTCTTCTGCTCCTGGTAGGTCTTTTCCTGCTCAGTCATTTTTGAGAGGAGTATCTTCATTTTATTTTAGTTTTTCCATATTGGGAATTGGACCACTTTGAGCTGTACTTTTTAGTTTTAAATTTTGAGACAATATCTCCCTAAGTTGCTAAGTTGCCCTGGCTGGGCCTTGAACTTGTGAGCCTCCTGACTCAGCCTTCCAGTGTTGAGACTACATGTGTCTTCACTCTCAGCTTATTCATGGTTTTATGTATCAGTCACTGGCTTTAGGCAAGTGTTTTGGTTACTTTTCTCTCATTGCTGAGATGACATACCTGATGCCCCAAATTAGGGTTTATTTAGCTTACAGTTTGTGGAGGTTTCGGTCCATACTCAGCTGGCTCCAAGGCAAGGTGGGGTAGCTAAGGGGCAACTGTTCATGGTAGCCACAAGCAACAAGAGAGAAAAGGTCACAAAGGGGAAAGCAGGCCTCCTTCCCTCCCTTATATTGTATGCTGGCTCTGGCCCTGGGTAGGTACAGCACTCACACCACCAATCCCAGTGCTGGACAACAAACTAATCATAAACACTAGACTCAGCTGCCTTCATGACTGCCTGAGGCTTTTGGGGACATCCAGACACAAACCATAGTAGCAAGTGATTTTCTGATGAGTCCATACTCTGCCCTACCCACCTCTGGGTATGTGGCACTGATTGGTGATACCTGGTGCACAGAAGTGACTGCAGAGGGTGTGGAGGGTTCTGTGGGAGCCACCCACTGGGAACACCAGGGGAGCTGGGTGATGGCCACAGAAGCCTGATGTGTGGCAGACTGTAACCCACAGAGACAAGGTCACAGAAGGGGAAGTGTAGGCAGGAGGAGATGCAGTTGTCGTGGAGACCAGAAGCCCATGGCGATGCAAGGCCCTGCTGGATGTGCCCTCTATGGACACTGCATTTCCATAAGGGAGGCACTGCTTGGACCTGAGGTTTCCAATCAGAAACGACTGCAAAGAAGGGTGTGTGCTCTCCCTGGCCCCTTCCAGGAAGTGTGTGGACAGCGGGCAGCACACAGAACCACAGTTTACCTTTAGCTAGGCCAGGTGCTTGGCCAGGTGCTCCCAGAGCTGAGCACCCATGCTCTGTGCCTGGCCTTGATGTCCAGAATCCCGGGAAGAGAACGCTGATGACACAGTCGGAAGCTGCACAGTGACCTGGGCTTTTCCCATCACAACTCCTCTCTCGCTTTTCTCCACAAAATCGAGGGCATGGGAACCTCACTCAGTGTAAATATTGGGGCGGGGGGTGGTACCAGGGGGCATTTTGGGGAGCCCATACCCTGTCATTCAGACTCTGAGGCTGTGACAAGGCCAGTGTGGTGGACCGGGGCTCTCTGAGTCTAAGCAGGCAGCAGTAGGCTGGTCCTCACTCAGTCCTGGAGGCAGTGGGGGACCGGCGACTTTGGGGGTGTGCAGCACAGAGAAGAGAAGTAGGGAAGGGCAGGGTCAGAGGGAAATGTCAGCCCTGGTCTGGCTGAAGCAGGCAAACGGAGAGCAGGGCTGAGGGGGAGTGCCGAGCGCAGAGCGATAGCAGATGGACTTCGCTGTCTCCTGCGGTGGGTGACCATGGGCGGTCTCAGCCCTGCCTGTGGTCCTTTTCCGCAGGGAGCTCTTCTTCCTGGCCCCCTCATCCAAGTGCCTACACACCTCATGGGTTGGTCTACAAGTTCATGGACCCTTCCAGGTGAGAACCGGCATTATTTTCTCCTCAAGTGTGTTTCTGCTGGCCCTGATCTCCACTGCGGGTGTGGAAGCAGCCATGACCCCCAGGCTGATATGCCACAGTGGGCGAAGGGCAGCTGGGCTCCAGGTGAAAAGCAGTTTGGGCTGACGCGGGTGGCTCCGTGTGTCTTGGGAGCCATGAGTATGGGAGGAAGGGCTCTGCAGTCGGCAATGAGGTCAGAACCATCCACGGTGCCTGTGTAGCCCTCGGCTCCTGGTTAGAACACACTGCCACCAGCTGGAACCACGTGTGGTTCACATACCACTGTCCCATTGACAGCTTGAACTGCTGTGGTGAGGTGGACAGTCACCAGCAGGACAGCTGTGCAAGTACCATGGGGGTTCAAGCCACTCGGCAGAGACAGAGACGTACGAGTCATGGCCTGTCATGAACGTGCGACAGGAGATACGTGACCTCCCCAGGGAAGGAAGTTCAGGGAGGAAGCCTGAGGGCAGAGACCACAGAACTCCCACCTGATATCACTGCAGCCCGCTTGCCTTGTCCACAGTGCTTGTGGGCCCAGGCTCCAGCCAACCACCTCTGGGTGCTGCTGAGAGCACAGCCTGGATCCCAGCTGCAGAGGGCAGTGTTGGGCCTATGTGCCAACCTGGCCAACCAGGGTCCAGTTCTGTGCCATGTCCTGAATGCAGCCTCCTGGGGTGGCATCCCACAGAGGCTCCTCTGCAAGCTTGTTCCCAGCCCTTCCACCTCAGGCATGGATCCCCACATAAACCCATGTCCCCACTCTGGGACAGGAAGTGCCACAGACACACATCCTTGTGGTGGCAATGGCCAGGGTCTGGCTGCTGGGCAGGAGGAGGATTAGAACTAGGTTGCTCGACAGCCAGGATCTGGAACTGGGGCCCCCAGGCTCACTGGGGGGTGGGGGCAGAGCTGTGCACCTCCCGCCCAGCCGCCCACTCAGAAGCTGCAGAACGGTTTAACATGCTCACGACAGGCCTTGATTCATACGTCTTTGTCTCTTCGGAGTGGCTTGAACCCCTGTGGCACCTGCTTGACTGTCCTGCTGGTGACTGTCCACTTCATCACAGAGGTTCAAGCTGCCGATGGGACAGTGGTGTGTGACCACATGTGGCGCCAGCTGGTGAGCACTGTGGGATGGTTCTGACCTTACTGCCGACTGCAGAGGGAAAGGAGGCCGAGGCCACTTTGCAGCAGGAACCCTTATCCGGTGTGCTGACCTCGTGGAGGGTGCTGTGTGCAGCTCTGGGGCTGGACTGAAGGCTGGCAGAGTCCCCAGGGTGGCTTAGTCACAGCGGCACCCACCATGCCACTGGGAGGGGCTCAGGAGAGGCTCACGGCCCCTGTGGGGTTGATGTGGTTGTCACTGCTGTGGAACACAGTGTCTGAAGCCCCACCTGATACTCAGCCTGTGCGGCACTGCACACCTTGGCTGCGCTTCTGAGGGGTTCCCCCCCCCACCCGTCCTTCCCCTTCTCCTCCCTCATCTTCCACAGAGGCACGAGCTGCAATGGGGAGACCGGGACCCTGGAGCCTGGCTGGACTATCAGCTTTGCCACTAATGCATCTGGACCCTGAGCCTGCAGCTCAGCCTTTACGTACCTTGGTTGCTCCTGTGAAATGGGGTGACACTGGCCCCGACCTCATGGAGTGTTCCCACAGTTTGGGACAGTACCCAGCCCCACACAGGTGCTCTGTGCACACACGGGATGACCGCTCCCTGGGTGAGTGACAGTGACAAGAGCAGAGCAGGGTGAGGAAGGCAGAGGGACAGCAGGGTCCAGCTCTATGCCATGTCCTGAACGACCTCTCAGTGCCCAGTCCCCATACTTCAGAAGCCCCGCCTGGGGCCAGAGAGCAGTGTGTGCAGGGTGGAGATGGGCACGATGCAGGGCACTTGTGAAGTGCAGGGCGGTGCCATGAGTTTCTGAGGGAAGGTTTCCCGGGCCTGGTCCCCATAATTTGAACCCAGCTCTCCCTGTGCCAGGCTAGGTTCAACCCCCTTCTACCTGTCTCCCAAGTGCCCTGGCCCTCAGCCCTCATCACAGTCCCACTGCTGTTGCCCACCCGTGGGTTCCTGTGACTAGCTCAGCTTGCTGCAGCATTTGTGGGGCCTCTGTCACCGCTGTTCTGTCTGGATTCATAGGTGAGCTCTGCCGGGCAAATGCAGGTACAAGCCAGCGCTGGTGAGGACCAAGAGCAAGTGGGTCCAGCTCAGGCCGCTGGCCAGTGAGTCCAGCTCTGCGTGTCAGGCCCGCTCAAGCCTACAGCAGTGGCCACAGGTGGGTCTGGCTATCTGTTCTCACCCACCGAGCAGCAGTTCTTAGAGCTTGCTTTGCAGCAGGCGCTGTGCTGAGCCCTGGGTGCAGTCATGCTGCATGTAGGTCTCTGAGCCGTAGGGTATGGGAGCAGAGGCAGCTTGTGAAGAAGTAGATTCAGCTCTGAAGGCCCAGAGAGACTCTAAGGGGAGGAATTCTTCCCAGGGGGTGGCCAGGAAGGACTGACAGAGCAGGGGTGTTGTCCCAGGGAAACATCTAAGAGACAAGTCTCTCTGGAGCGACCCTGTCAAAAAGGAAGCTGTCTAATGAGGGCCAGTGAAGGGAATTAAAGTATATTAACACGAAGAGTTTATATCAAAGAACTCCCATGCATATTGGGCGGGTGGTGCCCACCCTGTGTTCTTGGGAGGATCAGAAGGGGGATCATTTGCCTCCAGGAGTTTGAGTCCAGCCTGGACAACGTGCTGAGACTCTGTGTTTAAAAAAAAGAGGATCCCATGCAGTTAGGAGGCCTCGGGGAGGGGGACACTTCTCCTGGCGCTCCCTCCTGGGATTTTGGTGCAGTACTGAGTACCTGCTTGCCTCCAGCCACCGTCCTGGAGCCGGCAGAGAAGGCTGCTAGGAACTCCTCCAGTGTGACCTTGGCACCCAGGCGAGCTCTGCCCCTGCCTCAGAGAGCTTCCTCCCAGATGCTGGCTCCTCCTGCGAGCAGCAAGGTGTCATGGGGTCCTGGTACCAAGAAGAAAGCTAGAGCATGGCCCCCAGATGCCCAGGGGAAGAGGAGGGGGAGCCCCAGGGCCCATGGCAGCAGGAGGAGGTGGTCAGCACTGCAGTGGCCAGTGTACAAGAGTCACCCTCACTCTTTGGTTAAGGTGGCTGCAGCAACACGGAAGAGAAGTGCCCACCACGTGGCGACCACCGCTGGCTGCAGCCTTGGGAGCCTGGGAAGCTGGGGGGGAGTTGGGTGGGGCTGACGTGCAGCCTGGAATGTCCCTCTAAGGGCCCTGCTGTCCTCTGCAGGGATAAAGGCCCCAGCTGGCTGTGAGCACTGAGAGCGCTTCTGTGGGATTACAGCCCACACTGCCCCAGCCTGAGTGCCCCTGGGTGCCTTGCTGATGCCCCTGTGCTGTTGCATAGGTGCCCTCAACCTGAGATAATAAACTGATGTTTGCTGCAGCTGGCAGGCGTCTGCTGGGCTCCTGGGTGAGGGGTGGCAGTGGGGCAGCTGCTGGAATTGGCTCTGCTCTCTAGCTCCTAGGAGCTGTGGGGACGGGATGGCCTGTGAGTAGCTCCTGTCCTCCCCCGAAGTGGAAGCTCCTGAATGAAATCAGTGCAGGTTCCTTTGGGACCTCCAGTACCCTTATAGCTCCCAAAACTGTAACTGCATCCTGGGGCGTCTCTGATGTCTGCACCCTTCTTGGACTCTCTGTCCTTCTGCCTGGGTGTTGCCAGAGACCCTCCATTGAATTAAGGAAAGCAAGGTCTTGAGGTCAAGAGATCTGACTACAGTGACTGGGGAGCAGGGGACAGATCAGCAGGGCTAGGACTGATGTCCCTCTCCATGGGCTGTCCACTGCCTCCCGGAGGCCCCATGGAGCACCTTGGCTTTGGGCCAGGTGGCAAGGACAAGGAGCAGTGAAGGGGGGACCTCTGTTCCAGGAAGTCAAGGAGAACAGAGGCACAAAGAGCCCTGCACATCCTCAGGACAGACCACTTTGGACTCGGAAACAGACTCTGTCTTTCTTCTGGAGGTAACCTCACCTCACCTAAGCCAGTGTCCTGCTAGCCAGACCTCTTGTGCGGGCAGAGGGGTCTCCATGTCGGCTGTGCCACATGCAATGGTGTGGGCGAGTTTAGAAAGTGAGGAGCTCGCTGTTGAGAACCCAGTGGGGAGCGTGTGGCGGGGTGAGAAGGAATGGGGAGCACTGGCTACGGCTGCCAAGGCTGGCACTGAAGCCTCACACAGCCTCACCTCCTCACGACCTCCGTTGTCCACTGCCAAGTGGGTCTGGGCTAGGTTGTCAGGCCGAGGCTGCACTGTAGGGACTGGAAATGGCTTTGGACGAAGGCTTTTGGTGTTAGAGCTTGGACTCCTGCCTTCATTATGGACCTGTCTAGCACAGGGCAGCTACCCTCTGAGGCTCTGAGCACTGCCCGCACTGCCTTCCCAGCAGCAGATGGCCCGGCCCCATGGGGGTAGAGCAGCCCAGGAAATGCACTGGTGCCCAGGTCACCCTCCATGCCAACTCACTAAGGAACCCCGGCCCTTCCTCTCCTCAGAGTCAAGGTGATGTTAGAATCTCAGTTTCACCTTAGCGGGGTGCTCACTGCCCAGGTAGAGAACTGACCTGGAGCCCAGCGAGGAGGAGGTCCCTGTGCGGACCCTGCTGGGGACAGGACAAATGTCCCTGTGGCAAGGCAGGGTGGAGCCATCCCGAGGCTGCTCCTGATGGGAGGACGACCTCAAGGCACCCCAGGCCATCTGGACGGTTCTAGGAACCACTTTAAGGCCCGAGTTCGAATCAACCTTGATGTGTCACCCGCCCCTCCCCCTCTCACAGGGACAGATGCAGGACAGCGCTGGATGTGGGTGTTGCTACAGCGCCTCGCAGGCCACGCAATGCAACTGCAGGCCTGGCCGCTGGACAGTCGCTCCGCCCACTCCATTCCCGGGCCCCCCCCCCCGCCCCCCCAGTTCCGGAAGTCTGCTCCTGCATTGTGCGCCTGCGCAGTGAGCATGTTTGTGTTTTCCTTTCTGTGCATTTCAGCGTTTCCTCTCTGGAGCGCTTCTGCAGCGCATCCGGGATACCGCAGCTGCCTTACAGTAGCGGGGGCTTTAAAGAAATCCTGCTGGAGGCCACAGAGCGAGGCCTTGTGTGTGCCAGGCAGCTGTGCCGTTGAGCTATGTCACCTGTCTTGCGTTTCTGCTCCTCATTTAAACGTTTGATAAAAGAGCAGGGCCGCCTATGGGCGCCATGCCAGCCAACTCTGATCCCTGAGGCTCTGGGCAGGGGTGGTAGAGCCCGGACCAGTCTGTGGCTGGCGACCAGAGGGCCCTGAACCTGAGATCAAGGAAGGCCATGCAGCCTGAGGTCATGGGAACCCAAATCTCTGCTGTGTTTGGGATCACGGGGAGCGGGATTGTGTGTAACTTGCTCACAAGGCGAAGGCTGGAAGGGGAGATGCAGAGATAAAATCACGGTCAGGAAAATCCTTCCAAAGGACGCCTGGAATCCCAGCACTCTGGACGGCTGAGGCAGGAAGACCTCAAATTCAATCCCTGCCTGGAAAACTAGCAATTTAGACCCTTTACCAAAATAAAAAATAAAAAGTGGCTGGGATGTGTTCAGTGTGAAGGCCCTGGGTTCAACCCGCAGTGCCACCACCATCACCTCCACCACCAGTGAACCCAAAAACCCTCTGGTCCTGTTTCTCCTCCTCTTTTTCCTCTTTGTATCAGTCAGGGCTTACTAGAGAAGTCCTGACTTCACACAACACAAGATATACAAATGTATAAGAAATTACAAGATTAGCTCACAGTGGTCAGCCGCAGAGTCGGATGGGAATGTGCAGAGGGGGTCTGCAGGCTGGAGGCTGGGGGTCCAGCCCAAGGGCTGGAGCTCCCTGCAGTGTCCCGTGCAAGTCTTATCAGGAGGCCGATGGGTCTGCGATGGAACACTGAGGAATCTACTATGAAGGCCGAAGCCAAGCAGCCTGTGGCAGTAGCCCGGAGACAATGTCGAGGTTGAAGGCCCTCAGAAGAACCAGCCATCAGGGCCCCCCCGCGCGCCTTTTATTGTAAGCAGGCTGCTCCCCTGGATGGGGGCAGCACCACACCATCTGCCTGCCCTTCTCTTGCACAGGCTGAGGATGTTACAGCCTAGGGACCCTGGCCCCCTGCTGAGTCACTTAAAGTCCTGACCTTCTCAGATCTGTACAGTGAACAACATCCTAGAAGGTAAGGGGCTTGTCCTCTACCCCCTAGAATGCAGAGCTGCCGAATCACTTAGTCAAGCTTCTAGACTTCTCAGATTGACAGTGTACAAACCGTAACTCCTCTTCCCCTTCATCTTCCCCTTCCTCTTTCTCTTCCTCCTTGTCTTTTTCCTCTTTTTGCTTCTTCCTCTTCCTCCTCCTCTTCCTTCTCTCTTCTTCCTCTTGCCCCTCCTTCCCACCCCAGGGCAAAAGGCCCTGTGTACTCTTCTGTGTCTGGTTCTCATGGGGGCTGACATCTATCCCCTAGGAACACGTGGCAATGTCCATCGATTTCTGTGATGTGGGAGGAGGCATGGTGGGCACCAGACATCCTCTGGGGCAGCAGGGTTGGGTTGGACCAGCAAGGGATTGTGGGAGATTTCTGGGAGGAGCCGGGGCTTGGGGCCAAGGCCATGTGGGGACAGGAGAGAAACTGCCGGTCCTCACCCAGGGCTGCCTCACTCCCAGGGTCATGGCCCAGGCGTCAGGGCTGTCCCTCTCTACTGTGCTGGGTTGCAGGGCTGCCCAGCCTCTCTCTTGTGGGAGCTCATCACATGGAGGTGACAGCTACTGGGAAGGGCGCCCTTGGCAAGGGAGATGCTCGCTCCTTGCCTTTGCTTGTTTATTTTAATGTAGGACGAGCCCAGCACTGCAGCAGGTTCCATCACTTGAGTAGAAAAGGACACGCGTGAATTTCTCCCCAGCACGGGACATTTTGGTCCTCACCGTGGTCCTGGGACTTGGTGGTAGCTGTGTGATGGCCACTAGGTGGCGCAAGGTCACTGCACAAGGGGCACTCCTGGCACCTATGGCCCAGAGCAAGCAGTCCAGAGGGGTGGGGCAGCGAGAGGACTGGATCCTTAACAAGAGCCACCATGGCCGGCTGCTCCTTTTCTTGCTTGAACCTAAGGGACAGGCTTGGGTGGCTACGGCCCTGGCTCTGGGCATCAGGGGACCAGGGCACCCAGTGACCTGCCATTATCCTGGTGCTGGGATTCGGGGCTGTGATGCCAGTGTGCTGCCAGAGTCTCTGTTCCAGCCAGCACAGTCACTCGGCCACCTTTCTGTGGGGACTGCTGTCCTGGGTGACCGAGCTCCAGGAAGCACGCATCCCTGGCCCTCAGGGAATTGCGCCGGGTGCGGCTGGAGCATTGCTGCGTGATAGAAAAGGATTTTGTCTCTTACGTTTGGGGACCATGAGTATGTGCTGCATGAGGTTCTGGGGACCCAGGAGTCACAGACAAACAAAACCAACAAGCCAGTGCCATAGATTGTTTGTATCGATAGGAACATTTGTGCCTCTGAGTAAAGAAATCCACAAGTGTGAGTGCCACACAGCATGGAACCAGTGCCCTGCAGCTAACCAGTGAGCAGAGGTGCTGGGGCGGGGTACATGCCTGTCACCCCAGCACTCAGGAGGCTGAGGGTCACCTTGAGCTCAAGGCCAGCGTGGCTGCATAGTGAGTTGAACAAATGATCATCAGCAAGGTCCCCAGTGGGCTGGGCCTTGGGAGTGAGTCTGTTTGGGCTGGCAGCCTCCTGGCACCAGGTCAGGTCTCTCTCCAGGGACAGAGGGTGGCAGGGGGGTATGAAGGGGAAGCTCCACATGGACGCTGACAGTTGGCCAAGTCCTTGCTCCCTGCCATGGACTCACTGCTTCCTCTGATGCCAGCTATCTCTGGGTTGCTCCTCCCTACCATGTCCGTTGCAGGCTCTGGGGGGAGCCACGAGGGTGGCAGGGGATCTCCATCATCTGGGGGACACTGAGGACACCAAAAGGCTCTCATCGCCCTCTGCACACATGATGGCAGAGATGAGCATCTCCTAGCTGACCCCAGGGTGCAGCCTGAGGTGCAGGGGACCCGTAGCTTGGTTATGGAGAGCAGAGGTTGGGGAGGGCCACGGGCTGCAGATGGGGTACAGGGTCCTCGGGGGCCTGGTGTCTTCCCCAGCCTTGTGCCTGGAGGCTTGGGCTGCTGTGGGCACCAGGCCCTTCTCTTCTCAGTTAGTGGGTGCTGCAGTGGGAAACATGCTTTGGAAGACGCCTTGCCCACCACGGCCCTGCAGTGGTTAGAGGGGACCGAGTCCCTGGCCTCCTCTCCCGCTGTGAAGCAGGCTCAGGGAGCCCCGGTGCTTTCTCCTTGGTGCATCCGAGTTCTCTGCCTGCCTTCT